AAAGGTCGCTACCAGACCGCTGCTTGAAGACCTCCATCAAATGTGCACTAACGTTACTTGCATGGATGGCACGAGAAGAGTTGATCGTATGGTGTACCGATATCCAAACAGAGAAAGTGGGTCATTGTGGCATGAGGAATATCTCATAACCACTCAGGATGAGGTAGATGCCATGCTCGAATTCTTGAGGTCCAACAATCTTTCCAAAGCCGAGATGTTCGTTTACACCGAGTCGATCGTAGGCGTTGGAGGTCATTCTGGACACAGTCAAACATCTGGTATCCATGATGGAGGTGAATTATATGGCGATCATCCCTACCAAGTTACCATGATCCTCATTCCTATTTTCAGTACCAAGAGCAAGGTGAAGGTCATCATCAATCTTTCCCGTCATATGAAGAAGAAGTTCAATCGAACCTCCCCAACCAACCTCAGTACAACTTCCAATCAGGCAGCGGTAGTTTTCATAACTATCATTATGGAGCTGATGAAGGTGCCTTTCATGAGCTGGATCAGATGGAGGATGCCCTGCCAGCACTAGTTAGTGACCCCTCCGATGAAGAAGGAGAGAACAACGTCAGTGCAGACAGCTCCGACCCTCTTGAAGGTGCTGATGATTCAGGACCAGAGTCAGACTCAGCTAATGATGATGAGGTGGCTCGTGACCGTGTACCAGCCCCTACTACAATCACATTCCAGACGACAATGGGATGGTCGACAGTGACATGGAGCCGCCAGAGGTCCCAATATGGGGTCCACTCACTGGGTTTATGAAGGGCCAACAATTTGGCTCGAAAAAGGAGGTGCGGCACGCCATTGAGACTGAAGCAATGACTCGGGATTTTTAATGGCACACAACTCATTCCAACACTAAAAGGCTCATAGTCAGATGCCGTAATCATCACGAGGGGTGCAATGTTAGGATTCGGGCCATCAACAGTAAGAGACACGGCCACTGGGTCATATCTCGTGCGGTGAACACACACATATGTGTGTCATCCATAACTTCCCAAGGCCATCGACAGTTGAAATCCAGGGTGGTTGATGCGGCTATCAAGCATCTAATTGAGCAAGATCCGGACCTGAAAGTGAAAGTCATAATCGCTGACATTGCAAGTCGTTATGGTTATATGATTAACTATAAGAAGGCGTGGCATGGAAAGCAGAAAGCTTTGGCCGCCGTCTTTGGTGATTGGGAAGAATCATATGCAATCCTTCCCAGGTTAATTTTGGCATTGGAGAAGAACTTGGAACTTCCCCACTTGCACTTGGAAGAGTGTGAGAGCCACTAATGAATAGTAACTCAAATCTAGGCTTTTATATATTATATATATTATTATAAATTAACAAATGCGATGATTTGTGCAAAAAGTCATAGACGAAAATCTAGCGAACAATAACTAAACATAAAGGATGTAAAGTGGAGAGTGGGGTAAAAGAAGAACTTGAAACTTTCTCACCTACATTTGAAGGAGTGTGAGAGCCACTAATAAATAATAATTCAAAATTAAGCTTTTATATATTAATTAATTCGTTGAAACGAGAGACAAGACCGGATAAGCAGTCACTTTCTGTGTCTTTCTCCCCCCCTGCCAGTGTCTTCCTCTGGCTCCCTCCGCAACCACATATATACAACAGAGAAATGTTTCTTAATTGATGATGCGTCCGCCTTTTTGTCTCAAGCAATATTATTATTTCTAAATGATGAAAACTCCTCGAAACTCTCTCTATATCTAGATGAAAAGTCTCCCAGTGTCCAATTGAGAGAGAGGCGTGGTGGGTAGATGTGATATTATAAATGTAGGATCAGCAGCAGCAGCAGTTTCTTTATCATCGTCATTCAAATTATTGGAAGTATCAGGGTGCAGCAGGCGAGGAGAGAGATGGGATCAAGATCATGGTCGGGGCAGCAGCGGGGGAATAGTAACATGAAGCAACGATGGTGCGCCGTTCAACCCTTGACGCCACTGATGGAAGGACCCGACCCAGACATGCAAGAGCAGCAATATGAAGCAGCAGCCGACAACAACAACTCAAAGCTGGAGAAGGAGAGCAGCAGCAGCAATAATGTCATTTCTAACTGGGAAATCATTAGGGAATGGTTCCGCACCGACGCCAGCAGCAAGTACCATAATAAGCATCATGTTATCTCCCCAGAACTGAATGTTGGAGTGGGGCGGAAAAAGCAGCTTAAATCAGCCAAAAGCACACAAGACTTGAGGCTATTGCTTGGAGTGCTGGGGTGTCCCTTGGCCCCCATTCCCATCCCACCGCCTCCTAATCATCATCTTCCCAATTACGAGGATGATGAGGAGAATCATCCGTCACGAGTACTAGGCGCTGTCCGGAGGGTTCACATCAAAGACAACATCCCAATTGTGAGTCCCCTCTAACTATAACTAACTCCGATCCAAACCTTGTTTCGCTTAGCCCTTAAATTACATGCACTTGCTAGTTAGTTAGTTAACGAAATTAATTATGAGTAGCTAGCTCCAACGAATGAATGAATGGATTGGCCGCGCGCGCAGGAGAAATCAATGGCGAGATACATAATACAGCAATATTTGGCGGCGACTGGATGCAGTAGGGGTAGCAAGAGGAGGATGATGAACGACAACATGTACGTGGCTGGGAGCGTGAAGATGATTCGGTGCGAGACGGAGGTGTCGTCTGGGAAGGGCGTCAAGTGCTTGGGAGGGAAGAGCGCCGTGGAAGAGGGTTGCTTTGTCCTCTGGCAAATGCTCCACCCTTGTTCTTCTCCTCCTATGTGGTCACTCGAACTTGCTGTCGGCCAGCTGGGATCAGCTTCTGCAAAAGGCGGCTGCCCGCGGAGGAGCTACAAGCACCATGTGGTTGCCGGTAGCGACGGCAACACCGTGTGGAGACACACTCCCTGGCTGGGGACCCATGCTGCCAAGGGTCCTCAGCGCCCTCTCCGTCGCATCATCCAGGTACCTACCCTACGTTTCTCCAATTGTCTACCGGCCAGGCCAGGCCACCACCTAGACCTAGTAGTTCATGCCCATTAGTCATATTACTTCCATTCCGATAGTGTCAAACCATCACCGATCGATCGATACGATCGATGAGTAATTAATTAATTACTACTTAGAGGAATAAAAAGGAAATGAAAAGAATAATTAAAGCAGGCCAAGGGGATGTTGGATTTTTCAAACGCGCAAAAAAAGCAAAATAAAGTAGAGGAAGAAAAAACAGATTGAGCGGCACTACACTACACAACTAGCCTCATTAACGTGAGGAGTTGAGAATCCCAAGGAAAGGAAAGGAAAGGAAAGGAATGGTTGCTTGCAGCTGAGAGATCTGTCTTGGACAAACTGTCTGCTCCGCCTTTGCTTTCCTTCCCTTTATTAGAAAACTAAAACTAAGGCCTGCTGCGTAGCGTAGCGTAGCGTAGCCTAACGTTGGTTGGAGTGAGTGGGGGTGGGTGGGTGGGTGACTGCCTGCCGAATGCCGATGACTGATGAGATGGAATATCTCATCCATATTGCTTTGCTTGCTTTCCCTTTACAATCATGTTGTACCTTATTCTATCTCTTCTTTTCTCCCTCCATCTCTTTTGCAACTTTCCGCGTCATATATATCATCATTGAATTTGAATTCAAAGTATTCGGTCTACATGTACGTAAAGAAGAGTGAGTCAGTCTATGATCCATTTTTGCAAATGGGCCTTGTTTTCCTCCCAATCTTCATAATTCAGGCCCATGGAGACTACAAATTAATAAAACCCAGATCGAGGGAGGGAGGGGGCTAAATTTTGCTTATTTGGGCCTTGTATATATGGGCTGGGCTTCTGTTATGTGGTGACAAGAAAAGAATGAATGTTGGGCTTGGACGAATGCAGGGCCTGAACCCGAAGAGCACGGGGAGGGTATTCGCGGGAGCAGAATGGGTGGGAGAGCAAAGAATAGGGGAAGACGACTGCTTCGTGCTCAAGGTGGCGGCTGAGCGTGCTGCAGTGGCGGAAAGAAGCGAAGGCCCAGCCGAAGTGCTGCGCCACGTCTTGTACGGATACTTCTCCCAAAAGAGCGGCCTACTCGTCTACCTGGAGGACTCTCATCTGACCCGAGTGGCCGTCACAGGCGCCAACTACTGCTGTACCCATAGGAGGATCAATGATGACGAAATGGAAGTGGAAGTAGAAGAAGAGAGATATGTGTACTGGGAGACGACGATAGGGAGCCGAATCGGGGATTACAGGGAAGTTGAGGGTGTGATGATCGCCCACGAAGGGAGGTCTGTGGCCACGGTGTTCCGCTTCGAGGAGCAGTCGGTGCAGCACAGCAGGACCCGGATGGAGGAGCTCTGGCGGATTGATGACGTCGTCTTTAACGTCCCTGGCCTTTCTCGAGACCACTTCATCCCTCCCTCCGACATTTTCCAATCGCCATAACCGACCGGATCGCGCACATCGATCCCGAGGAGGATTATTATTATATTCACAGAAGAATGATCAGAGAGAGATATCTATCATTATATTGCACGCCTTACCTTATGCATCTATATGCCAATGCCTATGTCTATGCATTCATTTATATATATATATTTACTTATATAACTTGTTGCATGCACGCATTCTATATAACACTAGCGACTTTTGGATTTGTCCTTTTTCACACTAATTAGTTAGTCCTCACCTCAGCTGCCACATGTCATCGCCATTGATTCGTGTATCTATTTTTGTCAACAACATATACATATAGTCCATTTATATTTACTACTACGCCGCTACTACTACTACTACGATGTATTCAATCCTTAAGCATGCAATGCAAGCTCACCTGATTATAGATCATTTCATAAAATCCAATTAGTCATCTTTATAATTCTTTCTTTCTTGCTTCCCATCTCATCTCAGCTCAGCTCCAAGTTAAATCCATTCAGCTTACATATGTAGTCTCTAACTAATTCCAAAAAAAAAATTGATAAGTAAAATCGGTTAGATTGGATTGGAAAATCGACAATAATTAATGCAAAAAGGTAAAGAACACACATATTTATATGATTCACTAACGCAATGTGTGTGAGCTAGTCCATGGGTAGGAGAGTTATTTTCACTATACTTGAGAAGTTACAGGTTACATAGCGATTGAGAAGTATATATAGCACTTCTTCAGATGGCCTAACTCTAATACAATTTGATAAATAATAAGGTTACGGACTAGACCCAGAGCATAAATCCAAATGTGTATAACCTCATACACCGTGAGAGCGGATAGGATACAGAAAGACCCCATAACTTCCATTCCACGGCAAACAATCAGATTCAAATCATATCAATATGTTGGTTATATGGGATACTAGCTGCATGCGCCTCTCTCTCGGTATCTCTTTATATATATAAATATGAAAAGACATATATAATTTGTGATACATCATTACATAATATAATATAATGATAAGTAAATAGCTAGATAAATCAAAGATGAAAAAGGAAAGAAAAAAACTCGATCCACCCAAAGATGGCTTGCTAACGGACACGTATGGTGTATGTAGCTGGATAGGTAGGCAGGAGTACTGCTTTCTAGCTGGCATAAGCGGTGGCTACATGGTGGGAGCCCTAGCCGGCGGCGAGGGTTGCTCAAGCTTCCCGGTGGCAAATTTCCTATGGTGGAGATGTTGATGATCCATAGTGGTGGAGGTGGGTCCCATTAACAACAACCCTTGATGATCCCCGCCAACTTGTTGTTGTCCTACCATCAGCTGTTGCATGGGCTTCGACTCGTACAATGAATCCTGTAGATGATGATGATTGTTCATGTGAATCTGCACTTGATCATGCATCTGAATCTGATCCTCATCGTCGTCAACATCACAATCCTCCTCCTCCTCCTCGTCCGTTGCACCGCCGGCCTCCTGTTGCTGCTTCTGCTTCTGCCCGCAATTCCCGACCGCCGCCGGTTCTTGCAACCGGAGATCCTCCGCCGACGACCACATCATCAATGACGACCCGCTCTTACTGTTGGTGTAAGGGTTGTGGCGCTTGTTGTTGGAGCCAAGGCAAAGGGCAGCAGCGTCGACATGTAGGCTGTTGGGTACGTTGGACGAGTGCATCATTAAGGGCAATGGCAAGGCTGTTGGATCAATGCTGGTGCCGTAGATGTTGAGGTCTTGCACTGACGGAAAGTTGAGCGCTGCTGCTTGTCCTATGTCCTTCATTCCCACCACCATCTCAGCATTAATGCTGTTGTTATTACTATTGTGCAAGTGATGTTGGTGGTGGAGATGATCATGAGGATCCCCGTGAATTCCGGCTGGCCCAACACCGCCACTTGTTGCTTTGGCCGTCGTTGTTGGGTTACTGTAGGGCTGATGATGTTCGCCGGCGGCCAGGGTCTGACAGGCTTTCTCCAGCATGCTTTGCATATATTTCCCTTGCGCCTCTATCCTCAATTGCAGGTGTCTTTGTACCTGCACCATATATTTACATTAACCATTTTGATCACATACATGCACCAATTTTCATTTGCCTTTCATTCTCTAACATCCTTTTCTTCTTCTTTGTCTTTTTTGCCGCTTCCAAGTATCACTATATATATATTATAATTAGTTAAGTAGCATGTCCATATAACTGACTAACTAACTAAATAGAAGGTTAATCACTTGGGGATGTATTATTTGTATCAAATTATGGGGAGGGAGGAGAGTTCAGTACCTCCAATTGTTCATGCAGTCTTCTCTGGACTTCCATTTGCATCCTAATCCCATCAACCACGTTTGAGTTACTAATGTTCATATGCATCGCCAACCAACAGAAGGAGAGAAAAGTTTAAGAATAAAACCCAATCCCCCACAAAAAGAAAAGGAAGGAAGGAAGGAAGAAAAATCCAGATCTCAGATACTTTCTACAATCCGGATCATCATCAACACCCTTTTTGATGATCATGTATAATTGAGTAGGCTTGAGCTACTTAAATATTTAAAACATGAAGTTGATCGTTGTAAGAAATTCTTTTTCAGAGGGTTTCTCTCAGATAATTATTTTCATAATTAAATAAAAGAAACAATAATGTTTTGATAGTATCACTTACTCGTTCATACTACGGCCCATCATTCCAGATGAAGAAGGTAAATTTCGTTGAAGATCTAATGCGGAAGCTGCTGCATGCATGTGCATATTATAGCAAGGAAATTAATTAGGATTAATTATGCACAATTAATTAAATATGCATGGATATGTTTAATTAAGATTATACGTGGCTAAGGCATTTAGGTTATGTATAGGACTGACCATCCTTCATAGAATGATCATTGAGCTCCTTGTGAGGTTGCTTCCCAAGCCTAAATTTCTGCACGAAGACACCCACCAATCATCATATGAAATAATCAATGGAATTAGTTTCAGGAAATCTTGTCAAACTGAAAAATAGTAAACGACCGCGCGCTCATGAAGAATATAATTCAACACACAAGACAGAATCAGTTAGTACATGAAACCAAAGTGGTAAAGTAAAAATCCAAAATTAATTAGGGGCTAAAATTCTTATACTCGAATCAGTAGTATATAAAATTCTAATTCCATAAATATATATGAAGAAAAATGTCCCGAAAACTTTGACAGGAAGCAAAGAAGCTAAGATGAAAAAGAAAGAAAGGAAGGAAAATAGAGGGGGAGTTAGAAGGAAGAATAATCTACCTGAAGATGGCTTTTGAGATGATAAAGGGTAAGGCCCTTCACACCCATGACCCTCATGATCGTCTTCGGAGTCGCCTCTGCAAACCAAGTTTACATCATCGTCGTCATGTATAATTCATGAGTAAGCTAGAAATTGAATTAATAAAAAGAAGAAAAGCAAGCCAGAAAAGGGAAGGGATGGGATGGGATGAAAGAGTGGTACTGTCGGGGCCTCCGAGCTGGGTGACTGCGTCAACGAAGCGCTCATGGAGCTCCACCGTCCATCGGAGTCGGGGCTTCGGGTCGGTGGTGAGAACCAGGCCCGAGTCACCCTGCTGCTGCTGAACTACATGGCACCCTCCCCCTCCCCCTGAAGATGATGACGACATCCCCCCGCCTCCCCCCGCCCTATGATCATGAAGGTGATGACTGTGTTGATTGTGATGATGATGATGATGGTGGTGCTGCTGCTGCTGCGAAGAATTCATCATCATCCCGCCGTTACTGCCGCTGTTGGTATTGTGACTACTGGATGTTGTTGTTGTCGAGGGTTTCTTCACATGACCATGGAACATTCTACTTCTCTCTCTTCTCCTCTCTCTCTCTCCTTCTTGGGTTGCGCAGCCCCGGCCCTGGCTGGCTCCGATCGAGAGAGATTCAGGAACAAATGCGATATTCACTCTTGCCTCCTTAATAAGACGGACATGCAAGAGAGAGTGCAAAATGCAATTCATATAAAAAGTCTTTATTATTATGGTGGGGTCGCTTTTCAACAAGCAAGTACGACCAAATGCCCTAGATATGCAAAAACAAAATTACCAATTAATTACTATATATACACCATTAATTAATTAATCAATTAAACCTTAAACCAAACAAGAAGTATATATAGTATTTAGTGTAGTACTAATGAGTGAGTTCTAGTTGATTCCCAGTGGTGTCACTTGAGCGTACCCGGCGGCACCCTTGGTATCGGAGGCAAAACCTCCCCGATGTTGGTAGCAGAAAGCCCCGGTTAATATGCAGGTACCCCTAGTGGTTTAATAGGCCCCGCTGTCGCTCAAGAGGCACGTGGGGCTGAGGTTCCCTGAGTTATCAAATAAAAAAAGTTCTAGTTAATTCCATGAACGTTTTCTTATTATTGGAATGTTAATCCTCCTCGATTATTATAAGGCTGATTACTTGGGGTTCTCATGGATGGATTAATTAGCACATTATGGCTTTTTATAACAAATGATAGATAGCTTAATCAAATTATTATTATCAGTATTAACAGACCAAACACATCGAGTTACCCATCCTGCCTTTTTTGTTGTGATACAAAACTTAGTAAGCATTAATTAACATGCTAATTAATTAAGCCGATTAGTTTTTTGGGAGTAGTTATCTTTTGAGCTTCTTTTATTTCTCTGCCTTTTCTTTTCCCTGAAGAAAATGGTATATGTAGAATTCGTATATTACTTACTGCTAAAGGGAAATCAAAAGGAGGGGAGGGAGATAGAAAGAAAAGAAGGAAAGGGAACAGAAACCCACAAACTAAACTATACAACAAAAACAAAAGGCAGCCAGAAGGGGGCATGCTAGCAGCTAGGATTGATAAATCAATAAATAAAGAATGATGTGTTCTCCTTTTAGGGCCTGGTTGTGCTCTTCAACATGAGTTACTTATATACTAGGATGATGGTTTCTTGTTGTTACTTGCGCACTAGCTGCTATGGTGAGAGTAAGAGAGAGTGAGAGTGAGAGTGAGAGCGAGCTATACATGTAGAAATGATCTAATTAGCAGCCAAGCCATGCACTCCATGAGCCCCCTTGCCCTTTTCCCACCAAAAAAGACGTGCAAGTAGCTAGAAGACATGAGTAGTGGTCAGGAGATCATCTTAGCATTTAGCTACACCACCAAAGTAAAAAGTAACATCAAATTAAAGAAGAAAAAAGAAGGGAGAAGAGAAGAGAAGAGGCAAAAGAAAAGAAAAGAAAGCATGCTGCAGAAGGGATCATTAACGTATGGGGGCGGAGAGAGAGGTTACAGGTCTGTCTCTGTCTGTCTTTTTCCCTTTTGTGGAACTGAAGATTGTCCCGTACCCTATGACGACTATGCGCTAGATAGATAGACATAATACACCAGTGCAGTGAGTACTCGCTCGCTCGCTCGCTCCAAGGCATGCATTGGCAATCCCCCGTCCTCCAAATCTAATACTCCTCTCCCCCTTCCATCATTTTACTTTCTGCTACGATTCTTGATGTATATCTCGTTTTGGAAGTATCACATAAATAACCTCGTAAAACCCCCTTACCAATTCCAAAAAATCTCCACAAAAATAATAACCCATGCACCATGTGCCCATTCCATTCACCAGAGATGAGATCCAGGGCTACCTACTTAATGTTGCCAAACATTTAAGCACAACTATAGTCTATAGCTTACTAGTTATATTCATCTTTATTGATCACATCTTCCTTTTTTTAGTGATATACTTTACGTTCCTAAATCTGCGTCAACTTATAACAACTATGACATATTATTACTCATAAAACTAAAAACATTAAGTAGTAATAATAATGTAATTGAAGAGCTTGTGCGTGGGAGAATTAGTTAGAAAAACATTGTAGAATTATTGTTTAATTAATACCCAAGCTGTCGGCCGATCGATCGAGAGGGGAATATATGCTTTCTTCTTTCACAATCAAAGTAAGATTCGTCCCACCATTCCATTCCAATCCAACCCTCCCCGGCGCGGCCCAACACCCCCTCTCTCTCTTTCTATAATATATATATATATATATTACGTCCTATTTTGAAATTATTATTAAAATTGTCCATTATTTTATCAAAAACAAATTGTCAATTATTATTTTTTATTAAATTTATATTAGAGTTTGGATTTAATAATCAGAGCTGCATATTTATTTGTTAGAAGTTATGAAATATTATCATACTATAAATTCAATTTAATTTATAATATATAATAGATATTTTATCAGAAGTACCCAAGATATCATATCGTCTGATGCATATAGTTTTAATAATTAAACTCCAACAGCTAGCCAAATGCAATCTTAACGTCTGGAAAAGGGTGGGCAATGATCGATCTTTATATATAGCATTTCAGGCTCATCAATCCAGTCCAGTTAGTTTGAATTTGTTCCAATGATACTTTGAATGATCACCAAATCTTTCTTCCTAAAATTACTTTGACGCCATCTATATATATATCAGCTAATATACATAAATGTCCCCGACCGTCCGGCCACGCGGAAATCTGCATGCATGCGCTTCAAGTGGGGAAGCCCGGGCAGCTGATTGGAGAGGCAGCCCTACTTCCCGCAACTTATTGATCAGTAAAATTTCCAAAGCTGATTTATTTCATTATTATTTTATATTTCTATTTATTTATTAGTTGAGTTAATTAATAAATTACGCACCCATGATTCCATGAATGATAGGCTAGCGGACCTAAGTAAGTAAGTAGTAGCACAGCCACAGCGTAACATCCACATGATGCATGTAATTATGAGCAACTTTATGTATTTTGGCTTTTGCAACTTCTCGATCCACTTGTGATTGAGTTGAGCGAGCAAAAAAGAGATGCTGTTATGCATGCTACCCCGTCCTTGTGCATGCTGTATAATGTTTTTATGCCATATTTAATTTTCCTTCCCGCATTAATTTATTTGTATATATATATATATATATATATATATACGATGAGGGGAATTTTAATTAATTAGGAGATTAAAATAATAATTAGCAAAAGTTGTGGTTTAACTCTTAGTATGTACGCTATTGTATAGGTTAGTTAGGAAAAGGGGTATTAAGTTTGTTACTTTAATGGGCTTTGAAATAAAAGAAGCCACGTTAGAAGTTAGCTTGAAGACCAAGCACCTTTTCCCCCAAATGAATATATTCCTCCGCCAAAGAATGAATATATTCCTCAGCAGCAAGGTGAAGTTAAATGGAGGGAGAGGGACCCGTAGAAGCACCATCTTTATGTGATGTCCAGTCCAACCATTCTTACTTTTCTTTCTGTTCCGACCCCTCCATTCTTTGATCTTTCCCACTCTCTCCCCCCCTCCCTCCCTCTCTAGCTAGCAAGATATTAGGAATGGGCTAATACCATTGATGGATAGGCGACTATGGGTATCTCTTATGGTATCTCTTTCGGCCAAAATCTTAGTGAAACATAATTGATTTACACTTTTGACTTCTTACCAAAAATGCAGTTCAAAGTTCTTTGAACAAAGTTCAAATAAGAGTGTTTGATGTTTGTTATGATTTACGACAAAATTAAATTAAATTATACTTCTATTAAGGTTCAGTGAAAGCTCTAGAACAACAAGTATGACTAGAATTGTAGAAGAAAATATAAAAAATGATAAAGTTTGACATTGGATTGTTTAGTGTGAATTTGACAAACCTTTGCTCCGTCGTCTTCACTTTCTAATTATATCTAATCATAAATAACTACCTTGAAAAACTCCTCAACTAACGTGGAGTGATCGGTTACCCTCTCAACTACCCTAACGATGCCTTGACATTGGATGTGTCACTCTCTTTAGTCTTAACCCCCCTCCATTTAGTACTTATTTAGTAGTTTGCATGTCGGATGAAGAAGAGGGTTAAGGCAAGACTCTCCTTGTTACATATGGCTGGATATTCGAATCATATGTGCTAAAATGGCAAAAATAATTCACCACTTATGACCATGATAGCAGTAGGAGTTCTCCACTTGCCACTTGATACCATCCCCTTATCAACCTAAGGGTATGTCAATCTCCCTCCCCATCTTACTAAGGAGGTACTTAGACTATTAGTCACACTACAAGACTGACTACTTGGATGGCAAGACTACTAGGGTGATGGTATTAGGAAATATATTTCCGAATAGTGTTACGTGCCACATATTTTACACAATTATATTTGATATTCTTAAGTGAGCTAATTATAAGTGATAAAATTGAGAAGCCAATCACTAATCAAAGTTAATATGGGTCCAATGAGTGGAAACCCAATACATACTTACTAAGATTTTATGGGAGCCTTGGTAAACTAGTATATAAGGAACCATTTTTTAGGTTGTGGTCCCCAACACATCAAGAGCAACATACACTCTCTTCTTCTCCCCATCAAGAAGATCAAAGGTCTCCCGTTTATGAACTAAAGAGACTTGGTTGAGAAAGGTCACAAAACCTCATGGATCGTGCTCTAAGAATATTCTCCAGTTTTAGATTGTCACTCAGATTCTGCATCCAGTTATTGGCAACCCCCCCCCCCCCACACCCACACCAGGAGAAGTATGTTGATGACCGTACCCCATTGCCAAACCTCACCTTGCCACAAAGTGTGTACTCCAAGGTTGGTCATATTTCACCTCACCTTATAGAACTAGGGGTATATTGATTACCTTCCTAATCACACAAGGAGCGGTGCTTAGACAGGATACTACATTGCCATCCATCTTTCACACATCCCTCACCTTGCCACACCGAGGTGGGTATTTTTTTCCTCATCTTATTGCACTAGGGGATATGATGATCACACACGCCCAAGGTTGTCAAACCGGTTTGTGCCAGTGTGCCGGTTTAGCAAGTGGAATGGTTCGACCGGTGGTACATACCGGTTTGTACCGGTTCATGCCGGTTAATATTACAAATAATTTACAAATACTCATATTTAAGCATGACATTTAACGTCAATACCTAAATATTTGTACTTGAATCCAACAAATAACATCAACATTTAACTTTTTAACACATAAAATAAATAATAAATTACTTTTTATCAAATAAATTCACTAATATAAGATCATTTTACTTAAAGATTCGTATATCGATCATGTCGATCATACCGGTGGTGTCATACCGATTTTATGACCAGTACAGGTTGAACCAGGTTAAACCAGTGGCACGCCGACCGGCGTGACAACCATGCACACGCCCAATCGCATTAGGGAGGCTCATCGTCACACCCTCCAACCTTATCCAAAATTTGGACTGTAGGTCTAGTGTGCAGGTGTGCTGAAATGGGTGTCATAGGCCCAATAACTCAACCCATACGGCTCATTTTAATCGATTTTAGTTGTTATAATTAAATTGGTCGTATAAAGCCATTTAATCCATTGTATTTAAGCAATGTGGTACAAGGTTAATTTTTCTATAAACGGTCTTTTAATACCAAGGTTTTCAACTCATTGTTTGACCTGCCAATTGACCCGGTTTGACTCTAATATAGTGAGTGAAATGGGTCACACACACCGGCAGATCGATCCACTACAAGATTACAGGGTTGTAGGTCACACGCCATCGTTTTCTCTTTGATTTTCAAAATATGCCTCTTTTCAGTTTTCCTCTTCGCCTATCTTTAGTTTTAAAAATTCTAAGGTGAACATTTGAATTTTTATTTTTATCTTTTGGTTTACAAAGTAAGACATTTGAGTATTGATGTTATATAAGTGTGTGTGAATTTTTATTATATGTTAGATCCAAGTAAGACATGTTATTTTGGTGTAATGTTATATGACATTACTCATATGTTAGATGAGATTTGATATAGTAAAAGTAATATAACGACGTTTTTCATATATCTAAACTAAACCGGACTAACCGGTCGGACCAGTAATCCTCAACCGACTTACTCGACCGGGTCAACGGTTCACAACCTTGGTTAATGCTATTATATGTTTTGTTTTGTGCCAGAAGCAAGGATTAGAAAACCCTACCGTACCGACCAGTTGGGCCGTAAATATCGGATATCAGACCTAAAACGGTAGGCAATTTTAGCAGTTGAAAACGGTTTATCACCATTTTAATACAAAATACCCTACTACTCATTTTCCCGTTATAATCATTTTAAAACAAAATACCCTACCACTCATTTTCCCGATATAACCTCCGGTACGGTTTCCTGAATTTTGACAAGAAGTGAGTTAGGTTGGATAAAATAGCTCGGGTGCCTTGAAATAAAAACAAGTTGGTCCATTCAAATATGTGATGGTTACACTTTAGAGGCCCACTCCAACAGACGAGACAAGCGCATATATCGTAGCCCAATTTAACGAGCAGCATCCCAAGCCCATTCAATAAACCTCGCCGGTAAGATAAGAGACCAAACGACCTAACCAACGCAAAGTTTCGGGTACCCTGTTTTCCCTCAATCGGAAAAGAGGCTGGCTAAGACTAGAAGAGGTTTGCCTAGTCCTACTTATTTCACAGAGGCCAAGGCCTCCAGGCTCCAACAAACTTGTGTTCATTGTCTCCTACACGGACCGAAAGATAACCCAAAAAGACAAAAGACCAAAAGATAAAGGCTAAATTGCAAGTTTGGTCACTCGAATTGCTACAAAATTTCACGTTTGGTCACTCGAATTCGTTTATTCCATTCGTAGTCACTTAAATTAGTTGAACAGTCCAAGTTAGGTCACTCTTCGTTAACCTCCATCAGACTCCGTTAGTACCGTCAGTTAACTACTGACGTGGCTAACATAAATGCCTAGTCACCCAATTTTAACCCAAGAAAAAACAAAAATTGACCCGCCACGTCAGAAAAACATGCCACCTCATATATATAAACACAACCCAACCCACCCAACCTAAAAAAACCATTTACCCACCCAGAAATCGAACCCGTGACCCATCCACCCTTCTTCTTCCTCTATACCTGCTTCCGCCGCCGGCGGGGGGATTTTCCCTCGATCTCCCTGCTGCAGCCCCCGCCGCCGGATCCAGATTGCGATTCCTTATGAACTTCTCCGCCTGGACCGACGGGAAATTGGACTCGGCCATGGACGCGAAGTCGATTGCAGCCCGGGACAAGGCGACCAACGACAGAACGAGGAACGCCCTCAGCGGAAACAATGTAGCTTTCGTCATTTCTGATTTCTCATGTGAATAATTTTCCGTCGATAGCAAGGTAAGCAGCAGGACCTTAACGAAGAAAGAAGAGAAGGGAGAGTTCAGTTACTTCTTATAAGAGTAGTGGGGAATCGCGACGATGAGAGTGAGAGAGATGGGATAAGATAGAGTGACGGGAAGTTGTGGGCGGGGATATTTTTATAGGGCGGACGTGGAGAGGCGGGATCCAGATTTTCGGGTCGAAGTCGAAGGCGTCGTAGGTCGCGGAGGCAAACTCGCCGTACTTGAGGATCTCGCAGCGGAGGGTTGGGTCGATTGGGTCGAGGAGGCTGTCCCAATCGTCGATTCCGTGGAGCTCCGCCACCGCCCGGATATGTCCCGCTTGGGGGACAGTGTGGGAGTCATGTGGTCGCCCCAATCGATGAAATCGGAGGCCGTCTGGGGAACCTCGAGGAGTCGTGCCAGTGATTTTTGCGGGCGACTGCTGTTCATTTTGGCGGCGACGGTTTGGGGGTTATTGGATCTGGCGGCAGGGGCTGCAGTAGGGAGATCGAGGGGAAATCCCCCAGCTGCGGCGGAAGTAGATATAGAGGAAGAAGAAGGGTGGATGGGTCACGGGTTCGATTTCTGGGTGGGTTAATGGTTTATTTAGGTTGGGTAGGTTGGGTTGTGTTTATATGAGGTGGTATATTTTTCTGACGTGGCGGGTCAATTTTAGTTTTTTTTTTTTTTGTTAAAATTGGGTGACTAGGCATCTCTGTTAGCCACGTCCGCAGTTAACTCACGGCACTAACGAAGTCTGACGAAGATTAACGGAGAGTGACCGAACTTGGACTGTTCAACTAATTTAAGTGACTACGAATGGAATAAACGAATTCGAGTGACCAAACGTATAATTTTGTAGCAATTCGAGTGACCAAACTTGCAATTTAGCCAAAGATAAATCACAAGGCTGGCTTAAGCTTCAAACAACATGCAGTTTCTCACTCTCCCGGACCTTGACCGAAAATGCAAAGCTGCCTTCGGGTTGATATTGGCTGCTCCACAACCCACATTCCAACTGCTCCCTTCCTTTGAAGGATGGTGGGTGCAATCATTTCCTGTTCATATCTCCCAAGCACACATATTTCATCTGCACACAAGACAAACATTATAAAAAAAAAAGGTAGGTACAATCATATCTCCCAAGCAATCATATCTCCCAAGCAATCATAGCTAGTCCCCCCCCCCCCCCCCCCCCCCCCCCCCCCCCCCCCCCCCCCACCCCAACTATTTTCCCAGCTCTTGCCATTTCAAGCACTACGTCCAACCTTTTGTCAAAACCGAAACCTCAAAAGAAAAAGAAGAAGAGGGCATGAATACCGGCAAGCATGCATGGGCATAACAAACAGAAACAGAACAATCATTCTCTTTATACGTGTAAAAAGTGGCGGATCCAGGAATTCTACATAGGAGTGTCATTTCTCGTACCGTATTTTACTAACTATACTTCAAGTGACCACGTGGACATGCAAGTAAGTTTCAAAGTCCAGATATTCGCCCATCATTTGCTTGAGGGGAAAAGAGTAGAGAACATACCTCCAGATATTCGTCCATCCCATACTTGGAACCTTCCCGCCCAAGACCAGACTGTTTCACTCCTCCAAATGGAGCAACCTACATACACGCCCACACAACAATCAACTCCCCACTGACCATCACACCCCCCATTATCTACCATTGTTATTTCATTGACAGAAGCCCAATGAAAAACAAACGTGTAGATGATGCCTTACCTCTGTCGAAATTACTCCTTCATTAACACCAACAAGTCCATACTCCAGAGCTTCGGTAACACGCCATGATCGTTGAACATTCGTTGTAAATATATATGCAGCCAATCCTACATTTTCCAACCCCAAACAAGAAATGCTATAATAATGTCATTCCATAAGACATTTTGAGATGTCTTGGTCATTGCCACACCTACGCAATTCGCATCACTCACTAATGCAGATGTAGCTCTTTATCTAATCGAGACCCAAAAGGGATGCTACTTATCGAACCTGCATTGGTGTCATTAGCAATGCTAATAGCTTCCTCCTCTGTTTTGAACCGCATCAGCGGGGCCACTGGTCCAAATACTTCCTCTCTGAGGGAAAGTCAAGACATGTATACATAAATAAGTGTATAAGAGAGAAAAAAAAAAAACTACCTCTATGGTGCGACATGGTGGTATGCTACTGTAATAACAATGTGGCTATATTTCACCTCGAGACAATCATGTCACTACTGATATTTCCCAGTACAGTTGGTTCATAGAATGTCCTCCCAAGGCTATGCCTTTTGCCACCAAGAAGAACATCTGCTCCCTTCAATTATAACAAATTAAAAATGATTCAGCAAAATCAATTTCAGATATCAACTACAGTATCCTAAGCCATCTAAAGACGTATAACAGGTGAAATTGAAAAGGACGCTTTGCTGTCCAGTTGGCCTCTAGTCTAAAGGCCATCTTCTCCAAGCACCAAAGGCTGTGGGGAAAGATAATACAAGTGTCTAAGCAACCCACTGAAATACAGCTAGAGCTATTGGAATGTGAAACTTAAGGGTACCATGGATCCAGTGGCGAAGGCAGCATTTCAAATCACCCATGTCCTCTTTTCATAACTTAAATATATAAGTATCTAATAAAAGAATTATTATATCAAAATAATTCATTCATAAATTAAAAATAATCGATTATACTATCATACTTTTCAGAAACAAATACGAAGGAATTTCATATAGTGAAAGAAGCGCAAAAACATTTATTGTCTACACTATTATATAAGTCTTACTAAACAAGTATTAGCAAACTGGTCGCCAAATCGACTTGGAAATTTGTTCTTAATATAACTCAAAGCTGAAAATGCTCTTTTTACACTTGCAGTTGTAATTGGTAGATCAAAACTAGTGGGATTGCCGTTGTCGCTAGACAATTTCAGGGTTGTTGGGGAAAGATCGAATAGACATAAGGAGAAAAGAGACCCGATTAGTTCTTTATTGCAATTGGAATTTCGTTTATTATATAATAAATTAATTTTATGGCAATTTTGGACAAGTATTGTAGTGACAAAGTACTCTAATACTACCTATACGTGTTGTGTTCCATCACCAACATAAATATATATGGCGTACTTTTGTTCCACCGAAATTTACCCCTGTCCTAGCACAAGGCCAAAAGGCCTGCCTCCGCCACTGCATGGATCACAAAGTTTAATTATAGCACTAGTAGTAGCTTAACTATATGCAGCATTTTCTCATTGTTTACCAACATTTGGCACTTTATATTTTTATAAAGTACCAACATTTTGCACATTCTTAAGTTGGCAACTTCACTATCTAAGTAATATAGTAGTAGCTTGTTTCGCTCCTGTCGTCACGTTCCTATTTAGGGTGTCCAGATTATATCGAAACCACTTTAGCCTCACTTTGACTGGAACAAGGGAAGTTAATATTGAAGCTAAGAGAACAAGCAATTAGTTAATTGAGCACCAAAAACTCAGTTCAAATCCTTCCCTGTATCATTTGCAGGCATTCCGACCTCAATGACATGAGAAATTATATCTATTTTCCAAATATAAAGTGTATAAACAGCTTATAGACAAACAACTGATGCTTCCTTCAAAAAGGAAAAACAAAGAGACAGATGATGGAGATAGTGAGATAAGACAAAAGTTCAACAAGACAAACCTTTGAGACGGCATCTTGTACAAATGATTCAACCTGTCCACGTCATAACAAGACCAAAGGGAATAGCACACCAATTAAGCTATCAGATAACCAAGACAGCGAGGAAACAATATATATCAAAAGGATAGTAACCTTTTGTATTGCAGCATCATTAATCAGTGGACCCTGTCAGAAATGTAGCAACACATAGATCAGTATCTAATATAATTAAAGCTGAACTATTGTGAGACTTGCTTTATGAACCTTGTGTCAATACTTATTTGTGATCTTCACCAACCAAAGAAACATTGTACAGAAGTATAGGTGCTGTAAACAGTAAAAGTGTGCCATTGTTTAGTGGCCTGTTAGAGCAACTCAGTAAATGACACCTCTAACAGCTTTCAGCAGGTGAGCAAAGCGAGAGTATTAGTAGCACACTGATAGCAGACTCATAACATTTGCTAAACATGCCACAGCGATGAAGGCATACCTGGGTTGCGCCTTCACTAAAACCATCACCAACTTGCAAATTCTGAACAGCTTTGGAGAAAGCAGCAGCAAATTTATCATAGATGCCTGCAAAAAGGGTATATACTAAATTAGAACAAAGCAAAAGGAGCAGCAGATTGGTGAGAAAGAAAAGAACCAGTAACCAATAAAAAAGCCATAGAAATTATCTAGTAGTACCATCTTGTACAAGTATTCTATTCGCACAAACACATGTTTGCCCACTGTTGCGGAACTTTGATCCAAGCTGCAAAGTTAAACATAGTTATATTCACATCAAGATGAGAACTACGAGATCAAGAATGAAAGAGGACAACAGACAATGGTGGACCCAGAATTTTTTAATAGGTGTGTCGACAAAAATAAAATAAATAATAGAGTACACAATTGCATTGTATTCACTGTGAGACGCGATGACTTTTTATATTATGAAAGGTTTGTGAAATACATTATCGTTTATTTTCCAACTCAAATCTTTTTCAATGTGTACAACCAAACAATCATTGATAAATTGGCCACTAATCCGATTTCAAAAAATTGTTAATGAGTAACTTCATAGTAAAAAAAGCTATTCCACAGCTAGTAGCCACTATAGCCAATAGATGTGTCAATTAAAAATTTCAAAGGTGTGTCCGATACCATGGTTTCAAGTTTTTGTAATGAGGAAATATTTATCTTTGAACTGAAATTTTGGGCAGAGGTGTGTTGCTTGACACACCTCCCCCTCACCTGGGTCCGCCAATGACAACAAATGACGGCACTGGAAATATAGAAACCATTGCTGGTAAGATATGGGTGAGGACAATCAGCCCCCATCTTTATGCCCAAACAGAAACTCTGGAGACTTACAGTTCCTTTAACAGCAACATCCAGGTCCGCATCATCAAATATTATACAGGGTGCATTACCACCAAGTTCCAAAGAGACCTAAGAGAGTAAGGCAGAAGGACAACCGGGATTAAATAACTACCATAACTCAGAAAAAATAAAGTTCAATTATTCTAAGCTTTTACCTTTTTGACAGTCCCAGCAGCACCTGCCATCAACTTCTTTCCCACAGCTGTTGACCCAGTGAATGTGATCTTTCTAACCTGGGTGATGCAAACAAAATAACAACAGAATAGTGAGTCACCTCTATAATCAGTTGCAAGACCATTCAAACAGTCAGAGGATAACCATACTAAGGAGCAATACCCGAGTGCTGGCCATCAGCGCATCTCCAATAGCAGGAGCATCTCCCATAACAACATTAAGGACACCCTAGGGCAATTAAAGAGTGCCATTATAAACAAATTAATGAGCAGAGTTACGAAGTTTTATTCAAACCAAGAACAGAGATCCTGCATCATTGATATTCCATTGCATCTCCATATACAGAATAAACAAAATTGACTGAAGATTAAATAGAAGGGAGCTGTCTACTTTATCTTAAGAAACTACGAAAAATCAAGTGGAAGGTTTTGTCAGACAAGCAAAAGGTCTATAGTCATATTGCATGAAGATGCTGTTCTGAAATGTAGGGTTGTACACTGGGTATATAAATATTTGGTTACTTTTGGGGTACCACAAATATTTTGAGAAACTACTGTCTACCCCTTCGTGCCCTACCTTGTGTAGAAATACATTAAATTTCCATGGTAACTACTTGAAAAACGTACCGGGGGAATTCCAGCCTGAAGAGCCAGCTCGACTGCTGCTAAGGCTGTGAAAGGTGTTAGTTCAGAAGGCTTAATCACTGCTGTGCAGCCACATGCAAGAGCAGGACCAACCTGAGTATAGAAAGAATTTGAAGTCAATTGTGATCCGGAAGTTTCTGTTCTTGGAATTGTTCTCTGCGGGCCATAAAGTCTGAGTAAGCATACCTTCCTAGTAATCATAGCCAAAGGGAAGTTCCAAGGAGTAATTGCTGCAATAACACCAACAGGCTGGCAGGAAAAGAACACGAGTCAATCCTTGCAGTTTGAGGATGAACAGACACAGTTTATAAAAATCTAGACACAGGAAGTTCCAAGAAACATGCGGAAGCAGCATAGCACTAAAATCAGTTTTGTAGAACAAGAATAGAAGTGGCGCATAAACACAATATACTGTATCAACGAAATAATTAATGTCACCTGCTTAAGGACTAGAATGCGACGATCATTAAGTGTTGGTGGGATTATGTCTCCGTATACACGTTTTGCTTCCTCGGCAAAGTACTCGATGAAACTGGCTCCGTAATTGACCTGTCATTAGTTAAAGCTCTAGGATCACATATTTTGGATAATCTGGGTGACTGATGATTGAACAAAGCCAAGGTGCAAATCCTGAAAGAGGAAAGAGGTGGGTGGGGTGAATGGCATACCTCGCCAATGGCTTCTTTGAGAGGCTTGCCTTGCTCCAAGGTAATTAGTTGCCCAATCTCTTCTTTGTTGGCCATGAGTAGGTCGTACCTAAGGATAAGCAAGGAGGAGGCTGGAATGGTTAGACATGAACATACCACGATTCTAACGATTTTAGGCAAATAAGGGAATTAAAGAGATCGAACAGATGGTTACCATTTGCGCAAAAGTTGGCTCCTTTCAGTGGCGGTGAGCTTGCTCCAAGCTGCACATGGAAGTCGCATTAGCAGCAATGAAGAAAGCATCCAAGAAATATGAAGGTTGGAAGGCATAGGGAAACGGGGATTTTACCAGGGAAGGCATCGTAGGCAGAGGAGATAGCATCTTCGGTGTCTTTGCTTCCCATGAATGGAACATATGCGATCACTTCACCGGTCGACGGATTGTGAACCTGACAATCATCACGCAACAACAACAACAACAACAAGAGGAGAAGCGCGAGCGGTGAGTGAATACGGCCGCGGCAAATTTCAAAAAAGAGGGCAGAGGCGGAGAGATGATCAGCATGTGGAAGGAGCGGTGATCGGAGGGACATACGGGCATGGTTTTGCCATCACGGGCATCAATCCAATTGGGTCCGATGAGGCCCTTGGTGCGCAGGAGGCCGGCGCTGGTGAGGCGGGCGGCAACACTCTCCGTACTCAGCTGCCACAAGCAGGCAAACAAACAAACAAACAGAGAGACGGTAGAGATTGAGATCTGGAGGCGGAGTTGAAGGATAGGAATGGGAAAGGAAATCTGGGTTCAGAGAGTTCATACAGTGCGAGAAAGAGGAGCCGCAGCCATGTGCATTGAGACGAAGCGGTAAGAACCCGCCATGATTCTTCTGGTACAGGAGGACCTCATGGTTGCGACCGGTGGTGTTGACACTCCCACTGAAACTGCAACTCTCATCCTCTATAATTGAATCAAAGAAGGGAAATAGAAACCCCGAAAGGCGAGATTTTAGGTTACGTGTCAATAATCGACACTATCCTCTCCTCCACTCTTCACTCTCTTTGACTTTGACTGTCGACCTTCCCACTCCCTCGGTTACTACCTGGACTGGATTGGATTGGATTCGACCGGCGGCCGGAGAGTAGTGGTAATCTAATAACCGAATCGGTAGGGCAGTCACTTTCTCTTGCTCTCCTTAGTCCTTACTAACACCTCAGTCCTCAGCTTAGACCAACTCTACAGTTTCCTTTCTAATCTTCACCCTCGATCTTCTTTTTACTATTATCATGCGCCGACTCTGACTGAAAGAGTGAAAGCAGCCTCGTGGCATATTATTTTTATAAATACAATTTAATATCAAACCTTTTATTTTAAACAATGTACTAGCTAAACCTTTTCGAAAACAATTTAATAACCAAATCGTCAACTTTTCGTTCGTTTGATCGTTAATTGACACTTAAAAAAGCTTTGTTTAGGAGAAATTGTCACAATACAACTTTGTTTTCTTGTTTTGGCATAGCAGATGACTGAATATTTAGATATTCTATACCATCATGGTGGAGTCATAGACTTCACAGGTTTGGAACTACGATATGTTGGTGGTTTTTCAGAGAAGATATCGATGTATATTGATGAAGTGTCGTACTTCGAACTTTTTTAAGTGTCAACTAACGGTCAAACAGACAAAAAGTTGACGATTTGGATATTAGATTGTTTTCGAAAAAGTTTGGCTATTATATTGTTTAAAATAAAAGGTTTGGATATTAAATTGTATTTACCCATTATTTTTTATCTGGCTTTGATTTATTTGCCTTATTGGACTTGGCCAAGGATATTATACTACAATACTCCTATTTTCCCCTTTTTGTCTTTTTTTAACCTGGAAATTCAAATAAGTGTACAGATTTTGAGCCAAAGACACCATGAAAGGAAGCAAACCACTTGGAAAAGGGCCAACTCAAACCACATTTATGAAAAGATAAACCCTACACACAACGGGTTTGAAACCACAAAATGAAGAGCAAAGCCCATAAGACAAACGGGCTTGATAGAAGAAACTCTAGCAAACAAATCTGGCTATTGTGCTAACAGCCAAATTCATGAGGATATACTTATAGGGCCAGGATTCGACCACATCAACAAAAAAAAAAAAAAGGATGGTTGTGATTTGTTGGCTTGAGAAATGGCTTGATTTGCCCTCAAATGAAAAACTGAGTCGGCTAGCTGGCTAAGCCGAAGGAGAGGGACCACCAAAACCTTTTCACTCATCCTTTCTCATTTCAATTTGTCATCTCTCCCCGATTCCACCTCCTTCCTCTCCTTCCCTCTAGATCTCTTCTTCGCCCCAACCTCTCTGTCACTACAAAACCCTAGTCTCCAAGAGAGAAATGAGAGATGAAGAGTACACCGTGGTAGCTGGGGATCAAAGAGTTAAATAGGATACAACTTCAAGCTCGTCGCTTCTTCATAAATAAGAAGCCTAGGGATTCATAGTCAACGACGATGGACAAGGGTACGGCGACGGGGAGAGGAGAAAGATTGGTTCCAAACCTGGTCTCCCTACTTCTTCCGACGAGTCTGACGACCGAGAGCACAAGAAAAACATGTGGGAGATCAGGTGTGTACCGATTTTGAGTTTCTAATTGGTGGTTTTTTAGATGTGAATTAATTGTTTTGGTTATCCTTGTTGTTCTTTGTTTCTACTTTGACTTTTTATCAGTATGGGCTTCATGAGATTCATATGCACCTAGAGATTGACATAAATGGAGTAGAACAACTCCTCCTTTGATTTTTTATAGCTGGTATTCCTTCTATCTTGTTTTTGCCGGCTAATAAGATCTCCATGGCTCAACTGGTTCAGCCGATTGCTAATGGAGCATTTGTGTTAAATATGGATACCGATTTTGATGGTTGTATGCATGATTAGGAAACTTACAGCTTAATTGCCTATTTAGCATGATTGCGCAGGATGTAGAAACTACTGGTTTATTTATGAATGAAAAACTTTGGTTTGAGCTCTTTTATTTTTCTGGATTAACGTTTGGTCTTGGAATATCCCCAGATGCTATGGTTCTGTCCAGGAAATAACATTTGAGCCTTTAATATGTGTGAACGACTGGAGCATATTACAAGAAAGGAGGAAGTTAATTTTGTTGAATCCTGTAGTGAAGGTGTGCTAACTATAGAATACTTTATGAGCTACTTTCTTGATTCCATCTTCCAAATAGATAATGAGTTTATACTCTGATTTTCTTATGAAAGAAGACATTTTCAATATGGGTTTCCGACGAGGTGGGTTTGGATGGGGAAATGATTTCTGCAGAAGATATACGAAGATTTCAAGTTCTCGAACGTGATGTGGCAAAAAAGGAGATATTGCCTCATCGTGTGCACTCAACAAATGGCTGGCCAAACTCCCAGATGTTGGTGTAGTTGTGTCACTCTTAGATATTTGTATCAACTAAATATCATGCTCTAGAATGTATGTGTAATAGAATTAAGTTGCCATGCACTTTCTCGGCGAGGATAAGCCATTGAAATTAACTATATTGTTAGTTGCAATGCACTTTCTCAGTTTTCCTCTAGAAGAGAGGAATGTTGTCCAACATATATAGGATTTGTGTTGAACCCGTATAGAATATGTGTTTAATTAAATACTAAATATGAGTTAACATGATAGTGAATATGAGTTTGGTTAACAATGAATATGGATGTACCTGATATTAAATGAGTTTATATATGGATGAATATATAAGTTCAGCTGAAAATTGACTATACCTAGAACTGCATTCTTCCATATATAGTTTGTGATCTAACTTAATATGACCTCGAAGATGAATGAATAATGGTTCATCATTTTCAGAATTCTGCCACAAAGATCTTTGAATTTGAGTTGAAATTGTGAGAAATATGAGTTGACAAGGTATCAAAGATGTGAATGTAAGAATTATGAACATAATATGAGTTTGCCCTATACATAAAACTTGATGGCATTTTAAGAGTCATTTGTAATAACATAACAGTAAATGTGCTAACATGCTACTACTCATACTTGGAACACTGTGCTCTTGGTTGAATTCTTATCGTCACTTTGTGGCTAAAAGTCCATTTATTTTTGTTGGAATACTTAACATTAAATATGAGTTGAGTAGAAACTGGATACTCAATATGACTTGAACTAACAGTGAATATAAGTTTATTTGGATTTAAATATGAGCTTACATATGGTAGAATCCGAGTTAATTTCATATTGAATATGACTTGTATATAATACCAGGTTAACTCATATTTATCTAGATGTTAACTCGTATATAATATCAAGTTAACTCATATTCATTGTCTATTCAACTCATATTCAAAAACATGTATTATCATATTCGGTGTCAGTTGAACTCAAATATACCAATCCTCATATTATACTAGTTCAACTCATATTCATCCAAAAATTTACTCATACATAATACCAGGATAACTCATATTCATTCAGATGTTAACTCATAAAATATCAGGTTAACTCATATTCAGTGTCTACTCATTCATATTCTATAACATGTATTCTCGTATTCGGTGTTAGTTGAGCTCAAATATACCAATCCTCATATTCGATACTAGTTCAACTCATATTCATCCAAAAATTAGCTCATATATATTACCAAGATAAGTCATATTCATCCAGATGTTAACTCATTAAATATCATGTTAACTCATATTCAATGTCTACTCCATTCATATTCTCATATTTGGTGTCAGTTGAACTCAAATATACCACTTCACATATTTGATACTAGTTCAATTCATTCATATGTTAACTCACATATAATACTAGGATAGATCATATCCATCCAGATGTTAACTCATATAACATATCATGTTAACTCATATTCAGTGTATACTCAATTCATATTATATAGCATGTATTCTCATATTCGGTGTCAAAGGGACTTAAATATACCAGTTCGATATTTGATACTAGTTCAACTCATATTAATTTACATGTTTTTAATGATTGGTAAACTCATATTCACTGTCAGTTCAAATAATATCCAGTAACAGATCAATTCATATTCGGTATTATTTAACTCGTATTCAATAACATTTATTTTCATATTCAGTATTGATTGAACTCAAATAATAGAATTCTAATGTTTGATGAGCACTTCTACTATGCTATATAGTATTGGTGCTTTAATGTACAACTTAAAGTTGTACCATAACATTAAATGTATAAGTTTAGGTTGTACGATAAAACAATTTGTACCATTATGTTATGGTACAACTTTACATCTCGAAGTTGTACCATCACATAAAAGTACAAGTTCAAGTTGTATCATAAAAGAATTTGTACAAAAAGTATAGGTACAATCTGAAATTGTACCATAACGTAAATGTACAATTTTAAGTTGTACCATAAAAGCAAAATCCTATAGCACCAATACTATATAGCATTGTAAAATTTCTCTTTTGATACATATGATGTACTACAACGAGCAATTTGCTTTTAGTAGTCACCGTTCTCGGGTAGGTGGCCTTGTTCTGCATTCCTGTCTTCTTCCTCGCCAACTTTCGTATAAAGGAAAAATTCATTGTATATACTTTTATTTCTTTATTTTCTTGTTTTAATTTTTTGCTTTCATGTTTTTTTTAACGGAGTGATAGGCAAGTTGGCTTGTCTTTCTGGCTACCTATTCATTCAATTCAAAACAAGACAACCCACTAAGTTCATTAATTGATTACAGTATGCTTGCAACCGGCTAGTTTAAGTGTTACGGTTAATGGAAGTTTATTTGGGCACTTTCTGCAGGTAAAGGGGTTAGGCAGGGGATCCTCTCTCCTCCTACCTCTTTACGCTAGGATGGAAGTTATTTCTACCATTATAGACAAAATAGCAACAACAAATCAACTACCCTACCACCCTCAATGCAAAGAAGTAGGTTTAAACATCTATGTTTTGGAGGGTGTAAGAAGGGTACTTGACAAATTTTTCAACTTATCCAGGCTTAAGCACAATCCAATTAAATGTGAATTATTTTTTGGAGGGGTAGATGTTGAGTTCAGAAGGCTGGCACTGTCTCGTTATGGATTCAAGAGGGCCTTGTTCCTAGTCAGTACGTTGTAAGTGTGTTGAGTTGTCGTTGACATGTGTGATGATTTGGCATCCTAGTCAGTAGTCAGCCTAACGTTAAACTAATTGACGAAGTTTTTAACACCATTAAAATTTCTGATGGAAATGGCTAGATTTGTTAAACGACCATCCAATTTTTTGTTGGCTATTTTGTGTTTTCGGATAGTTATGACTATATTTGTCACAAACGTGAAAGTTATGGTTATACAAGTATATTTTGCCTTTTTAATACACATACTATTTTTTGGAATTGAGATTGGAATGGACTTTCAAGTATTTATTTTATATTAGCTTGTTAATGTGCTTTTTAGGCACCCCATTTGTCTAGTTTGTTATTATTATACTTGATATTTTTTATTTGTTTTGCATGAGTTGGCACCACACAATTGTTTGTTTTTACTAATTTTGAGAATTGTTTATGGAGTTAGTATTTGTGTTTGTATATTTAATTTGAATTTTAAAGGAAATTAATTTGGTATATACAAACACAAATTTAGGGATCAGGATACCGAATTTATATTGGGGATTGATGGGTCATTTAGTTTTGGTAATAATTAAATTGATGCATTGTTAGCAATGCATGAATAATAGTATATATGTATATAAGAAAACTGGTGTATTGTAGTTTACATCGTTTGGTTTATATGATAGGTGTTGTAGTATTTAAATAAGTTGTATTGGTTTTTGAGTGAAATGTTATTTTTATCTTTTGTTTTGATATAAAAAAGCAACACACACATAAAAAGATAGAGACATGATTGGAAGATAAAAATCCAACAATCTCACCCAAATTTTGAGAATTGGAAGATAAAAATCCAACAATCTCACCCAAATTTTGAGATTAAACTATCACTCATTTTGAGTGATAGTTTGTATCACATCAAACAAACAATGCATGTATTTTGTGCAGAAAATTCAGGAAAAAAAAATGATACATTGTGGACAATATATTGTAACTATCCCAATCAACCTATCATCAAAATCAAACGAACCCTGAAATTGATTTTAGAGTACTACTTATTATTCGTAATTTTAATATTTGATACTTGAATACCAAATCAATTTTCATCCCTAGATTGGATTGGAGGTACAATGTTTGTTTGACACTCTCCTTCTCATATAAACCGGACCATTAAACAACAACCGATTGAATCACCATCCTAGTTATCAATATGGGTCATTAGCTTAAAAAAAACATGATTCATTAGCAAAGAATTTGAAACCAAAACAAAATCATTAAGAATGAGTAAATAAATAAATAACGACCTGGCTCTGGCGGGCTAAATAAACGAAAAAAGAAGAGAAAGGTATAAACCTACGCGTCTTCCTTTGAATTCTCTCCCTGCGAAACAACATTGAGAGAAAAGTCAAATTTTTAGACCTCTGCTTCTTGGGTTCTTCCCTCTGTTTCCGCCACCCTATTTGATTTCTGATCATCCAAGGAACTCAGCCCTTAACCATCCCACCGAGTCTCAAAATTCAACCATGCCACCAATTCCAAACCTAATTAATTAAAATTAATTATGCATCTTCATGTCGTAATGTACTTGTTGTAGTATATATAATTTGACAGAGAACAAAATATTATCAATCTATTAAAACGCAAATAATCAAAAACCAAATTACTGTTCCTTACGACAAAAACGAACCATTAAATGCCTCCTAATTCAGTACGAAAAAAACGGAACCCTCCTAATTCACAGCATATATATATATATATATACGCGCTAAGGTTACTGTTGACCCGGATGTTTTCCATTAATTATTAATCTATTAAAACACAAGTAGTCAAAAACCAAATTATTGTTCCTTACGACAAAAACGGAACTATTAAATGCCTCCTAATTCAATACGATAAAACGGGACCCTCCTAATTCACTGTATATGGGTGGGGGGTACTGTTCACCCAGATGTTTTCCACTGCAGTAGACCATACAATTTCTTGTGTGCCAATTAAGCATTGAGGGCCGATTCCTTCCTCAAATGTCCAAATCAATTCTTATATAATTTGTTTGTAAATTGAGGAAGGAATATCAAAGGTCTCATTACGTTGCTCTAATAATAAAATCAAGTTATGAAAAATAATTTGTATTATACAAAGTTTCCGAAAAGTAAGTTAGGGTTTACATAACAAGATACGTAATGTAAGTTAGGTTTTACATAACAAAATAATCAAATTATAATTTTTCACCGCTTGATTTTATTATTAGACCATACATTACGGAGTACTTACGTAACATCATTCAATAAAAATAGTTTATTTTCATAATTTGATTTTATTATTAGAACACACATTACAGAGTATTAACGTAACACCGTTCAATAAAAATTACACAAACGGAAAATATATTTAATACATATAAGGAAAGTTTAATTATTTTTTATGTATCAACTAAGTAAAACATACGACATAAGTTTTTGTAATGATTAAGACACAACATAAAGCTTATGGATAGAAAATAATGTCTTATGTTCCAACTAAACAAACATAAAATGCAATGATTAAGCCACAACATAAGGAGAGAAAATAATGTCTTATGTCCTAACTAAACAAACATATAATGCAAGCCTCCCTTAATATAAGTTTGAAAGAAAATTCATGCATTATGACCTAAACCATTGCCATTCATCGGTTTGCATTACATAAAGACTTTGTGACATCAATTATTTTTTACATAACAGTTTAGTTAATGTGATACTATTCATAATTGAAATTCCTTTATCATTATTTGCATTTTCACCATCTCATCATTTGCGTAAACTTGCATAAGGTAAAATCACTTTTGCATAATAGTTTAATCAAACGTGATACTTGATTTTACGATTCATTTACAAATTAGGAAAGATTTACGTAACACTATTCTATAATATTTACGTAAATTATATTTATTACGTAAGGTTCATGAAGAGATTTTTATGTATCCAATAAGAAACATATTACGTAAATCTTCTGTAGTAATTAAGATACTACGTAAAGCATATAAAGATATCTTATTCAAACTAATTTTGAATTATTTGATTTCAGCTAAAGCATTAAACGAGTAGAAGAAATTGCAAATAAAATTAGTTTCTTACCGCGACAAAGTGCGGGCCAAAAAATTAGTAAAACAATAATAGAAGAACCCAATCCCCCCCTTCTTTCCTTCCCTCGTTTATTCATCATCGCCTTCTGCAGTTCTGCTCGTCCATCTTTCTTATTCGAAGTTCCACCCAAACCCCCACCCCCAAATACGTGTAGAAAGACAGAATTGCTTAGTGATCTCCACCGCCGGCGGCCCCCCACACTTGGTCTGCTCCCCCACCGTGCCCGTCTGATGAGCAACGACAACGCCGCCCCTTCCTCCAGTTCCGCTGCTGCCAATGGATCCGCCGATTCTGCTGCTCCCAGGCGCAATTCCAAGCGACCTAAATGTAATTTCCCCCCTTACATCTCTCTCTCTCTGCCTCCTTCCAAATTCCTTCACTTTTTGCTTTCTCGATTCTTGCTGCTACTTGTTGTTGTTGCTGCTGTTCTTCTTCTTGGCTTTCATTTCAGCCCTAATTGTGGGCAGCACAGTAACCCGGTTAATCAGCTCAACTCAGACTTGGATCTTCCTGTTCTTTCCATTTTGTATATGTCTTCTGTAGCAACTTCCCTTCGTCTATTTCCTTGTATAGCTGCACCAAGTCCCGTGATCTAGTCCTAATTTACAGACCGGATGATCGCAAGAGAACTTTGAGCACTTTACTTACTCCACCATCTTGTACAATTAACATGGATTTGCTTCTTTCCCTTTTCCTTTCTTGCAGATTCTAAGTTTACACAACAGGAACTTCCTGCTTGCAAGCCGATTCTCACGCCAGGATGGGTGATCTCCGCTTTCCTGCTGGTCAGCGTCATCTTCGTTCCAATTGGAGTTGCTTCCTTGTTTGCTTCCAGAGATGTATGACTCAATCTTTTTCCCCGCCCACCTCTTTGATCTCTGCTCTCCTTCCTAATGGATCTTCTTTCTTCACATTAGGTTGTTGAGGTCGTTGACCGCTATGAAACCGCATGTATTCCTGCTCAAAACAGAACTAACAAGGTTGCATATATCCAGAGTTCTGCCAATAAAATATGCGTCAGAACCCTGACAGTAAGCATTTCTAGGAGCTCCCCCGTGATCTAGATATCCTCCTGATTGACTTGTACTTTCAGTTTATCCTGTTGCTAAACTCTTAACTCCTCATTCTGTTTGATTTTTCTTCAATCAGGTTCCAAAGCGTATGAAGGCACCTATTTATATTTACTACGAGCTTGATAACTTCTACCAGAATCACCGCAGGTACTGATAACATGTTCTTGTCTTTGGAAGATAAGAGAAGAGAGGCAGGGGGAGAAGTGTTAACCGGAGCTTAAGATCTATGTCTGTAGGAATGAATCACACTGGGTCGTTTTATGAAATACAAATGCTTCTTCTCGCTACTGTGAAAACGGTATCCTTTTCCTATAACAAGTTAACAACTCTAGCGAGGGTAACAGAATGTGCTGCTAGCAGATATCCCTGCATCATTGCTGGACACAGGTTGTGTCCTGCATGAATTTGGTAAATTAAGTATCTTAGTGCAAAGTATACCGTTATTACGCAAACTAGTTATAGTTGCTAACTTGCCAAAGCAGAAGTCCTTTGTCTCCTGTTTCCACTTGTGCTTATCTTTTCATATGTTGATTGTTATAAGTATACATGTTCTCTGTTTCTAGTTTGGTGTTATTGGTAATAAAGTTCTGTCTTTCAGGTATGTGAAGAGCAGAAACGATATGCAATTGAGAAGTAACAGTAGTCAGGACGATACAAGTAATTGTAAGCCTGAAGATCTGATTAATGGAACAGCTATTGTGCCATGTGGTCTTATAGCTTGGAGTTTATTTAATGATACCTATAGCTTCTCTCGTGGAAATGAATCGTTGAATGTGAATAAGAAGGACATTTCATGGAAGAGCGACAGAGACCACAAGTTTGGTGACAATGTTTTCCCAAAGAATTTCCAGAGCGGAGGACTCAAAGGTGGTGGGAGTCTCAACGAATCGAAACCGGTAAGCCTTTGATTTCATTGTTCTATATGACAGAGCTAGAGCTCTTTATGGGCCATCCTGCTCGAAGAAGACGTTTTCTTTGCTCAATCCAGTCTTACAAAGATGTTACTAATTTGTTATTGTACCACTCTATTAACTCTACTATCTCTTATAAAGAAAAATAGGATACAGAATGCTTATCGTCCAATAAAATTAATCCTTGTAAGCCTCTACAGAGAAATGTTTGGTAAGTGTTTGACTTGTTTGAACTGGGATTACTTTTACAGCTTAGCGAGCAGGAGGATCTCATTGTGTGGATGAGAACTGCAGCTCTACCAACTTTCAGAAAGTTGTATGGGAGGATAGAGGTGGATCTCAACAGAGGTGATACAATAAATGTTACATTGGGCAACCACTACAATACCTACAGTTTCAATGGCAAGAAGAGACTTGTGCTTTCAACAACAAGCTGGCTCGGTGGGAAGAATGACTTTCTCGGCATTGCTTACCTTACAGTTGGAGGGTTATGCCTGTTCTTGGCAGTATGTTTCATCATAGTGTATCTTGTGAAACCCAGGTAAGCTCTTTGATGTTGATTTGTAGTTCCCAGAGCATTCTATCCTTTCACAGTGATGTTTTTTTTTACTAACTGGGTTTCTGCTTTGCTGATCTTCTACCATGTATCACTCAATGTTATGTAGGTAGTTAGTGCATTCCCTGGTATGATTTGCATATATGACTTGTGCTATGTAGGTATCTTGTGCATTCCCTATAGTTGCATATATTTCTTGTGAAATTATGCATTGCCCAAGGATTTTCTTCTTTCTAGAAACACAGGCACCTGATAATCTTGCCGTTATAGTGTATCGAGTCTTTTTCATCTAATTGGCGTTTTGGGCGTCTGTATGCCTACTGTCTGTCCTTTTGTTTTTATCTCGTTTGGCCTTGAAAATGAACTAGGAAAGTGATGAAGTGAGACAACTGAATGTGTGCATTACTAGGACATGAGTAGGCATAACCGTGTGCCATTTGTATCTGACTAGCAGTGTTTTGGATAATTTCAGGCGGCTTGGAGACCCCTCTTATCTATCATGGAACAGAAGTCCTGGAGGGCAGCGTTAAAAGGAAGAGAGGCGGCACCTTTGGTAGAACGAACTTAATGGGGCTAACCCAAATATGCCTGATGTATCCATTTAATGTGTTTGAGAAAGATGTTAAAAGGCCAACTTGTTCGGTGTAATTTCTTATATGTTTTGTGAAGGCAAGGAGTTCATGTATAATTTCCAGGAATAGAGATCATAGAATTTATTTATAGCATCCTACAGGTCTCATGTCTTCGCTTCCTGCCTCTTGCCTGACCAATCGGATACGGAAACACCGTAAAAAGGCAATACGGACTTGTCAAACTGTGCCAAAAGATATTGCAAGATATGGCGAGATTTTGTTCTAGTGAAAGATAATAAAATTTGGAATGAACAATGGTATGACTATGAGTGCGGGAACATGAACCTAGAGGAATTGGCTCAATCCCTCCCACAGGAAGCCCAGTCTCTCATTGTGGCCGACATGGTGTCTTAACGGTGAGTGGAATTTGACATATCTCCGGGCTTTCTTACCTCCTGAGGTGGTAATGCAGATTCAGTTGCACCCTGTGCCCCAAGAAGATGAGCATGACGTACCAGTTTGGAGGTTTAGCCCAGATGGGTGCTTCTCCCTCAAAACAGTCTACCCCTTGACTGGAGAAGAGGAACAACCAGGTGGTACGCATCCTCTTTGGCGTACAATTTGGCGTATACCGGCTCCCCAGCATATTTGTACATTTTTCTGGCTTGTGGCGCATAGACGGCTTCTCACGAATGGAGAAAGGAGACATCGGCACCTTACAACCACGGATGTGTGCCCGATTTGTGGTGCTAAAGGGGAGTCTGCACTTCATGTCGTCCGGGATTGTCCTTATGCAAGGGAGGCCTGGCCCGAGCTTCTGGGGACGGAACCGGACACCACCTCTTTCCAGGCTGACTTGATGCGTTGGGCTCTCCACTACATATCGGGTAAGAGCAAGATGATCCACCCTACCAGGTTTGTGGTGATGTGTTGGATGCTTTGAAAGAATCGGAATGAACATGTATTTGAGAAGCACCTAGAGGCCACGAGCAGGCTACGTAGCAATGCTATCATGCTCCAGTCGCAGATACAGGAGGCTGCAGGATGGGTAGCCAAGGTGTTCGAGGGAAATGGGGATTATACTAGGAGTATGGTGGTTTGGAACCCTCCCGCACAAGGCTGGTCTTGCCTTAATTCGGATGGATCGGTGGTGGCGGGTAAAGCAACAGCAGGGGGTGGTTCGACGTGATGATGGCAAATTTTTGGGAGGCTTTTCAATGAATCTCGGTGAGGGATTGATCACGAAGGCAGAGCTAGCGGGTATTGTACAAGGCTTGAAAGCAGCTTGGGCACTAGGAGTTCGACAGCTAGTGGTTCAAACAGACTTCCTATGCAAAGCCAGCTATGAAGCGAATAAAGTAGTTCTCTCGATGGTTAGGGAACGGGAAGGTAAGGGAGAGGTTAGAAGTCACTCGAACGAAGTAGCTCGAATAAAGTGAGAGGAGAGGTACGAAGTTGCTCGACTGAAAGGAGAGGTACGAAAGGAAGCACTGCCGGGTTTGGGGCAGAAAGTACCTAATTGTTGGGCATATATCCAAGGAATCAAGAAATCTTTCGTCACGCTTGACAAAGATGGAAGCTACCTTTGGGTCCGAATCAAATTCGTCTACTAGTTTGGGATCAAATCTTTAAACTGGATATAAAATGCCATTTAGCGGCCTTCAAGTCGTGTTCCGTGCCTCTGAGGTACAACTGAATAGGAGATCGAATGCACGTTACGAAGGGTGGCAAAGGTAGAAGACTCTTGGAGTTGGAGTGGCATGTAGAGTTTATTCGCACGTACAGGGAAGGGAACGTCGTTGCAGATTATTTGGCAAATTTGGGTCATGGTCTCCCGCCAGGGGTTCATACCATTGATGCCCCCTCTCCTACTCTTGCTTATTGGTTGTATCATGACTTTATTGGTGTTCAGACCCCTCGATTGATTTCTAATAGTTAAAGGTTGGAGCGCCCTTAGCGCTCCGTTTTCCAAAAAAAATGAACCTAGAGATTTATAATTAAGAATTATTAAAAAAAAGAAGAAAGAACAAGTTCCATAGTGATAGTGCGGCATGGCTCAGGCCAGTCCTTCAACTATGTAGTTGACTCGCCTTTACCGTCACACTAGAAAATGGCCAAGTACAACCACCTACTAGTGCGTAGTATAGCGGGTTTGGGATTTAATGTCAACCCGGGTCCTAAGTGTGATGACTACTCCGTGAATTCTTATTATTTAGCAGTGAAAGTGTAGTGAAGGTCCAAGTAAAAACAAACAAAGCAGTAAAAGGTTGTTTTCAAGTTGAGAGAGGTCACCAGGATATGGTTCCCCCTAGACTGTAGTTAAGCCAGATTGTAATTTACCAAGTTCGAATTCAAAGATAGTTATACTGCGGGAGGTTCTTAATAGTCTGCAGTCTCGACTAAAGGTCTCCAGACCCTCTCAATCTAAGTCCCCAGCGGGCGACTAACCTCCACTGGAGTAAACAGATTGAGGCCCTAACGAACCAAACCTCCACTACCGAAGTAAATTCGGTACAGGATAGTGAACCGACTCCTCGACTAAAGTCGTCAATTCACTACCTTCAATCAAGGGTGCTCTATCAACCTAGGCATATATTCTCTTTCTAGGTCAAAGCAGAAACAACATGAATTTGATCAGGATTCATGCCATTCAACAAATCAGACCTCAATTGAATATAATCAAATCAATGGATTCATACTTGGGTTCATACAATCAGACCTAACATACAAATCTAGGGTTCTTCATACCCAGGTGAATGTGGAAGTTACTCCATGGAGAGAGAAGCAAAATCTAGCTCATAAGCAGAAAACATGCTGTGAAGAATGAGGTTCTGCTTCTGGTCGTCAATCGGCACTTCTCCAAGCGTTGTCCGGACTCCACTGACGATGAAGATCGATCTAAGGCGCTTGGGAACTCTGGTTCGTCACTTTCTCTCTCTAGGTATCACTTCTTTCTCCAAAACTCGGAACCCCTTCACAATTGGCCTTCTTTCCCTTAAAATCCAGCTGCTCGCGATCCCCGGCCATAATCCCCGGTCGGGTATTTCAGGTGCCCGGCCGGGGATTTCGAAACGCAGCGCAGCGGTGAAGGCCTTAATACCCGATCAAGGTCACGAATACCCGATCGAGTATTTTTGCTCTTTGGCCGGGACCCATTCTGTTTCTCAACGTCCAAAAATGCTTTTCCCCGGCCTCCATGGAATTTTTACCCGACCGGGTATTATTGCTCATGGCCGGGTATTTTGCTCCTCCAACACCCTTCAACTCAAACGTCATTCTTTAGACCCGAAACCCGTTTCTTCGCCTCAACGTCAACGCCAAACCCTGAAATATGACATAAACACACAACCTAGCGTGAAATTGGCTTAAAACACGAGAACCAACATCTCAAACGACTCAAGAATGGAGATAAAATACGTGCGATCAATGGTCTATCAGTAGTCAATTTTTGTAAGACATTTCAACATAGAGGAAAGTTTGTATTAAATGCATGAACAAATCAAAGATAACTATTAATTATTTTCTACCCATCTTCTCCCCGTTACCATTACTAGTTACACTAAATAAATATTTTGTATCTTTTTAAATACAAAATCTGAAAACATAAAATCTACAAATTGTATGACATTTCCACTATTGTTAGCTTGCCCACTAACTCTCACAAAAGTACTTTCTTTGTTATTTGATATTTTAATTTTCATATTTTAATTATTTTAATTTGAGTTTAATAGTAAATTTCATCTATGTCCTCTTATAAATGGAGAATAATTTTAATATTGCGACCCAAATATCATTGATTCGAATATTGTATATTGAATGTGTAGATGTGATGTAAAATTCTTAAATTGGTATCGATTTTCAAAACTATTAATGCAACGATATTGTTATGCAAACTGTAAGTGGCCAGTTTTTTTGAAAGTTTTAGTTTGGTTAATCGTTAAATCCTAAATTTCTTGATAATATGGCATGATTGAAAAAATGGGTGAGTTTAAAAGAACACAATTTATGAATACCAATTTTTATAGATTATTTCAATATGGTAATTATCTAGATGTATCATTTATAGTTACTTAGTTTAATGAAATGACGCAGTACAAGACAAATCATGAAAGTCGGGTTGGAGTTTTCATGGACGCGTTGACGGGGTCATGTGCATCAAGCAAAGGAAGTAAATATTGACTAAAGGTTATCATCATGGGTTTCTTATTTAGCCTACGCTTTTTCAGACAAACTCTTTTTTTTATGTCAATTTTCTTTTCGACCATAGGCAACTAAGTAACTACATCATTAAATATACAAGTTATGAATAGTTATTCACAAGTGCCACTGGCTTGACCGACTCAACGACTTAAACCGGTTTGACAACTTTGGTTATACCCATTAAGATTACAATGTTCACCATTGATGAAAAGTTATAAGAATTTCGAAAATGAAAAAATAATTTTAATGTCACCTTCATGTCATAAGAAATTCAACATTTCAATTAATTTAAAAAATTTAAATACACATCGTAAATACATTGTGTTCAAATGACATTCCGACCAACGGGTCGGACAACAAGCTAGTATGAAGAATGGAGCTCTAGAAGGGAGCCTAGAAATTCTGCCCATCCTTCTCAGCTAGGAGAGTATCATTAAAACTCTGGCTCTCTGCCAAGGAATTACGTCAAGGTAATCATGTGTGATGGAGCTTTCAGAAGCGACATCCAGAAGGCGAGCATTGTCATTATTATAAAAGATGCTCATGGGAAGATCTATGACGGGAGAGCTGAGAAAATTCACTATAGAGCATTTGCGACTGCTGAGGCTTTCGCCATCCTTGAAGTCGTTAAATTGGCTGCACAGGAAGAGAATGCAATTCTGATAATTTCAAATTGTAAGTGTGTTGTTGATGCTATCGGGAAGCCTCTTGAGGAATGTCCTATTGGTTTTGAAGCATCCATGGCGGCAATCCAAGGACTTTTAAATGAGTCGGACTGGTGCAATGTCGCTTTTCAATCGAGAAGTGTGGTTAAAGAGGCGGATTTCAAAGCAAAGAAGGCTTGCAACAACACTTTACTTCCGGATTGGATAGCGAGTTTCTTTTAACGTTGATGTCCTACTTTTGTTTCTCTTCTGTAAGGATTTGTTTGCTGGTGTTTCTTTTGCAGAGTCTATACTCCTTGCAAGAACTCTTCACCAGATTTTGGGGGCTGTGAATGATACTAGTATCATGTTTCTAAAAAAAAGTATTAATTATTTTCCACATTCAAGTTTCAACTGTTTACAAAAAATCATGAATCACACATGGGAGGATTTAAAGCCCAACCTATAAAATGTGATTTATCATTGAATGTCTGAATCTAACAATTAACCCACTATTAATAATCCTCTCTTCGCCTCCTTTATTCTCATAATAATTTATGTAAAATTCACTTTTCTATATGTGTCATCTAATCCTAGCACTAATTAATCACCACCCGCCTTAATTAGCTATCCACGCGTCAGTTGTATGCAAATTGGCAACCTTTGTAGCCTGAAAAAGGTTAATCGAATAGAAACCATCACATTACTTGTTAATCAATCACTAGATTAGTAGATTTCATTCTAGAACTGGACAAGGAGCATTGGTAATAGAGGACTCACTAGGATCTACCGTGACGAGGATGGCAGTGCCGCCGAAAGAGCAAGAACCGCCAGCTGACTTGGTTCGCTGCCAGTAGCTGTTGAAAGCGTAGGAAGCGTGGGCAAACACTGTGTCCGGCTGAGAGCACGGCCCGCCAGGCTGTATCGAATCACAGTCAGCACCGGACCCGCATGCGTAGTTCATCGCCTCCTGCATGATCGGATCGGGCACCGATGGCTTCGCCATGCACCACAGCGCTGCCGGAGGCCCCGTCCTTGGAGACGGCGGACCAGTCGGCGGCGGGAAAACCACCGGCGGCATGAAAGCCACGGGCGGGCTCGGTACATCAAATGTAGGAGGGGCAGGGGGTATTTGGGCCTCAGGCGGATATGGCCCAGGAATGGTGTAAGTGGGTGGGCCTGGAGTGGCTATTCCTGGAGTAGATGGGCCAGGAAGAATCGGGACAAGTGGGCCCGGGGGAAAGTAGTAGGAGGAAGGACCAGGGGGAGCTGGCGGTGGGAGGAGGAAGGCGGGGGTGGGGATGCCGGTCGGCGGTGGGAGGAGGAAGGTGGGAGCGGAAGGTGTGGGAATGCCGGTATCGGTGCCTGACGGTGGCGGTGGCTGAGGCTGAGGCTGAGGTAGGCCTCCTTGTGGAGGTTCGTTGCAGTAAGGGGGAGCATTCTGAGGGGACAATGAATCGTACGGCGGCAGTGAGAAAGGGGAGCTGACGTACGGCTGCGTGTTGGATGCTCCATCGCCCAGCGTTTCTCTCTGGAGGATCAGGGAAGCAATGTCGAAACGGCCGGTGGCTCTCAGTTTATTCCCCTTGCCTACCGCTAACCCCGGCGATCTCCTTCCATCTGCGCCAATTCAATCAACCATCGAGTTGGTGAGTCGTGCAAGCAAGAGCACATATTTGCATCAAGAAATTGTCAAAGTCACAGTAGATGATAGGATGAGGACTAATTCATCATTATTAATTCTGAAAGCGAGTTATTTGGTCACTGGCTTGCTTATCCTGGAGCTAAAGAAGTGACGGATTAGTGCAGATTACAACTTACAAGCAGAAATGCAGTTAGAGAGTTGTGAGGAACCAACTTACTGCAGCCTGGGATAAATGAAGAAGAAGCCAAGGCAAAATACACAAGCAAGAGAGGAAGAAAGGCAATGGGCCGTTGATGTGAGCTGCTACTTCTCCTCATCTGGCTTAAGCTAGCAATCAGTAAGAATATGTGCTTGGATTGCTTCGTGAAATTCCAGTCAAGATATAGGCTTATATCTGTGGGGTGGAAGCGCAATTCACAGTTAGCATTACCAACTGCAGGTAGCTTCACTTTGGCTGCCTACACATATACTCTTCACTTTTGCTTGTTAGTCGATGTGTGTGCCTCAAGAAAAAACACCCCAACCCCACGGGATATTGATGATGGCCATGTAATTGTCTACAGCAAGTCTCGTTTTGTTCCCTCACTATTTAAGTCTAATAAAGCAAATAATGAAAACAATTATCCAATAACCAAAATGTGGTCTTGTTTGGAAATAATGAGAAAGAAGGAGAAGGGCCGATGAGGTGAGTGAGCATATATGCTTACTTCATCCTGGCAAAAAAGACACAGCTTGCATCAAAAGTGCTTGTTTCCCATCTGCTCCTTTCTTCTTTTCCCTTCCTTTTGCTTGCTTTCTACTCAACCCAGGTCTTCTCTCTAATACAGGATTTCTATTCTCATGGATACGTTCTTTAATTTTTATTTGCTTTTTAACCCTTTACCTTGTCCTTTGAATCCTAGGAAACGACCGATGAAAGGAGCCCCTGTGATGGCAAACCATCAAGACAAGTCATTTGGTAAATACAAACATTTTTAATAGTGAACGGTATCATTGTGTTTTGTGTCTTTATTCTTTACCATTTTGCTTCCAATAATCCATTTAGTAATCCTCTTGCTAGTTCTTTTTTTTTTTTTTTACTTCATTAAATAGAGCATCAAACTGATTACCCTCACCCTATTCTCAAGTCCAACAAACCATAAACATAAACTCGATTATTGTTGTTTAATTATCAATTTGATTCATTGAGGAATAATAATGATATTAAACGTGTGATACGTTCAGTATGAGAGACTTCAAACAAAGGGGGAAAATGAGACGGTTCTTACTGCTTCCAGCATAAAGAATTCTGGATCTTAGAACGGATCATTATTAAACTATCTGGAAACTTACTAAACACTTTTAGTACTGCAGGGTTGATTATATTGGAGAATATACGCTATCTGGAAACTTCACAGCATTAGTTAACTTAAACTTGTGACGAAATGATGCAATAGAACTTAAGCAAATCATGAATGATGATTTGGGCTCTTTTCAATTAGATGTCCTGACTCTTAAAATTTTCATTTATTTGCAGATGACTTGATCGTCGATCCATGCAATCTTGAATGGATGAGAGAAGCTAATTGCCCTGTTCTAAGTCAATCTAGCTCTAACATTTTGTTATTTTATTCAAACTATATGTTGTCAACTTGCCATTGGAAATTTGGAATAACTCATCACTGTTGTGAAGAGGTTCTTCACACAGGTAGCTGATATCACACATTCACTTCAACGGCCTCCTAGTAAAAAGGTGTGTATTACTAGACATATATTGGGTTACAGCATGTAGTGCTTAACTGAATGAAATGTATTTTTGGTTTTAGGGGTGGCCTGTTTGTTTCACCACCTTACTGTTTTGCTCCTTTTCCTTCTCTCTTTATTTCTCGTGTGCTGAGCCCGTGGGAGATACATTCACTTCTGTGTCTCTTTTCTCTTGTGTATTTCCCTTCATCACTTATATAGATGGGAGGATTTTGGTCTTCATAGTTATACAGTATCTGTTTATTATGTAGTTGGATGGTAGAGAAGTTGCCAGTGGAGGCCTCGGTGAACAAATACCGTGCATTGCTAGGACAGCAGTCGCTGTGATAGAAGTGGTAAATGCTTCAGTTTGAGCATGATAATATTTTAGACCCTGCAAAATGCAAACAATCCATATATGCAATACAACCGTATATAAATATGCACCCCATTTACTGCCCTTGCATCCCTTTATCCTTCCTTCATAATGCGAGGAGAAGAGTTCGCCGTTAGGATGACAATGGATTTGGATGTGTTAGGTGTATAATGAATCGGGAACCTCTTCAAATGATGCCAGCAACAAGGCTAAAATTCCAAACCAGGTAACTGTCAGCAATAGTACCAGGTATTAGAGAGAAAAAAAAATTATATTCATATGGTTAGCACCCTATTGTTCTCTTTCAGATGTTTAAGTGTTTTGGTACAAATAATGGCTTATCATTAATCTAGAGAAACCCAGCACGTTCACTGATGATGTGATGATACAAAAGTCCATTCATACTTTGATTCGTTATCTACCATCTTTTTTCCATGAAGCAGGGCCTTACCACTGTTGATGACTGCAGAGCACGAGAAACGTGGAGAGCATTAACTGTTTGGTGTAGGACAATCAGAAAGGGTCAGTCAACGCATCAGCATTTTTGCAATTGCAAGTACAATATGGTGGTTCAAAGTTCCCTGAGGTGTGGCTGCTTTGCATTCTACTAACTTCAGTTAAGACCAAACTCAGTAGGAAAGTAGTAACCCAAGTGAGAAAGGGTCGGAGCCATCTACAGAGAGCAAGAGAAGGTCTAATGGCATTGTAAGTCTTGCTCGATTTCTGGAGTCGAAACATGTCCAAAAGATGAGTTTGAGCTTAGAACTTCTGTGAAAAATAACATTTACTTAATCTGTTGGCCACATTGCTACACCAATACCTATCACAAGTTCAAATCCAGAAGAGAGAAATGCAAGTAGTTGGTCTTACTACTCTATTGCTGGCATCAAAATATGAGGAGTTACGGGCATCCTTGGGTAAGAAGTTGAAATTGGTCAGACTAATTGCTGAGATTTGTGCCTGCAGAATCTCCTCTAAACTTGGTCACCCATTTGCACTGCAAAATGCAGATCAAGGATCATGTTAGTAACCGATGTTTCTTTACCAACATACGACAATTTTCTGAGTCCTGATCTGGATAGTGGTGCTGCTATAAAGCCCTTAGATATGCTTCGACTTTCAAAGTTCAAACTCTCCCCTACTGGATGCGTAAGTATCTTCCTCATGGTCATATCCGATGACGGTTTTACAGAGCGAAGGATTGAGATAGGTTGCAGGCTTCTCTGGTCTGGCAGTGGTGATTTTGTTTGTTTGATAGACAAGTATTAATGATTGTATATGTTGCTATTATCCTTCTAGATGCCAGTTGCTGATATGTAATATTGACCAAGTGAAACGACTTAACAGAAGTGATCGGACTGTGACATTAGTGGAAATCCCCAACCACTTGTGGGTGTGTGGTTGAGTTGACTGAGAGGAGAGGAGAGGAGAGGAGAGTATCAATACTTGTTGCCTTTCATTCAAACATGGGTGACGGAAGTTAGGAATGGCTTGTTGCTTATGCTGAACTTAATCAGAAAGGACTCTGATTCACTTATGATTTTCAGGTCAATCCTACTTGTTAGTTGCAAACATGGGTATAATTGAGTTGGTTTGAATTAGCTGCACCTAGAAAGAGTTGCATTAGCAAGAAATGCTCCCCTGTTCCGAAGCAAAGAATGAAAGAACTTGAAACACACTGGTGGATTCAAAACTGAAAACATTGAGTATGTGCTAGAAGCCTAGAACGTTTATATCAAGCGTGACAACGACAGCGAGCTACATGCATCCACCATGATTTCCCTTTAACCAATGCAAATTCGTCTAGGACGATGGATAGTCTAAGTGTAGTATGATACATCATCTATGGTAATGGTAATGGTAATGGTATAGCAACAAATACGTCGAATATATCCCTAGACATATGACGAGAGCTCCTACCAAATAAGGCTCTCGCTCTAAACTTATCTGCCATCCTTACTACGTTAATATTATGTACACAGCGGCAGCCAAACCTCTGCCGTTGTTCCATGCACATCATTCAGTCATTACTACAGTAGCCAACTGCATTGGTATTGCAAATTTACCCAAAAACTGTCTTGCTTTCTCTCCTTTACAAGCCAGCCTGTACGTAATCGGGGTCTTTCAAGTGAGCAGAGCATCATAGCCTTCCCGCACAACCGTCCCTCTGACTGCGTCGTAGAACTCCAGCCACGAGCAGGCAGAATCAGGGACATCGTCCTCGGCCTGGGCCTGCCACAACAAGAAGGTCGGGTTGACCCGAGCAGGACAAGCAGCAACCAAATCGGCAATGGAAACACCAGCGGACTTGAGCGATTGTGGGAAGTTAAACGCCAAGTTATCAACCTTGTGCTCGTAAATCTTGCCATTCTTGTCCAATTTGTAGGTAGAAGTCCCCTGGAATTCACCCTTGGCCTCCCATGGAACCCGAGGGTTCCCCTTCGCATTCCACCGTATCAATATCACATTATCCGAAGGCTGCCAAATCCTGTACACCTCCACAGCTATGTCCTTGAACAGAAGCTTGCCGTGGAACCTCAGCGCCCAGAATAGCAGCTTGTAGTTGCTGATTCCCGTGAAAACGTTGGCTGGGTCGCGAAACGTTATATCGTCCCTGCCAATTTTCGAATAAAAACATTGAAGAGAAGGATTGACCTCAAAGACTAACACTATTTTATGGTTGTTGTTTCAGAGGCTGGAATGGCCGAATGGCAAAGGGGGAGGGACTGGGAGAGAGAGAGAGAGAAGAATTCATATGAACGAACCTGTAGATATCGTAGTTGAGGTCTCTGGCGAAGAGGGTAGGCATGTCCTCTCGCAGAGTCCGGACGGCCAATCCCAAGTTGACGTAGAAATCATTATTGCGGTGGTTGAGATAGGTGGTGGGAGGAGGCGAGCTGTTAAGCAGGGGAGGCGAAGGCGATGCACTGGAACCAGCCGCTGCGGTGGCGGTGGCTGTGGCAGCGAAGGACGGCAGATAGCTGGTGGAAGACTGGAGTTGAAAGCTGGTTGATGGCTTCTCCTTGGGATTGTTATTGGCAGTAAGGAGAGGGGCCGAGAAATTGGGGAGTAGAAATGCCATTGGACATCACCTACTTGGCGAACGAGAAATGATGCGATGCGAGTTTAGAGGGGATACGATGCGAGTAGCGGCAGCAATCAAAGAAAGGCTAACATTACAAATGGTGGTGCGGAGTCGGCTCTTCTGGCAATTAAAATGATCGAATGAGTGGTCTACAAGATGGCCAGCACCACCGCACCATTTTGGCGTTCTCTGACTTTTCCTTGGTCCATTCAAGACCACATCTTTTTAGATCAAGAAGCCAAAACATTGCCCACGCCACGTCAGACCTAACCATTACATGGTTCCTCGCCACAAGACACTATTTATCAATTCATTGTGACAACTGATAAGGGCAATAGAACGTATTTACATTCATTTCACGCATTAGGAAGCTTCATTTCATGAATAGCAACATATACATACCATTGATTGATACAAGGGCACAAAGAAGGGAACTTGCTAATTATATACTCTACTAAGGGGATATTCCAATTTCATTGGAGACAACAGCATCCCCATACGCAAAGGAGTATCAGCCAAATCTATCCTGGGGGAACGGCCTCGGTGAGCTGGGATATTTGATCCGAATCACTGAAGCAAGGGTCAAATGTGCTTCATCATCTTTGCAATAATCAACATTACAGAGAAATTCCAGCCCCTCAAGAGCTTAAGCAGCAATCCTCCACGGCCTACAACTTATAAGGAATGTCCCAGAAAACCGAAGACGAAGCAACCCCAACTGCATCGTTAGCGGACCACTACCCTGAATTCCAGTAACTTACAAATCGGTTATCAACTCACAGATCCATCAAGCATGATGAGACTTCAGACCTAGCAAAATATAGATAAATACGGAATGGAATGTGAGGGCATCTGAATGCATAACCACCATGAATAAAGGAGACCATGACAGAATCTCAGCTACAATTTCAATATCGGCAACGTACAGCACTAATGCACTACTGAGAATAAGTGCATCAGAGACTCTAATTTGTCGCCTACCTTGCTCCCCACGCGAAAGCTCAAACAATTGAGGATGTAAGATTAACAAAAGAAAGAAAACAATTCATTTGAGAAATGTAGGAGCCATCTGAATGCAGAAAGCCCGGAAAAAAAAATATGCAATCTGCCAGAATCTAGGCATCCATTTTTCCTATTGGCAACGTACAGCACTGAATTACTACGAATTGAAAGTAGTCCAGAGACTCTAAATTGTTGCCGAATACCGATGAATATTTCACGAAACAAAACAGCATCGAAAGCAAGAATTAAATTTTAGCAAGGCTCAGCATAAAGAAATTATATTTGCATCAACAAGCTCAAGATTTATGACCGAGCCCTCAAAGTTTGATGGTAAAATTTCAGTCATCACTGCCCTTTCTTTCAAACAATCATTAGATAATGTTCCAGATGAATAAAGGGAAACGGCATGATTTGAAAACGAAATCAAATGTAAGGAAATCAAAAAACGGCCTCAGAAGCTAAGAAACATCATGAACGAAGATTTCTCTTCTCAGATGGTACGGACAAAAGCTAAAACGCATCACCGGCCATTGATCCAGAGTAACCAAGACGACGACGAAAAGAAGAGAACCATACAAGAAAACTTAATCGTAAGGAACAGAGGAGCTGCCTGCGAATCGGGGCTTCTCCCAACGAGTAATGCATTTCGCACTGCGGCGGATGGAGATTATATAGAGCGGATTACAAATGATATGCTGCTGCACGGAGAAAAACCCTAATCCTCCACTCGATGGCGATGCCAGGCTTGGCGCGACCGAATCCCCGCCCCAGCTAAACTCTCCGGCAATTGGATCTGTTCCCATTCTCCCGCGTTCGGTTATATGGGCTGCGCTAAATGCCCAAAAACAAAGACAGCGGCCTACAGATGAAGCCCAACAATCTCAAAAAGCTCTGTGGTACTGATGGGTGATGGCGGTTCTATAAATTGACGGCAATTGCATTTGTGGTATTTAATGTCATCTAATTTTTTTTATGTAATTCAACTCATTATTTTCATTTACCTACGTCAATAAAATTAACTTGCAATTGCATATGTGATAGGTGATTTTGAGGTGGCCGTCAACCAGATTCGACAAGGTGTTCTAGAAAATTCTATTGGAGGTCCGGTGCTACGAAAGTGTCGTCAGATCCAAGACTATTTGTCAGTTTGTATAGAGTTTAGGGTGGTTACTAGAGCCGCCAACAGTGTTGCCCCATAGAGTGGCGCGTAAAGCACTGTTTTTGTCTCTCCTAGAGTTAAGAGTCTTTCAACTTTTTTGGATGGCTTCATTAGGATGTCGTTTGTAAGATGTTTCTGGGTAGTTTTGTTTGTATAACTCTTGTCTTCTCTTGATATCACTCGAAAATAAAAATAAAAACTTGCAATAGCATATGCGGGCACAACTTTTTTTAAAATAAAATAAAAGGTTATTTATTATTTTATCCAAACATAAAAAAAATGGAATTTGCAAATGGGATTGCAAGAAATGGTAGATTGCATTGTTACAATTGAGGCTTCCATCAATACAATTGAAAATGCAATTGCATTTTCATTGTCATATCACTTTGCAATTGAATATGATAGTTTTAAGTGAATGCTCTAAGTGGTAACTACTAACCACTCTACTCACGATTTATTATTTTTCAGTTAAATCTAACGGTAGAGAGTAATGAGGCGCTTCTCTATATGTGATTGTTTTTTTTTGTTAAATCAGACATAGTCTAGGGAGGAGGCGACGAGGGTTGTACATGCAAGGGTTGTGTGCGGAGATGTCGACACGGGCGATGATTTTGATGATGATGCGGCCGGCGTGGGGGTTGGCAAGTCGTTGCAGTCGAGGCCAAGGTCGGCGTGATCAAGGTAGATGCAGGCGTGGTCGAATGGGCAGGGTGGCCGGAGATGGCAGTTGCAAGAGAGAAGAAGATGGTTTTGGTTTCTTAAGATATAAAGGGAGAAACGCGAGTGCCCGAGAGAGATGAGAGACGGTTGGTAGCAATAATTATATTAGGATTTAAAGCATATTGATTACATTATCCTCCTTTTAATTCTGACCTTAAAATAATTTTGAAGCTATTAACTTAGTTAGTACGGTACTAATCCTATAAGGAATTAGCAACTAATCCTATTTTGCTTTTATACCGCTTTAATTTCCTTACATAGTGTATTCTCCTTCTCCCCACCAATATTTGACCTAATATGATCACTATTCATGCATGTATGATCCATCAATCATATATTGCTTAATTCGCTCATTCGTCAACAAAAAAAAAAACGATACTAAACCGAATCTTTTCTTTATGAATCCGGGTTAGAGAATGGAACAGTTTACTACTCAAATTGAAGAGAAGTTTTATTTCATAGGTGGAGGTAACCTAGTTTGCTCTTGTCACGAGATAAGAGTAATTTTTGGGGAGGAAAAAAATACCCCACATATGTTTGAACTAAGAATCAAATTCAGCAACTACAAGTAACATATGAATGTTTTGCTACTACATTCATAGGCAGAGGTAGGTATGTTGGGCCTTGGGATAGGGGTAAACTTCAAGAAACAAATATTTTATATATTTATATTGATGGTGGTACACAACATTTATAGGTGGGATGAGGGGTCGGATACTATGCTAAACCCCTAAAGGGTCTGTTTTTTTACACCCTCTTCTTGATTGGTCACTTTTCCATTTAATCATTTGGTAAGTTGTATTAATGAAAGCTGCTTTTTATTTTATTTTTTGTAATCTTATAAATTAGGAAAGTCTTAATTGTGATAATAATTATGAATGGGGAAGGAGAAAAATATTGGAGGGGGAAAGTGTCTTTTCATCTCCCATATTCCCTCCCAAAAAAATAGCAGCCCATCCCTCTCCTCTGCAGAACTTGACGGTGGCCCTCTCCTCTGCAGAAATCGAAGGCGGCCGGAAACCATCGAGTTGCTCGTCGATGGTGGGATCGCCTTCGACCTGCCTGGTGGGTTGCTCTTCGTCGAAGGACGAGACACAAGGGATGAAGAAGAACATGAAGGGCAGCGGAGAACCCGCCGGAGATGAAGAAGAACGTGAAGAAGAACACCTGGGGGGTTTCTCGTCGATGAAGAACCCGTCGAAGATGAAGAAGAACATGAAGGGCGGCGACGAGTCGTTTCTTACCGCTCCCTGTTGTGAAGTGCAACCTTACAACGTCTGGGAGACGGTGACACTCCCGTGAGCATGTACCACTGATGTGGTACAAGTACCAGTGCAACTATTCAAGCCATACTTTCCACACCAAAATGTGACCATCCACTGTGTTAGATATATTGCACCTATACAAAATTGAAACTCATCCTAAATGTTCCCATTTCAGTGTTAGATAGACTTTGGAGTGGTACCATTGAAATGATACATGTAGCACTAAACTTATATGCCAGTGAACTGATACATGTACCACTGAACAGATATATGTACAACCAATTCGATACGTAAACAAACCAGCAACTTCCCATTAGTATCACCACTAATCGTGGAGTAGAATGTGTTATAAAAAAAGAAAAATGCCAACAATAATAAAATATCCAGCCAATGCAACAAATAAACATGAAGTCACTATGAAATTGTTTGTGGGAAGTCTAAACCAAGGGAAATCAAGTATAGCCTTTATATCCTCTGAACCACACGTCGTTTTTTGTCGCTCCCTGTCGTGAAGTGCAACCCTATAGAGTCTAGCAAGCGACAACACTGTCGTGAACATGTACCACTGATCTGGTACATATACCAATGAATTGATACATGTACCACTGAAGTGGTAACCTGATACAAGTAACCGTGCAACTATTCAAGTCATACTTTTCATACCAAAATGTGACCACCCACTTGCAGTGTTAGATATAATGTACTCGTATCATTAGCAAAATCGAAACACATCCTAAATGTTCTCATTGTAGTGTTAGATATATTTTGGGGTGGTACCATTGAAATGGTACATGTATCACTGAACTGATAGATATACCAGTGAACTGACACACATATAATTGCACCGATACATGAACCACTTAACAGATATGTGTACTACTGAAAGTATATATGTACAACCAATCTGATACGTAAACAAACAAGCAACATTCCATTAGTATCACCACTAACCGCGGAGAAGAATGTGTTCTCAAAATAGGGAAATGGAATCCAGCCAATGTAATAAACAAAAATGAAGTCGCTAGAATATTGTTTGTGCGGAGCCTAAATAACGACAAATCAGGTGTAGAATGATGCCTGGGTCACTTGGGTAATGCAATGGAAAACATAATTTGAATTATAGAGTTGAGGCTGCACTTCTTGCCTCTAAGATAATCAGTATGTTTCCTCTTCCCCCTAATTTGTTGTCCATTATCCTGCATTTCACGAAATCGCTTCTTGCTGGTACCCGCACTCGAGAAATGGTCATGGTCTAACCCATTTTCTTCATTACAAAAACACATAGCTTCCAGGCCTCTTCCCTCTAGGCAGTAGGCACTCAAGGATACAGTCTCTTCGTCCTGGCCAGTTATCTAGACAATAATTAGCACTATCAATGCAGTGATAGAAATACGAGTCAATAAGTAAGACAACTATCACTACAATGGTAGAATTACCAGTACATTTTTGCACCTGCTGACTCCCTCCGAGCACCTGCAAGAAGTACCACTGCACTGGTAAGGCATATCACTTCACTGGTAGAAATACCACTAGACTGGTAAGACACATCACTTCACTGGTACAAATACCACTGGAATAAAAAGTTTAACATTGATAATATTCAACAATAACTCAGACCCTACAATTATCATTATAGTGGTAACATTACCACAAGAAAAAACCCAGATCTTAGTGGGTATGAGAGAGAAAAACTAGACTGATAAGGAATAGTTAAAAATCACAAATCTAGAAAAATCCAGGATAATGATAAACTACCAGTACACTGGTATCAATACCAATACTCACATATGAGTATAATCATAAACTACCAGTTCACTGGCATCAATACCAGTTCCGCACCAAAAACCCAGATCTGGGTATGGTAGAGAGAGATAGTGGGATAGAGAGAGCTACCTCAGATTCTTCGTCGTCGTCGTCGCCGGGAAGGGGAGGATGGCCAGTGTAGGAAGGGGAGACGGGTCGTCATCTTTGCCGGGAATGTGAGGAGGGTCATCGTCTTCTCTGTCGATCCCTTCACAGTGCCAAGCTTGTGGAAGGAGATGGAGAGTTACGACAAGCTTGGCGTTGCTCGAAGAACAGCGACAATCACCATCTAAGACATAGCCCACGACGGAGGATGTGGGACGGAGGGTGATGTGGACTGTGACTGTGAAGAGGCGACGGCGAGCAGGGGAAGAGGGGATCGAGGGAGAGAGGAGGAAACGAAAGGGAGAGAAAAAAGGGGGGGGGGGAGAAGAAAAGGGTTTCGAATTGGGGGTGGAAACCGTTTTTCCCCAGATCCTTTTCCTTTTCCTTTTCCAACGTGGTGAGAGAAATTAATTATGTAACTAATGTTTAAAAAAATAGGTGATTAATCCTTACCATTGGATTAGATGGATGGTATCTAAGAGGGGTGTCAAAAATCAAACCCCTTAAGAGGGTAGTCATGCTAACTGCTCCGTGGGATGAGAGTATTTGTTACTAGACCTATTCGACCAGTAGCTTAGCTTCCCACCTTTCCACATTTATCTGCTTTGTGTGTCGTGTTGAATGACACATGATGGAGCATTATTAACTCACACGAGAGAAATGCATCAGTTATTGATGCGTGTGTCCTAAGCCCTCCAAACACAAGTTATGAGTGTTCTGTGATTTCCTTCAACTTAGTGTTACATTAATATTGATTCAATATATTAGCAAGAACAACAAAGTTACACGTTAATTCCTCTTGTATGGGAGAGACATCATCATTTGGATGTCAATCGCTTTGGGTTATGCTCTGGTTGATGGGTGAACTCGAAATCGACATGGACGAAAGCTCGTTCCACTTCTGGGAGTCGCTCCATCTTCTCTTGGAGTGTCTCCCCTATGTTATGTGCCTCGCACAGAGACATGTCTGCGGGCAACACTATGTCTGCCTCCACAAAGTAGTGACAGCCAAACGTATAGGCCCTTACAGTGTCAATGTGCTTGATCTCCTTGTGGTGGTTCCATATCAGATATATGAGCTTTGCCAAGTACTCCGGTGGCGCAGTTCTTCCTATCAATGACCCCACGTTCTCCATCACTGTTCCTGACCAATTCCAAATTGTGTACACCGCTATCTGCATTATATTTCATTTTTATGTTAAGTTACGAGATAGTATAGTATAGTATAGTATGTGCTACTCATTACTATTTTGATGTTGTCAGTGCATACAATAAAATTAGAGGAAAATGAGCATCACTACTTACAAGAATGGCTCCAAGTGGGTCTAAAAACCAGTAGAATTTGATGGACAATATAGCAGCTGCTAGACCGATTGAGTTGGTGATGACGTCAAAGAAATGGTCTTGCGCGTAGGCCCTCACAATTTCGTTCTGGAATCGGCGGCAATATACGGTGAGCCCAAATTTTATCAGAGTGACTGATGCCATGATCCCAATCATCCAGTTCACTTTGTTAGGGTCATCCTCTGGTTTAGCCTGCACCACATCCACAACCCATGGATATAATATAAGCATATGAATGAATGAATGAATGACTAGTACGTCTTTCTATCCCTCTTGTCCATCCCAAACAAACAACCAACCAACCAACCTTTGCGATGAGTTCCCTCCCAGATTCGAAGATGATTTGAAGCCCCAAAGTAGCCATTACTGAGGCGAAAACCACTATCCCCTGCAGAAGAAGCAAGGCTCCCATTACATTTGAATCTGGAGGGATGACTGACAGTGAGACAAGTTTTAGAAAGAAACAAGTGATTGATTACCACGGGTTGCATCCTCTGCTTTCCAATCGGGTACCGATACTGATTGGGCTTTCTCATGGCATGATCAGTGAACCAGAGAATGAAGCCAGACATGAGGTCCAAGAAAGAGTCCACCGTCGAAGCTATCACCGCCATCGATCTGCTCTCCACTGATGCATACACCTTGGCCGCGAACAACACCAAATTCGCCACGTTCGACGCATAGATTGCCAATTTCTCCCCTCTTGCCACTTGTTTCAGTTCCTTCTGTACTCCTCCCACGGCCACCATGAAAGTAAACCACACACGACTTAAGCAGCTGCTGCCATCTCGACACGGCCGGCCGTAACTTGAATGAATTGTGTAGGGTCAGGAAGTTGTTACCTCAGTCAATTCCCCAGGCAGAACACCCATCTCGGCAAAAGAGTCCACTTCGTTGAACTCCTTGAGAAGGTTTTGCTGGGCCCTGTAGTATTGGGCAACCTCCCTTTCCTTGTCTGTAGTTTACGATCAATAATTCAAGTATGTTAATGTTAATGTTAACTACCTACCAATTAATCGTGGCTAAATTGGACATGGACGTAGATGAAGGTATCATCATAAATAAATACTTGTAGTATTAATCATGTAAAATGTAATTACTCATAAATAGTGCAAGAAAAGATGGAATATTGCAATTCTCAGAGACAGAGCGGCTCTGCCTCCGACTCTGCCTCTGCTGCCGTTGAGGATGGGACGGCAACTGGAACTTGTCGATGTCTAGGCGCCATGATGGTACGGCGGCGACACTCTCTCCCGGCGGAGGAGGGGACAAAAGCTCAATTCTGTAGTCAAACGAATCTATGCGAGGACTAGGTGTGCGTGAACCCACCATCCTCAATTAATCTTCTCTCTGCCTCTCGTCTCGCCTACTTAATTTGCGACTTGTCTGTTTTAGTGATGAAAAGGGGAAGGAGGGATGGTTTGACAGCCTTCTATCTATAGTACTCGCTAATCCATGAGTGATCAATATATACGATACGCATCTCTTCCTCGCGACAAAGAAAGGAAACGAAAGATGGTCCGGTCCGGTCCGGTCCATCCAGGCCTTGTCTCGAATTGTTTATTAGCAAAAGCAACTAAGAAAAAACCCAAATTGATTGCGCATATGAATTGTCGGCAGTATTCATGCTCAATCAATATATTCGGTACTAGCACCTAAGAGAGTTTGAGATTTTTCCCCCGGTTAGATCGTCATTATTATATTAGTTAGGAAATTCAATTGAGTAAATAATAATCTCCGAGCCGAGGCAGGAAGGAAAGCACTAGCAGGACAGACACACACTAGCCGAAAGCTGAAGCCTATTACGTACTGCTACTGCCTTTTCTTTTGTGTTGGAAGAGCTACCAATTCAACTACCCCACTACTGCTGCTACTGGCTTCTAGAAAGAAGTGGGAGGGATTGGGAGCATACCTAATCCGCAAGCGCTATATTAATCATTCTATTACGTAACGTGCTTTACTTGAGTTCTTTCTTTCACTGTCGGAAAGGATAAAAAGGGTTCACATAATGGACCATGACGTGGATCCATCCAAATTGGTTGGTTCTAAATCCTAATTGCCTTTTGGGGGTCGTCTTTTCTTTTCCACAACCAAGTGCAGCATGCAGCAGCCTGCAGTGCAGGCAGCTGCATAATATATGCCTTCAATTCAAACAATCCCACGTCCATGACCATGAGTGCGTATGCAATATGAAAGCATTTAGAGAAAACTTAGATAGACCAACAAAATAACAAAGTTACAGAGAGAGAGAGAAGAGAGTATAGGTATAGTTACAGCTACATACTTGGTGGAAATGCAGAGATACCGAAACAAGGCCGAGTAGACCGGACATAGAGATCGTCCGCCGCCGCTGCCGCCATTACCTTGATAATTTTCAAGTCGTAATCATCCAGGTTTAGTCTCCACGCCACCCCTTCCTCTGCAGTATCCTCCATACCGTAACAACAATCCTCATCTAATTTGTCACCACTCCTCCCCTGATCCTCCCCTGCTCCACCCAACATGCTAACACTACACCAGTGGCTTGGCTATAGTTGCTAGCTGTGGGCACTGAACATAGATACATGTATTGTATACAGATCGATCTCGCCTGCCCATATATATGTTCATAAAAGCACTCCATCGATCAGTCCATAAAATAAAATTGGACGCGTGTTCTCCATAGGGAGCATGAGTATCTATTGCTTGCACCGTGACTGACTGTGACACCAACGCTCTGTTCCTAAAGAACCAAAAATCCGATCCAACCAAAGCTTAATTATTTCCATAAAGTCTGTTCTGGCATTTTGTCCTTCCTTGTCTGTGGACTGCCTGCGGAGTTAAAAACTCAACTCACAAAGGCATTGGGGCATATACTTTGTCCTTGACTAACTCTTCTTTGTCCCATCCTCTGTTCAGGCATAATCCGCCGTCGAATGCATACCCTCTAGCTAACAGCTGCCTGCCGCACTAGCAAATGTCCACTTTGCCTGTCAATGCAAAGTGGATATATGCCCACCAACATCTTATGTCAATACTCAATAATGTTTCTCCTTTATCGAGTTTATTTCAGTTATAGCTTGGAGTATAAACCTAAGTATATATATACATCAAAATAATAATATAACCATCATTTATAAGTATATAATACAACGGACCATTAAACTTTTTTACCAACCAACATCGCATATATATGAATCAAATTGTACAGCGGCAAGTACAAGACTAATTCAGTAGATAATTGTCCTTGTTCTATAAAAAAATGGACAATGTTAATAATTTCTATTCATTATTGTGATCATTTGTCAATTAGTCAATAACCTGAGCAAGTAATAAAATCATTTGTCGATCTAATGAACTTGCCATTGGGTTAAGTGTTGAGGCTCCAGTGGCATGGCTTTTGCCTGCAAAGTCAATGACCAGCTGCTAGTGGATCAAAAATGAAGAAACATAGAAACATTCATCGGTAGCAACATATATATGCATGGCACATAATTGGTTATTCCCTTCTAATTTAATCATGGTATTCCATGTTTGATCCACAAAAACTCATAGACAATATAAATAAATTAATAAACGTGGAATTGTAGGCTTTAGTTCTTACTTTTAACTACACCAAACAATTTTAATTACCTATTTATTATTTAAGAAAAATGACAAAGAAGAGCTGAGTTGCACTCTGTCAACTTGAAAGGGAGTTGGAGAAAGGGATGACTCTTGAGAACTTCAAGACATTTGGGACATTGAGTGAAACATTGGGTTTGCCCTAGGCGAGGTTCATAATATTTGGAATTGCGATGTTAGTTGGTCTTAATTGGTAGAATATTCAATCTTGTAAAGGTTGGATACCTGTAAACAATAATGAAAGTATTTGTAAGTTGGATACCGCTCTTGACTATTTGGTATACAAAGAATTAGACTTGTACATTAAATCCTCTATAAATTAATACTCAATAAATTAATAATCTAGTATAAATTACTAAATTTATCGGTCCGACTTGGACCAATGTAAAAAATGAGAAAATTTAATAAAAAATATAATAATAATTTTTTAGAACCAACATACATAAATACATTTATTTTCAATTATATAAATATATGATTATAAACTTGTAAATATAAAATTCATTAAGAAATTTATAATATAACTAGTATAAGTAGAAAAATATGAACCTATACTAGTTTGTTTCTTATTGAAGTTCAAGTTCAATATAAGTTAATCTTGAACTTTTCTCATCGCACTCAAAATCTTCGGTGTTGTCTTCTCTAATTGCACCAAGTAGTTTTGAAGAGTCGATGCATCTTTAAGTGCTTCCTTTCGCGTGATCGGTTTGGAAGATGTTGAATAATCATGTCCTTCTTCCTAAATCGAACTCCTAATGACGCCGACCACAATTTCTTCTAAACTTTGTGTCTAGATACATTCATCATTTCCACCAGGATAATCCATCAACTTACTTACATCCATCTTGTTATCAACAACTAACTTAACACTTGCCATCCTCGTTGCAACAAATAACAATTTAAGTATTTCCTTGTTTCATTTTCTTCTTTCGAGTTGTTTTGTTGCAAAGGAATGATCAGCTTGTAACGTGAAAAATAAACCAGTCTCATCCATGTGAATAACATCTTTCCCGAAAAATTGATCCATTTTTTCGTCTTATGGACTCCAACTTGCTCTCTATATCTTGTGTATCGACCAAGCCGCTTTCTCTAAAATGACGAAATGACTTGATGAATGTCGGTTCTTGAACTTATCAATCCATCATTGGGAAAGTTGATAATTTGTAGGAGGTTGAGGCCTGAGGAGTTTCAATGGTGCATTTGCCTTCTCCAAAATTAGATCACATGTCATATTCACTTGATCTTGGTTTTGAATAAATCATACAAAAATAACATTCTCCATGTCTGGTGGCTTGGGAGCTCCTCCTTGATCTAATTCAACCGATAGGTACTCCGACGATCGCTTAAGAGTTTTATTATATACTTCTTTGACTAACTTTCAAATGTAATGTTTGGTCAAGTCTATCATATCTTTTTGGGTGCATGAGGGATGATATCTCTCGTACTCACATAACTGTTTACATATTTGATCGGTCATGGTAGATTTTTGGACATGTTTCAAGTGAGAATTTAATTGTTAATATGATTTTTACTATGTTTGTGCAATATTATAGTAAACGGGCCACCATATAATCGATAAGTTATACTAAAGATATGATCAATGAATATAGAGGTGCAAGTATAAGTTAAAACATGAATTTAGGCCATCTACAAAAATAGATTGAATATTTATCTTGGACACTTAAACTAAATCATGCATGAATGCATAGTTTTCGTATATTAAATTTTAGTACGATGAATACGTATCAATAAGTTAACGTATGAAGTTGTAATATTTGAAAGATACAATGAACATCTATGGGTTACTCAAAACTTTTTGGGGGCATGAGGGATGATATCTCTCGTAATCACATAATTGTTTACATATTTGATCGGCCATGGTAGACTTTTAGACAAGTGAGAATTCATTGTTAATATGATGTTTACAATGTTTATGCAATATTATAGTAATTAAGTCACCATATATTCAATGAATTATATTAATTGTATGATCAATGAATGTAGAGGTGCAAGTAAGTTAAAACATGAATTTAGACCATCTACAAAAATAGATTGAATATTGATATTGGACACCTAAACTAATGTTGGGTTTCCGACATTTGCCAAGTCAGTATGAGTGTTGGTAGATGGGAGATCCACCTTTCTATAACTTTGAGAGGTGGTGCGGAAATTGAGCGGTTATCTCTTACTAATTTTCTAAATTATCTACCCCCTGATTTCATCAATTGTGGTCCAAGTCGAGTGGTTTGGGATATCTTGGAGAGCTCCTCCTTCTCTGTCAATTCTCTTTACAGGTTTCTTGCAGATGAACGATTCCCAGGCGATGATAGCTTTCCTGTAAAGGCAATTTGGAATCACAATATCCCTACAAAGATATGCAGGTTTATGTGGTTAAATAATTATCATGATCTAAACTATATTAATTTATTGAGCATTTTATGTATTTACTAAGCACCCAAACACATTTGTAAAATTATATAAAAATCAATTATTTTAGAGTTTAACCCCTATCAATTATGACCAAGAACATCACCAACAATAAATGTGATAACTAATATGTTTAAGAGGTTGCAGAGACAATTTGATCATATTACATTTTTATAAGAATTTGGATTAATGACCAATGATGAAATCCTTAGACCAAACCATAGATCGTATTACTGCTTAGTATGTCCTATGATCAAATTTGGAAATAATATATTTTAGGGTGCTCCTACGGCGACATGCATGTCACGGTGACTTGCACTTTTCGGTCAACCTCAGTTAGGATTAGGTCGACCTCATTGAGAATTAGGTCGACCTCATTTAGGATTAGGTCGTGCATGTCACGGTGACTTGCACTTTTCGGTCGACCTCAGTTAGGATTAGGTCGACCTCATTGAGAATTAGGTCGACCTCATTTAGGATTAGGTCGACCTAATCTGTTGTTTCAGTGTAAAAACAGTTTCATGGTACCTACTTTGGAGATTCATATCATACAATTGGCTAGATGAAAATTCAAGATTAATGGCTTGTTTTGAAGCTGGAGTGTCCCTCTATATATTGAAGTGATTAAGAGCTCGATAGGAATTCCAGAAGACCATTTTTGAACATGATCAAAAGGCTATGCCAAAACTGGGAAAATGCCTGAAAATGGCCAAGTCTGGAAACGTGTTTGTGAAGCCTACTTTGGAGCTCAATTTGAGAAGCATGAATGCGAGTCGAGTCCAGGGGCCTCTACCACGTTAGATTAGGTATGTTTTTATACAAATTCAAGTCATTGGATGAAATATTGGATATCTATAAGGCTTCAAACAAAACGGTCGAAGTTGCTACGAAGGCTGTTTTTCAGGCAGACTTCGAGCACAAGGAAGCTGCCAGAAAACAGTCTTTGTAGCAACTTCGAGCCTTTTGTTTGAAGTCTTAAAGATATCCAATTTTTTATCCAATGCATTGCCTTTGTAGAAAAAATATCTAATTTAACGTGGTAGAGGCTCCTGGACTCGGATCGTATCCATGCTTCTCAAATTGTGCTCAAAAGTAGGCTTCACAAACACGTTCCCAGACTTGACCATTTTCAGGAAGCTTCCCAGTTTTGGCATAGCCTATTGATCAAGTTCAAAAATGGTATTCTGGCCTTCCTATCGAGCTCCCAAGTACTTTAATGTGTAGAGGGACACTTTAGCTTCAAAACAAGGCATTAATCTCCCATTTCCATCTAGCCAATTGTAAGATATGAATCTCCAAAGTATACATCATGAAATTGTTTTTACACTGAAACAATAGAGTAGGTCGACCTAATCCTATATGAGGTCGACCGAAAAGTGCATGTCACCGTGACATGCATGTCACCGTAGCAAAGTCCTATATTTTAATGTTGACAAAACTTTCTAAAAGTTGTGGTCATCATAACATCATGCATATGTAGCTTGCAAAAGGATTATTATGTACCATTTTCTATTAAATCTAGGTTACCTTAATTCTCAAATTCACCCTTAAAATTTTAATCTTAACTAATATATTAAATCTATACGATTGTTACAATGAATATGGCTTGTGCCTCTACTGTTTCCTATTTTGTTCTTATCAATGGTTCACCTCATGAGTATTTTCAGCTTAATCATGGTATTTGTTAGAGGGATCCACTATCTCTATTGCTCTTTGCATTGTTTACTAAAGGATTTTCTGCATTGATTAATCAGGTTGTGCACTCTAATTTTCTGCATGGCTTCATGATACATCGTTGTTGTCCCATTCTCTCACATATTTTCTTTTCTGGCGATGCTTATCTTTTCCTGAGAGCTTCCATTCAGAAATATCATAAATTGCTTTCGCTGCTTGCTTCTTATCAACAAGCGAGTGGTCAGAAAATCAACTTGCAGAAATCAACTATCTCATTCAGTGCTAATGTCTCCCAAGCGGAGGCCCAATCCATAATTTCCACTCTTGACGTCTCCCCAAGTGGTGATCATGATACCTATCTTGGCCTTCACATTCGGATTTCTCGTTCGAAACATGAGTCACTCTGTTACATTGAGGATAACATGCTGCAAAAGATTCAATGCTGGAAATCCCAATCTATGTTTTTGGCAGGGCTAAATTACACATTTGGTCACTCAAATTACATAAATATTTCACGTTTGCCACTCAAATTACTTTTCTTTCTTATTCGCCACTAACTTTACGAACCGTTTCTCTGTAGTCACCGACCGTCAGCCTCCGCTAACTCCGTCAGTTTTTTGATGACGTGGCAAACAGAACTGCTGACTAGACCGTTAAGTTAATGACATGTTAATTTTTAAAAAATTAAAAATAGGCAGAAGAGTGGGCCCTGACCGTCTTAAAAGTCTTGAACGCTGGTTCCCAGGGTGAACTCGACTAGTGTGGCGGTGGGCGGCGCCGAGACCGTTGCAATCGACGAGACCCGTCCCGCAGTCGTCGGTGCGGCAGGACCCAGAGCCTGAGTCGTGGAATGTGCAGTCGGTTGGCACCCAAAATCGCCCCGACCAGTCCGTGGGAGATTGGAAGGAGCGGGTTGAGCCTTCCACAAGCTTGAATCCGGTGCTTCCGGGCTTAGGGCTGCCGGCATTAGCCAGAATCCTCGGCCAATCTTGAAATCGCATATGTTCGAGAACGTGAATGTGGCCCCAATTGCGCCTGAAAAAGCAGAATGCCAAATGAAAAAACTTGAGAGTTCAGTGTCTGAGTTTCGGCTGGAATATAGAACGTCAATGAAGGAAAAAGCGAAGAACAAAAGCCTTTGATTTCTGGAGACAGATTTTTTGGTTACCTTGAGGAGTGAGAAGCTGGAGGAGGAAGCTTAGGGTGAGACTAGAAATGTGGTCCATTATTCCTAGGTGGCGTGGTCTCTGGGATTCTCCCAAATCAATTCACCCCGTCTTCATTTTCACAGGGAAAGGAGCGAGGGAGATTGTCGAGAGAGAAATTACAAGGAAGAGAAATCTCTAAGGGTGAGTGTTCTTGGGTTGGCAGGCAACAAATGAAAATGAAGGGGCTGCGCTGCGATGAAAAGGGAAGAAAGAAAAGAATTACAATTAAGATCGGAAAACCAATGCTAGTTGCAGCGGCGACAAGTTCGACGCCGGTAAAGTTAAAGTTAAAGGACGAAGATGGGGAAGGGGAAGGTGGGCCCACTCCTCTGCCTATTTTTTTATTTTTTAAAAGTAACATGTCATTAACTTAACGGTCTAGTCAGCTGTTCCGTTTGCCACGTCATCAAAAAACTAACGGAGCTAACAGAGGCTAACGGCCGGTGACTAACGGCGAAACGATTCGTAAAGTTGGTGGCGGATAAGAAAGAAAATTAATTTGGATGGCAAACGTGAAATATTTATGTAATTTGAGTGACCAAACATGTAATTTAGCCTTTTTGGCAGCAAAGGAAACAGTTTTGAAGTCTGTTGGAATTCCTCCCCTAACTATGTTTTGTCATGTTTTTGTACCCCTTTCACCTTTTTGTCGCATGCTTAATGGGCATTTAGCACATTTCTGGTGGACATCTCAAGATAAAGAGAATGGAATAAAATGGGCTTCCTGGCGTGAACTCTGTTGACCGAAGGATGCCGACAGTTAAGGTTTCCGAGATCTTCACAGCAACAATATTGCCTTACTAGCCAAACAGGCGTGGCGTATCATTCAAAACCCCGACGAACTCCTAGCAATCAACTATAAAGGATGATACTTTCCTCACCCTTCCTTTTTGCTTGTCCCACAGGGCTCTAGACCTTCCTGTGCTTTGCGGGGTGTTCTTGTGGGTAGAGCTCTCATACAGTCGGATCTCCACTGGCAAATTGGCTCAGGTGCATCTGTTCTTATCATTGAGGATACTTGGCTTCCGACTACCCCCTCCATCCCGACCAGTCCTTCTGCTTGGGGTTTCCTTACCTGGCGCACATGTTTCTTCCTGGATAGACCATGGATCCGACACTTGAAAGGTATCTATTCTCCTCTTATTATTTGATGTAGATACAGTAAGGATTATCCAGTCTATTCCTCTATCAATCTTTCTTGTGGCCGACTGTCTTGTGTGGCACTATGAGAAATCAGGTGAGTATTATGTTAAGTCGGGTTATAAAGTAGCCTCTATGGAGTTTATTCATAACCCTTCTACCATCCCTCCAATATTTGATGCTCCTACCTGAAAATTGTTATGTTCCTTGAATGTTCCTCCTAAGCTTCATTTTTTTTCCTATGGCGTTTCATCAAAGGTTATCTTCCTTACGAGACATTCACATAGCGACGAAGATAATTGATGATGAGGATTTAGAGGGGGTGAAATGTCATGTTTGTTTGGAGGACCCCGAGACTATGTCACATACTTTTTTGCATTGCAGGGTGGCTGTGGAATTTTGGAACCTTGTTGGCCTTAATTAGTTACACTTACAGGTTTACCATATGCATGTTGTGTGGGCTAGCGGTGGTTCCTTTTTTCATGCAAGTATTCCCAAGGATGTTCTTAGTTGACTTGTTTTTGGGTATCGGCGTATTTGGAAGGCTCGGTGTTCCACCACTTATGATGCTATTCAATTCCTCACATCTACCATGGCACGTCAATTTAAATCTCAAGTGGATGAATGGATCTCTACTCAAAAAGTTTTGGCCACATCAAATAGCCGCCGATCTACTCATTCGGTTCCTCTCCAGCGGCTCGCCATCCTACTCCTCCGCCAATCACCGAGGGCTCCTTTTTAGTTCATTTTGATGCAGCAACAAAAGCTTCGGCTGGGGGAGGAGTGGGTTTCATTGGTTTTGCATGACCAAATGATATTCATTTTGCTTTGGAAAGTTCTATGATTATTTGGATGATGCTTCCACCATTGAACTTACGACCTGCGAGATGCACTCAGGTGGTGTCTTTCACATTCAATTTCTCATGTTTCGTTCTGTGGTGACGCGTAGGTGATCATACGGATGATCAATCGAAAGGACTCGTCCAATGCCTCTGTAGGTAGCCTTCTATCAGAAGTTCAGGTCCTCCGTGCCTCCATATAACGTTCATCTTTCCACTTCGTCCCGCCTCCCACATAAGTATAACAGGGTTGTCCATCTTGTGGCCATCTTTGGATCGTGAGTTGATCATCCTTATTTCTATTTTGTAATTTTGACCTACAATGGTACCCATATTATACCGTATCATCTTCACTCTCAAGATATATTTGGTGGGGTGGGGTTTAAAAACCAAAACCCGTTCCATATTGTATAAAAATTAAAAGGGTTAATATTTTCGTATGGCCTGAACTTTGACCAAAATAAACATCCTGACCAATCTTTTCGATCTATAACATCCTGTCCCGAACTATATACCAAAATAAACAATTTGGTCAAACCCGATGTTTGACTGTTAACTTGGACAGTCAAACGCGTTGACTAACGGTCAACGCGCCACGTCACTGCCAAGTAAGAAGATCTGATAAATATTTAATTTTTTTCGTTTTTTATTTTTGGTTTAACTAAGGTACTAGATGATTTTTTTTTAATTTATAATAATTTAAAATTAGGGAATGTGTGAAAATTGTGAATTATTTTAAATATTTTATGCTGACTTGGCAGTGACATGGCGCGTTGACTAACAGTCAACGCGTTTGACCGTCCATGTTAATGGTCAAAAGTCGGATCTGTCCAAATTGTTTATTTTGGTGCATAGTTCGGCCCAGAATGTTATAGACGAAAAGATTGGTCAGAATGTTTATTTTGATCAAAGTGATGGTCATACTAAAATATTAACCCAAATTAAAAACCATTTGTCGAGGGATTTTCTGACTAACAGTCGAGAAAACGAAAGGCGAGGGTGAGAAGGGAGGGAGAGGGAAGGGGGAAGCAAGGGAATAGAATTGCCGCCGACGCCGACGAGACCATAAAGTCACTGTTATTCTCTTCTTTGATTCCGCTCCCCCTCCGAGGAAGACAGCACAGAATCGATTTAGCGGATAAGAGAAGAAAAAGACGAGAAGGAAGTTTCACTGTTTCAGTTTCAGTTTCAGTTTCAGTTTCAGTAAGGAGAAAGGAATAGCGCGAAACATAAACCCTAATTATCTTTGGCACAACTAGTTTAAGATCTCCACCTCTTCCTTATTCGTTCTCTCGTTCCTCTCCTGGTTCGCACTTCGCAGCATTAGAGCTCCAACAATGGTCAGTTGTTACCTTTTCTTTCAGCTCCTCATTCATTTTATTTTGATTAGCCCCCGACTCTTCCACTCTTATTCTTACTTGATTAACTCGCATGTGCATTTCCTTCGCCGATTAACTCGCATGTGCATTTCCTTCGCCTTGTTTGGTTTGTCATTAGCCTAGAACTGTTTGATCTTTGAGGTTCATGTACCGAAAGCATTTAGTTGCTAAATCGCCATCTAGTCTCCATGCCAACCAAGAGTTGAAAGCCTTATCCTGTCCCCTGGATGCGACCACCTTGCCCATCGTGAACGAATGGAAGGAAGGAGCCCCATTGTTTGTATTTCCAGCTTCGAGAAATATGACATTAAACTTTCCCCTTGGTTCTGTAGTTTGGTTTAGTTGGCTCTGTTTGAGTACTACATTGACAGTCTTGTCTTTGTTTTGCAGAACAAGTTTGGTAGAGGCCACCGCGACAAGGTCCAGCAGTTCATGGCCATAACTGGGGCAAGGCAAGTTCAGAATTTCTTTATTTATATAAGGCTAGTTTCTGTTCTACGGAACTAATGCTAATAGTAATTCGGTATCCATATAAGTATGAAAAAGTGAAATGGAAAGCCACTATTCTTCGTTGTAATAGATCAAAGAGGTTGATTTGCGGGTTGCTGCTCTTTTCTATTTCCTGCCTGCTAAGGGGTGATGATGAGTTGACCATGGAGACAATGCATGTTCATATTTGTCCACCGTGTTTCATTGATTGACAATAGATGTCCTTATGTTTCTTGATTTTGTGGAAGCATTATGGTACTTCTCTTGTGGGCTGTGGCTAGTACTTTGATTTAGAATTGAATAATCCATTTCTGGAATGCAGTGAGAAAGCCGCAGTTCAGGCATTGAAGGCAAGCGATTGGCATCTTGAAGGTGCATTTGATGTGTTCTACAGCCAGCCCCAGAGTAAAACACATACTGACTCCAGACATTTGGAAGAGCTTTACAACAGATATAAAGGTGATTAATGTTTGCCCACAGTGTTTTTTATGCTGTCTATGCAAGATATGCTCAATAGAAGAGTAAATGGTTGCATGCGTGCGCGTTTGTTATTAAGCACAGTTGTACTGCATTCCTAGTCTGCTGACAAAAACTTGAGATAGCACTTTCTTTTATGAGCATGCTTTTCATTCTGTCGTTGCTTAAAAAAAAAAAAAGAATCGTACGTTTATGGTGTTTACTGAGAAATGAGTGTGCTGCTATGCTTTGCAGATCCATATCTGGACATGATAATGGCTGATGGCATTGCTCGTCTTTGCAATGACCTTCAGGTAAACTTGTATTATGCCATTGTCAGTACTAATGGTTGTGACGATCTTTGAAATGTCAAAATGTTTTCTTGGTCAGTGCTGGCATTATGTGAATGACCATGACTCATGGTTTGGTCGCTGTAGAGTTTCCCTACATTTTTTTATGTGTTTAGATTATTAATGGGTTAGAAATAACACTTGACTTTTCATTTTTCTCAGGTGGATCCCCAAGACATAGTTATGGTAGGTTACAGATTACAACCTATAACTTCTTTTGCTGTTATACTTATATATAAGCTTATAAAATGTGTGTTAAAAGCTACCCTTAAGATTGCCTTTTTGGTTCTGTTGTAATATTTTTTTGTTTCTTGTGCAGTTAGTTGTTTCATGGCACATGAAGGCTGCCACCATGTGTGAATTTTCGAAGCAAGAGTTTGTCGGTGGACTACAATCGCTAGGGTTGGTTCAGCATGTTTGTTTGTTTTATCAGTTGCTTCAGGTCGTGCTATGTCATGTCTAATTGTAGCTGTATCTTCTGATGACAGGATAGATTCACTGGAGAAGTTCCAAGAGAGGATACCATTCATGCGTTCTGAGCTGAAAGACGAACGTATGCACAACTGCATATTTTCTTTAGCTTGTGCAGCATATCCACCTTTGCGTACTTTCGTTCCTAACACAAAATATCTTCTGATTTTGCAGAGAAGTTCCGTGAGATATACACTTTTTCTTTTGGGTGGGCAAAAGAGAAGGTACACACTGCTATGCATAAAGAATGTACTTGTGTTCGTAACTCTTAGGCTCTAGTGTGCTGTTTATCTGACCAACTGAATCACTAAAATAAAAAACTGACTTCCCTAAATATTTTAAAATGGCTCTAAGCGTGTAATATATAAGGCAGCAATTGAGGCTCTTCGGAGAAGCAATTTAACTTGTTTGTCCAATGTGTGGGCAGTTCCTGATCCCTAATGTTAGCAGCTGATGGTCATTATATGTGGCAGGGTCAAAAATCTCTAGCACTGGATACCGCAATAGGAATGTGGCAACTACTATTTGCTGAAAAGCACTGGCCATTGGTTGATCACTGGTGCCAGTTCTTACAGGTACTCTTTAGGAAGCATTTAAAGTCAGATTGCTTTCCATGACATAAAACCTCTTGTGAGAATGGCTCCTGAATATGCTGAATCAATCTGGTTGAACTAATAGTCAATATGGGGTAATAAGCAATCTTATCTGCAGTTATGCACTTAAGGGTAGGTAAACTAGCACCAGTTGTTTTCCCCAGTAAGTGGTTTCTATGGTGTAATGTGGATTTTTCCTCTTCGCCCTTATAAACAGAAGTGCGGTTTTCACTGTCTTATCATATCCATTACTGAAGGTGAAGTATGGCTGGTGATGTGCTTTGCTCAGGACTGACTTGGTCTTCCTTTTTCCCAGGCTCGGCATAATAAAGCTATCTCGAGGGACACTTGGTCTCAGCTATTGGAATTCACACGGGTAAGTAATGAGAAGAGAATGGATTTGGGCCGTGTTCCCTTTCTCCCTTCCATTTCTGTGGTATCTCTTTTACTTGCTGTACTGGATGATGCGGAGGAATAACAGGTCCATTTTGGGCTTCATAATATAAAGTTAGTGAATTGAAAGATAAGCTGGGAGGGCAATCTGTGTAATGAAAATGTTGTTGGTTTGGTGCAGACAGTTGATTCTGGATTAGCAAACTATGATGCCGAAGGGGCATGGCCATATCTGATTGATGAGTTTGTGGATTACCTGAATGAGAATGGTGTGGGTGCTGATGGGTTCAGTCGAACAATTGGAGCTTAGAACGATGAAGAAAAGAAGAGGACCAGATGTGTAGCAGAAGCTGGGAAGTATGGTGTACTTGGTTCTCAATCATACAGTTATGCAGACTGCAGCGTGTAGGATTGCGTTTCCTCTTACTTTCTCTACCTTTCTTTTCTCCACTAGTTTCATAACGAAAAAAGGGGGAAATAATGGTGAAGAAATGATACGATGATGGATGATACTATTGACATTCCTTCTCTCTTACGCATGGAAACGGCGTATATGATATGTCTAGAGTCCGATTGAATGGAAATAGAACTGTTACCAGTTTCTACTTGATGCCATTGCCATCCAAGACATGTCATCAGAGCTCGTCGTCCCATTCGTAACCATATCCACCACACCACACCTTCTTACTCCACATCCAGCTCCCAAAATCTTGCTCTTTGGGGTTGGGAATCGAGCTTTTCCATGTCACAATTGGCTGCCACTATAAACAATTCACCCATGGGCTTCATGCCTGCTTCTCGTCGGACCAATCAAACTCGAAAACCCCATAAAATGTGTCATGAACCAGCAAAACCGTGCGAGAACGGATTCCAAAAACATCAAAACGTGAACATTTTGATTTTTAAAAATTAAAATTGGAATATGATAAATTTCTGATAAAGTTTGGTGATATTTCACTATATGACAGCTAGTTTTAATTTCCCTCGGTCATTCGGCAAGTTATTTTTACTGTTATAAATCATTTGAAATCATAAGTAATTTGTAATAACATATTGGTTTTATCTATGAATTAAAAAGAACACAAATCAGAGAGAAGATATTAGAACACATGATAGTCCCAATCTTGTTATAATAATTAACATAATTAATGGAGTTATCTTATAAGTTTTGAAATTAATATCATCAAATAAAATTTATCTTGCTGATTATAAACTTTGTACTATAATAATAAGGGCTAATACCACTACAACACTCGAACTATAATAAAAATGCCACTTGTGTCCTAGTTTATTTAATATTTCAATCCTATCTCATCGTATGATACGTTTGTGACATTTGTATCATGACGCTTTCGTTGTCTGTTAAACATAACACTTGATCAGACCATGGTCAACGTGATGTTAACTTTCGTCGACGTGACAAAAACACGGCGACCACGCAAATGTCCTTTTTTGACACATAAGATTATTTTAAATTATTTTTATTTTTAAAAATTTAAAATAATTATATGTGTCAAGAACATGAAACCATATACTAAGAGACTCACCTTTATTGCCCTATGATCAAATTCAGAGACAATACATTAACAAAACTTTGAACATTTTTAATTATAGTGATCACAATATCATATGAGGCATATGTAGAATTATCATGTACTATTTCGATTGAATATACGTAACCTCAATCCTCAAATTCACCCCTAAACATGTAGGGGTCGTTTGGAGAACAAGATTCGGATGATGGATTTATTGAATTCATAGATTTGGCAAAATGTTATGTTTTTTTGCTACTTTTTGTATCGTGGATTGTAGGTTTAGAGATTTTAAATCTCTAAAATCTAGAGATATTAAATCTCTCATAATTAGAGAGATTCTATATCTTGATTTTAGAGGTTTTCTCTCTCTTACTCTATCTCTTCCTTTTTTAATTTATCCCACTAAATATCCATATTGATAAATTTTTCAATATTTTTTTGAGCCAATTTAATTAGTTTGGTTAAGCATAAATATGCCATTTTATAAACAAATATAATTTCTTTTTTATTGTATGTTAACAATCGCAGTTATCAAACAATGAACATTTTCAAATCTTTTTTCAACAATCCGGAGAATTCAAATCTTTGGATTGTTTAGAATCTAGAGATTTAGACTCTAATTCTCCAAACGAGCCCGTAATCTTTAACTTCTATTTTGTATGAAAACCATTTGTCAAGGACTAAAACGATAAAATCTAAATCACTATACCGGCGAACAGTCCAGAATAAGAAGAAGGCGAGGGTGAAAGGGGAGGGAGAGGAAAGAGGTGGAAGGATGGAATAGAATTGCCGCCGCCGCCGACGAGCCCATAAAATCGCTGGTATTCTCTTCTCTGATTACTCCCCCTCCGAAGAAGACAAATAGATTTAGCGGATAAAAGAAGAGAAAGAAGAAAGACGAGGCGGAAGTTCCACTGTTTCAGTTTCAGTTTCAGTTTCCGCCAAGGGATAGGAAAAAGGAAGAGCGCGCGATACATGAACCTATTTATGTCAACTAGTTAAATATCTCTACCTTTCCTTCTTCCCCTCCTTTGCTCGTTGTTGTATTGGACTTCAGCTGTTGTGTGAAGGTGAAAGTCTCTGGTCTTTCGCTCTTCAGCAGTGTATATGGAGGTTTGTGATACTATCTCCTTGCTTTCTTATATGCTCCAATTGTATCCCTCTCATGTGCTAAGATGCCCATTTGCTTGATCAATTCTTGCATTTTTAGAAACAAGAGAACCAAGGTGAAATAGTGAACATTGACGAGACAATGGTGACACTGAAACCAGAGCAAAGCGGTGAAGGAGGATTGTTCGTTCCTGGCAAGGAGAGGGTAAAGTTTACAGCTCCTGAGAGGAAATCTCTTTTAGGTAAACATCCGTTCTTTCTTGATCTGACTCTTGCGATTACCCAACTCTTGGAATCTGCTTCTGTAATTTGTCAAGTTCTAGTTTCTTGTTGGGCTAATATGCAAAATTTTCCCAGGACTGGATGTCCTTGCAATTGCAAAACGAGGCCGATCTGATGTGGATGGAGGTTTTAAGGTCCCTGCACACAGAATAACTTCAACACTGGCCTCAGCTGACGAGGATGAAGAGAACGACACTTCTGAAATAGATGAGGCAGGAGCAGTGAGTGCAAATAATAACGCTGCGCTGAAGCATGTGAGTCGCCGAAGATATCGCGAAACATCTGCTAGTGCTAGTGAGACATCTCATGCAGGTGCGTACTTTTCTGTTCAAATCTAGAGCCCAGATATAGAATCTGTCAGATTTGCGAGAAAACTTAATTTTGTCTGAATGCTGGAGTAAGACACCAACTGATAGAATTTAACTATAGTAGCTGGTATTCTCTTAGGTGAATTATCTATTGATGAACTGTTTTTTTCAGTTGAAGACCCAGTTTTTAGTTACATAATCCTCTTGGATGGAACTTTCTGAACAAGGTTCTCAGTTCACTATCTTTGCAATGGGTGTGATGCGTGGATAGTATGGAGTGCTTTACCTAGAAGTTTCAATAGGGATGCGTTGATGTCGATTTTCTATACCTTTGAGTTATTCTTAAATAGAATTTCATTTGGATTTTTACAAAGTACATATTTTGAATGCTCCATGTGATGCATAACAATATCTTTTCTGTTTCTCTGTTCTTGTGTCCATATACATTCTTCAAATAAAATCTTTGCATACTTCATGTGAAATCTGGTAATTTACAGAGAGTACTGTGACTCGAGAAAGATCAGTTAGTGACGTGTCTCGGAATCATCGCTCCAGGGGGGGTTCATCTTCATATGTAAGTTGATATTCTATTTTTTTGGTACAAAATATTAGAAAATATTTACATCAGACTGGAATCAAATTCTACTTGTTCTCTCCTCCCTTTACTTTCTCGTTCCTTTCCTCTCTAGTTGTGCTTTATATTTGGTTAATAACATCAAATCATCATTTCTTCAAAAATTAACATTACATCATCTGGAATTATAGGAACCTAGTACCTCCCCTCGAACTTCTCAACGGGATCCCTCCAGGAGTCCATGGCGCCATGGAGATGATTACGTCACTGAACGAAGAGGCAGAAAAGGTGATGATAGGATTGATAATCGAAGGGACAGACACAGATACGGCAGTGATCGTGAAGACCGAAGTCATGGACGAGAATCACGCCATCGGTATGAAGACGATTATGATGGAAGCTATGGAAGGAAACGCTCACGAACACCAGGTTTGTTTCGACTTCCTATTTGATGTATTTTCATTTTTCTTATCACAATTGCAACCAGGAAATGTTTGGCTTTTTACACATTTCATGTGGTTAGAACAATTTTTTACCTGACCCTATTAGCTGAAGTAAGCATGTGGACCAATGTGTCAATCTAACTTTCCCCTTGATTAATTTTCAGGGAGATATGATTGGGATGATGGAAGATGGGAATGGGAAGAAACTCCTGTGCGTGATGATACCTCTAACTCAGGCCAGCGGCGTCAGCCTTCAAGGTCCCCAATGTTTGTTGGGGCATCACCTGACGCACGATTAGTTTCACCATGGTTGGGTGACCATACTCCTTCGGCTGGTATGTTGGGAGTTAAGATCAGGTGATCATTTGCTTGTGTATCATGTAATTCTAGGTGTTAGTTGACATTTTGTCTGTGCTACACTCAGGCTCCGGTGCTTCCCCTTGGGATCGGGTTTCTCCTTCTCCTATACCAATACGAGCTTCTGGGTCGTCAGATAGGTCTTCTGTTTCTAGACGTGGTGGGAGATCTCAACAGCATACTTTCTCCGTTTCAAGCTCTCAACCATTAGAGGTAATTATGTTCACCAAGATATTGCTGACATTAGTGTTCATATATAAATAGTTACAGATAACATGCGAAAGGTAAGTGAAACCCCTAAAACCGTAGTATCTTGAAGATAAGAACAGGTGTAGAACATGTGCAGGCTGCTTTAGTTAATATTTTTTTTGCTTTGTTTTAGGGATATACTTCCTGGATTAACTGTGGCAAGATGAGGGTTTTATAATCGAGCAGCACTCTTACTCATTAGAATAATTTCCTTTAGGAAGAATTATTATCTAAACTTTCTGCACACGTGCGGTTCATGTTCTCTTATGATCAATTTGTTCTATTTGATTTCAGTGTGGGATAGTCTTTAATAGTTTATCACTCCAGGATGAGTCGTATTCTGCATTTTAAATAAGCTAAGCTAATATTTTGTCTGTTCATATCTCCAGGAAGGAGAACAGCCATTCGTGTCTGAAGAACATAACCCTGAGATTACTGAGGATATGCGTTTGGAAATGGAATATAATTCTGACCGAGCATGGTAAAATCTTCTTCTCTATCTGCAACTTGTACAAGTATGCAAATGCTGCTAACCTGCAACTGGACTGTCTTTAATGTGCTGCTAACCTGCAACTGGACTGTCTTTAATGTGCTGCTAATTTACATCAGCATTCTTTTGACTGACTTAGGCTTGGTGGGTTCTTGTAAAGAAGTTGGTTGGACTTTCAGCCAGTAACTCTGTATTAATTGGTGTCGGTATTGCTCAGGTACGATAGAGAAGAAGGTAACACATTGTTTGATTCTAATAGCTCATCATTTTTCTTTGGAGACGAAGTTTCGATCCAGAAAAAAGAGGCAGAGTTGGCTAAAAAGCTGGTATGTTTAAGATAAATTGTTATTTTTAAAGCATGAGAACTAATTATCTCCTTCGATAGGGTGGCTTCCTGCACCCTTTTCTCCATCTCCATTGTGTTTGAGTAGTTTTCTGTTCTCAGTATGAGATTTTTTTACACATTGGAGGAGATGTCATGTGTTTCTCTTTATGTAGGTTCGTAGAGATGGCTCCAAGATGACACTATCTCAAAGTAAGAAGTTATCTCAACTTACTGCTGATAATGCCCAGTGGGAAGACCGGCAACTGTTGAGATCTGGTGCTGTTAGGGGAACTGAGGTGCAGACTGAATTTGATGATGAGGATGAACGCAAGGTTATTCTCCTTGTGCATGGTAAGAATTTGGTTGGCCATATGGAAGCAGAAGAACTGCAAGCTTTTGTATTTCTATTTATTAAGCTGATCATAACTTCTATTGCCACCTTCATTAGATACAAAACCCCCTTTTTTGGATGGAAGAGTCGTTTTCACTAAACAAGCGGAACCCGTAATGCCTCTAAAAGATCCCACATCAGACATGGCCATCATTTCACGCAAAGGATCTGCTCTAGTCAGGGAGATTCGTGATAAGCAGAGTCAGAACAAGTCTCGACAACGGTTTTGGGAACTTGCTGGCTCAAAACTTGGTGATATTCTTGGGGTTGAGAAAACAGCGGAGCAGGTTAGAACTTGTATGCCAAATTTTTTTATTTTTCCTATTGCCTCCAGATTGTTCATGTGCTTAACCATTTACTATATTTCAGATTGATGCTGATACTGCTGAAGTGAATGAAGAAGGTGAAGTCAATTTCAAGGAAGATGCAAAATTTGCACAACACATGAAGAAGGGCGGTGAAGCTGTGAGTGATTTTGCAAAGTCAAAAAGTCTTGCAGAGCAGCGGCAATACCTTCCTATATTCTCTGTGCGGGATGAGCTGTTGCAGGTTTGTTTTCCCCTCTGTTTATGTATGTTAGTTTGTCTTGTTATGTAGTTGGTAAGTGTTTCATTTGCCACCTCAGTACTTTAGAAATGTCATCATATTTGGCCTGATGATGGGTTGCCAGGACTCTAGAATGCAGTTCCTTGTCATTTTTGGGAACCAAAAGTTGTGATGAATTGTTACTCATACCATATTGTTAATGCAATGTGCTTACTATGGTCAAATTCCCTGTTCTGTAGGTGATACGTGAAAACCAGATAGTAGTTGTAGTTGGAGAAACTGGGTCGGGCAAGACTACTCAACTGACACAGGTTTTTACTCATCCCTTGTTTTGTTCATGTCATAAATTGTTGTTATATGCAATACATCTCCTTCTCCAATCCCCATTGGCGTACTAATGCCTTTTCTTTGCAGTATCTGCATGAAGATGGTTATACAGCAAATGGAATTGTGGGTTGCACCCAGCCCCGTCGTGTGGCAGCCATGAGTGTTGCCAAGAGAGTTAGTGAAGAGATGGAGACTGAATTGGGGGATAAAGTTGGTTATGCAATTCGGTTTGAGGACGTGACTGGAAAAAACACCATAATCAAGGTTTGAGAATGCTGGCTGCTGCTGATGTCATATCTAATGTTTCCTATTATGTGTTTGACAAGTTCTATTTTCAAGGGCCAATGCACTAGTATACCTTATACCTAGGATTTTCCTTCAGTGACGACAGCCTACAAACCTGTTAAAAATTCATTTCTTGGTTTTGCAGTATATGACTGATGGAGTACTCCTACGTGAAACATTGAAAGATGCTGAATTGGATAAGTACCGGTATAGAAACCATTGAGTTGCAGTCTAGGTTCTTTTCCTGAGCAACTTCTCTGTTATGATTTATTAATTTAACGAAGCTGTGATTGTGACAGGGTCGTTGTCATGGATGAAGCACATGAGAGATCATTAAACACAGATGTACTGTTTGGGATATTGAAGAAGGTGGTTGCACAGCGTCGTGATTTCAAGCTCATAGTGACATCTGCAACTTTAAATGCTCAGAAGTTCTCGGATTTCTTTGGGAGGTAAGATGAGATGTTTTCAGTGTGCTTATGCACATCATATAACATTACAGTCTGTTGATTTAATAGAGCAATTGATCCAATCTTCAAATCTTTTCCAGTGTACCAATATTCCACATCCCTGGGCGAACTTTCCCTGTGAAGACCTTATATAGCAAGAGTCCTTGTGAAGACTATGTAGCAGCGGCTGTTAAGCAAGCCATGGCTATCCACGTCCAGAGTCCTGCGGGTGACATCCTCATATTTATGACTGGGCAAGACGAAATTGAGGCAGCGTGCTATTCCCTTGCAGAGCGCATGGAGCAGATGGCTGCGTCCACCAAGGATGTTCCCAAGCTTTTGATCCTTCCAATATATTCTCAGCTTCCTGCTGATTTGCAAGCAAAGATATTTCAGAAAGCTGAAGATGGAGCTCGGAAATGCATTGTGGCGACCAACATTGCTGAGACTTCGTTGACCGTGGATGGAATCTTCTATGTTATCGACACGGGATATGGTAAAATGAAGGTTTACAACCCAAGGATGGGTATGGATGCTCTGCAAGTTTTCCCTGTCAGCCAAGCGGCTGCCAATCAGCGTGCAGGACGTGCTGGTAGAACAGGCCCTGGCACGTGCTACAGGCTGTACACTGAGAATGCATACCTGAACGAGTTGTTGCCAAGTCCAGTGCCGGAGATTCAGAGGACCAATCTCGGTAACGTAGTTCTTCTGCTGAAGTCTCTCAAAATAGAGAACTTGCTGGATTTCGATTTCATGGACCCACCTCCACAAGATAATATTTTGAACTCTATGTACCAACTGTGGGTGTTGGGCGCGCTGAGCAACGTTGGAGGTTTGACTGATCTCGGATGGAAAATGGTCGAGTTCCCCCTGGATCCTCCACTAGCTAAGATGCTTTTGATGGGAGAGCAATTGGGATGCTTAAATGAGGTTTTGACTATCGTATCGATGCTCTCGGTCCCCTCTGTGTTCTTTCGGCCCAAGGACAGGGCCGAGGAGAGTGATGCTGCACGGGAGAAATTCTTTGTTCCAGAATCTGACCATTTGACTCTGCTCAATGTCTTTCTGCAATGGAAGGAGCACCAGTATCGGGGAGATTGGTGTAACGACCATTACTTGCACGTCAAAGGATTGCGCAAAGCCAGAGAAGTCCGGTCTCAGCTGCTGGATATTCTGAAGACTCTGAAGATTCCATTGACGACCTGTGGGCATGATTGGGATGTGATCCGGAAGGCGATCTGTTCTGCTTACTTTCACAATGCAGCAAGGTTGAAGGGTGTTGGTGAGTATGTAAACTGCAGGTCAGGAATGCCGTGCCACTTGCACCCAACCAGCGCCCTCTATGGCCTGGGGTACACTCCAGATTATGTTGTGTATCACGAGCTGGTGTTGACCACAAAAGAGTACATGCAGTGTGCAACCTCTGTAGAGCCGCAGTGGTTGGCTGAGATGGGTCCCATGTTCTTTTCGGTCAAGGATTCCGATACATCGATGTTGGAGCACAAGAAAAAGCAAAAGGAAGAAAAGACTGCGATGGAGGAGGAGATGGAGAATTTGAGGAAGGCTCAAGCAGAGGACGAGAGACGAAACAAGGAGAAGGAAAGAGAGAAGAGGGCAAAGCAGCAACAACAAATAGCAACGCCAGGGCTGCGTCAGGGATCTTCGACTTACTTGAGACCTAAGAAGTTTGGTTTGTAGATGTGGCTTGTGTGAAATTAACTGAATCTCACAAGGAAGAAATGTTGTAACTCAATTTTATTGTGGAGTAAACCAACTAGAAGTCACTTATTCCCTGTAACTTTGCTACTACCCTCACCTTCCAGTAAAGTGTTCCTCTTGCGATGGGTTTGGACAGGACTGTGATGTCCGTGAGAATTCTGATACTTGTCAAGTGTGGGTGGTGAAATTATTTGAGGCTGTTGCACTTGATTCCGTTGCTCCTGCTATTGTAAGGTTGAAGAGGTTGCGGCTCCACATTTGGAGGTTGTTGTTAACTTAAGGAGAAGATGATTTTGGATCCCGAACAGGAAGTTGTTGTAATTGTTTTCAGGCCACCTATAGAAGCCAGCTGCTCCTTTGTTCAAGAGGCACCCCATGTGTTGAGGAAGGATTCCTTGTCTGAGAAAGTAGTTGAATCTCCAGCAGTTGCCTGAGTCTTAATTTCACTGTTATCAAGGAAGAGATAAAAAAAAAGGTGTTTAACAGATCGTTTGGTACCAAATAAATCGAGAATTCATTTCATTGTAAAATGAATTACCGTGTAGAATTCATTGTCAAATGAAATCCTATGTTTGGTATGTTATATTCAAATCATTGAAGTGTCGTGTAGAATTGATTGTCAAATGATTTTATGTGTTTGGTATGTCATATGTATAAGTAATTTAGTTAATAAAAGAGGATAATCATGTCATTCTATTATAATTAGTAAATACTTGTGGAATTCATTTGGGGGTCGTTTGGATTAGTGAATGTGATGAGGGATTTATGAGTGATTTTAAAACAATCTCTCGTTGTGCAGGATTTTAAAACAATTCTGCGTTTGGAAAGGTGAGAGATTGTGGGCATGAGGAAATTCTAAATCTCTCATATGAGAGTTTTTAAAATAGCTGATGGAGATCAGCTATTTCACAATCACTCATTTTTTCACATTCTTTTCCAAACTCTGCCCCTCTTTTTGTTCTTCCTTTCTTATTCTTCCTTAGGGATTAGGGATGGGTATAATTGTAACTTTAATTTTTAATTAAAATCCTTCATCTATTCCCAAACATGTTATTTGGATCAAATTTCACGTTTAAAATACCTGGGTTTTTAATTGAGAGATTTTAATCCAAATCCCTCATTTACACATTCCCTAATCCAAACGACCCCTTGGAAATTTTATCTCAATTCCTCGGAATTGCTATAACTAGTTCCAATTCAGTAGAATTTAAAATTTAGAATTGAAAATGAATTCTTTTTAATACCAAACACAAAATTATTTTATTTCAAAATAAATTTTTCAAAACTTATGGAATTCATTTATAGCAAACTGTATGTAAGTCTATGAGTGATGACAAAGGCCTCATGAGTCATGTCCTAACTCCTAATGGGTTTCATGAGGAATTTTTCAAAGATGAATGAGACTTAATTGGTAAGGAGGTAGATGATGTGGTCTTAAATTTATTTATGACGGGGTGTCAGAGATGGTGGATTCAACTATATTTTCCATGGTTTTCATGTCCTGATTGTTATGGTTTCCCTATCAACTTTGTTGATTTGCTTAAAGCTTGTGTTTTCAGTTTTCATTATGGTTCATGAAACTGTACCGGTCGTTCAACCACTAAATACCATTATTGGAGGCTAAACCGGTAGGTGGTATTTAACGGTTGAACTACGGTTAAATCACAGTTTTATCATAAAATATCATACCTCTGACTTTTCCGGTACGATATCCAGTACAATTTCATAGACCATGGTTTTCACACCTATGATTAGTGTTACAATAAATGAAGGCTTATGTGGTTACTTTCTTGTGAAGAAAGGGCTTCTTAAATCTTATCTTAAAATATATTAAAGCTCTTTCAGAATTGTACCCTATCCACGTCACCCCTTTTCAACGTATAGCCATCCACGTCAGCTCTTTAAAACAAGACTCTTCTTTCTCTGCACGGAAAAATTCCTCCTTTTTCACCCTCCTGGCCTCGACGCTACATCTTTTTTTTCTCCTCCCTCAGTCACCCAAATTATAACTGTCCACCACTACAGTTTCCTTCTCGCCAAATCTAGAGCGATTTCATCGCTACCGATGTCGGAGCGTTGAACCATGAATCGATCGACGGAATCAATTCCAGAACCGGTTTTCTTCTCCGATCAGACAACGGTCGAAACCGCCGTACGTACAGTCCCAATTCCGGGGTCCCCAATGCAGATTCCGCCATGCTTTTTGCTTCCTCGACCAGCCACAATCTGCTACCACCGATCTTGCTAGATTAAATTCAATCTTTTCCGCTATATGAACTCATGTTTATTCTTCGATCATGCTCTTTATTATATGTCCTTGGGTAACTCCAAATACTTCATAGCATTTTCTGTATTAATGTTGTCGTACTCTTCCAACCCCAATGCATCTGGGCAGTGATCGAAGTTAATGGTCTCCGATACAATGTTAGCGCCACAAAGAACCCAGCACGCGAAGCAAAAGTGGTTCCTCTTTACTTCACCTTGCATGCGAACACTCCCTGTTTTTACCCAGAAAAAATCATGCTTAAAAATAATGTTGCTTTAATAGTTCTAAAAATTAATACCAAGTTAAGAATTCTACATCACATCTACATATTAAATACTACAATTCGATATGCAATATTTGAATAAATGATATTTGGGTTGCAATTTTGAAATTATCCTCCATTTATAAGATAGACATAAATTTCTTTTATTATTAAACTCAAATTAAAATGATCAAAATATGAAAATTCAAATATCAAATATAACAAATAAAGTACTTACGGGAGAGTTATGGGCTAGCTAACACTAACAGTAACAGTAGAGGAAAAATCATATGATCTTTAGATTTTAGGTTTTCAGATTTTGTATTTAAAAAAATACAAAATATTTCTTTAGTGTAATTGGTAACGATTGTTGTATTTGTTTGAATAGATCATGATTCAAACCCTGAGATTGATGTTTTTTTTTCTTTTTTATGAATAAAAATAAATAATGATTGTAAAGACATAATTAACCTTCATACCTTTTCTCTCGTTATAAGAAATTTGAAATGCTAAAAAATTGCTCATAACTCTGCTATAATATATTTGTAGATACTATGAATGTATTGCCATTAGTGATCTCACAACAAATGGAAAGTTAGTTTCCAATCAATCTCAAACTAAGCACCAATAAGTAATATAATAAATACCAAGGATACAAAACTACTCAATAACATCGTACTATAATTAAACCATTATAAAAACAATATTTGGAACCTCTAGGTCCACAAATCGAACTACTCATTGCAAATTAAAAATGAGAAATCAAATATCAACCTAAAATTCCAATAATGTAAATTTTTATATACTATTCTAAATATTTGGACCAATACATTTTAATTGTGATTTATTAGAAAACAATTACAACTTTTTTGTGTGGTTGCTGCATTAGTAGGAGAAAAAACTATGAATTTAAATTGTCAGTTTGCTGAGTAATAGACATATCACAGTCACATATTTATGTGGCTATATCTTATATAATGGAATTACTAAAATATACAAATATAAGTTAGTCATTTGCCACCAAGATATTTGCCAATTTCATGTGTATAACAATATTACTGATAATCATGAAAATTTTTGCTTTTATATTTTCAAGCAAGTTATCTTGGTATTACCCACATTTGAATGTGCTCAATCGGTAAAAGAGGTCACAAGAAAAATATATGTACTTTTCATCTTTACAGATGACAAGTCGGATTTTTTTCTAGAAACACCACTAAAAATAAAAAAATTCCAAAAATACCATCCAGTTTTGAAAAATTCCAAAAATACCACCCTTTCCCAAAAACCACCACACAACCCAACGGTTTACACGAAAACCGCAGGGTGGGGATGCGGGTAGGGGCGGTTTGGCCCAATTTTTTTTCAATCAATCCTAACCTAGGTGGAAACTTCAAACGAACGTATCTTTGTGCTCGGATATCCAATCATAGCGATTTTTTTTATTCTGCATAACTTTTCGAGATCTTGCAAGCCGCAACCTGCCAAGTCCTGCCTTGTCACGAAAAAATGTCGTTTGTTACCCCGAAAGAGCAATTTTCAATTTTGCCAAACTTTGGACGACCATAACTTTGTGCTCCAAAATTCAAATGTTACAAACATTTTTTAATTAGCAAATTGATTTAGATGAACATATTTAAATCACTACTCTAAATTTAGCCTAGAAATTTTAGCCCCAAAGATTTTTCGTCTAAAAAAAACAATGAAACCTAAAAATCTAAAGCATAATAGACTAAAAGAAATTTGAGGTTTGTTACCTTGAAAATTTACTAGACAACTGGTGGTATAGGGATGGACACATAATGCAAATTGATATTGATTTGTCTAGTGTTGACGCTGCTCTTTTCAACAACTACTATAGAGAGAACCTGGGAGAACCTTTTGAACCAACAAACATGTAAAAACTGATTTGCACAATAAATGAGCGATGAATTTCTTGCCAATTGCTCAAGTATTTTATTTGGTACAGTGTATACTATTGGTATGGATGTGGACTACATTATTGATGCATTTGCTAAATTAAGATATTGTAGTGTACAATTTACATTGTAAAAAAATATAATCATTAATTTTTTGTATGGTTATAATTTTCTAATAAAATGCGGCTCAGTTCTCTTTTGTGTTTTAGATCCGCCACTACGGGTAGTGGTTAACCACTATCCACTATGAGATGAGTTGTGAATAACATAATTTTATATTTGTGAATGTAATTACCTGTAAAATGTGAGACGGGTAACCACACCCATCCCAATTTTCACTAGCAATAAGGACGAGATTTAGCAATCCCCAACCGAAAACCCCTCGCGTCGCTCAACTTGCTGCGCACGGTGCGTGCTAAAGGCACAAAATATAAAATATAAAACCGCTTTGTAAGTTCTGTACCCTTCGGCTTATCAAGCCGGTTTCTACCCGGCATATCCACCGTACAATTGATATCCAAGGGCGCACAAAAATTGACACTCTCATGAAATAAATCAATAAATCAACTAAACGAAAATTATTAAAACCGAAATGCGTTTTCTGACAATTTACAACAGCAACTAACCGCTCTTTATTTCGCGCAGTCGGTACACGCGAAAAGCTCCGCCTCGTTTCCCCTTCCTCACCTCGGCGAGGACTCCTCGATTTTCCTCTGTCGTCGCATTTGGTGGCTTCTGGCGGCATTTATCCGACTCGCAGTCGGTCGAATTTGACATTCGCCGAATTGAGATAGTCGTTAACGGCCGAGATCCTTTACCTCTTGCGCTTCGGTCATTTCCGGTCACGGTCAGGTGCGTTCTCGATTAGCTAGCTTTTTAAATCTCGGTCCTCGGTTGTTTCCGAAGAGCGTCTTATGGAATTTTCAGTGGGATCGCGCCTTAGTTTTCCTTCTGTGCATGCGAGTGATCCTGCTTTCGTTTTGTGTTTAGAGGAATTTAGGTTTAGGATTAACGAGTTATCCAATACTTTGGGTGGTAGCTTGATAATGGTATACTCTGCGTGATGGTTTTGATTTTGATCATTCCTTTCATCAATCAAATCAAAGGTGACTGATGGTTGCAATCATTTATGTGTAGGTTCCAGTGTCGTCGGTTCTTCTGGGGCTGTCTCATTGCTTGTTGGAAGTCAGCTCAGAGTCAGATATGAGCTCCCAAACCAGAAGCGATAGAAGGGACAGGTCTAGATTACCCTCTCAAGCCGTGCGCCAGACTTGGGTTCCCAGAGGACATGGCCCCTCCACAGTTTCCTTAAATCTACCTCCTCCGACTTCCATTTCCAATGTCGATGAAAGAGGCACCAGTCATTCAACCGTCCCTGAATCAAGACACAGAGGCACCAGTCATTCAGCTGTCCCGGATCCAAGACCCATAGGCACCAGTAATTATGTTGCTCCTGAACCCAGACCCAGAGGCATCAGTAATTCTTCTCGGAATAATGTGGGTCGCCCCACAAACCACAGGAGGGATAAGGAAAGGGAGAAAGGTCAGTCACAAACTTTGAAAGAGTTGAAGGATGCAAATATGCCACAACTGGTGCAAGAAATTCAGGAGAAACTTGCAAAGAGCACTGTTGAGTGTATGATTTGTTATGATATGGTGCGAAGGTCTGCTCCTATTTGGTCTTGTTCCAGCTGTTACTCCATTTTTCATCTCAATTGTATCAAGAGATGGGCTAAGGCTCCTACTTCCGTCGACTTGTCTGCCGATAAAAACCAGGGTTTTAACTGGCGCTGCCCGGGCTGCCAGTACGTGCAACTGACACCATTGAAAGAGATTCGTTATGTTTGCTTTTGTGGGAAAAGAACAGATCCACCCTCTGATTTGTACTTGACTCCTCATTCATGTGGTGAGCCATGTGGGAAGCCCCTCGAGAAGCATTTGCCAGGCACCAACTTCGAGAGTAATAATGAGGATTCTTGCCCTCATATCTGTGTGTTGCAGTGCCATCCAGGTCCATGCCCACCTTGCAAATCATTTGCTCCACAACGCTTGTGCCCTTGTGGGAAGAGCACCATCACCACTAGGTGCTCTGAACGTCAATCTGTTCTCACATGTGGTCAGCAATGTGATAAGCTTCTCGATTGTCAGCGTCATCGTTGTGAAAGGATTTGCCATCTTGGTCCTTGTGATCCGTGCGAAATTCCGGTTACAGCTTCATGTTTTTGTAAGAAAAAAGAGGAGGATATATTATGCGGAGACATGTCTGTGAAGGGAGAGGTGAATGTTGAAGAAGGTGTCTTTTCTTGCAATTTCATGTGTGGGAAGATGCTTGCTTGTGCTAACCATGAATGTACTGAAGTATGTCATCCAGGTCCTTGTGGAGATTGTGATTTGATGCCAGGAAGGGTCAAGTCTTGTTATTGTGGGAAGACGAGCTTGGTGGAGGAAAGGAAGTGTTGTTTGGACCGGATCCCTAACTGTATGCAGGTTTGTGGCAAGCTCCTTCGCTGTGGGGTTCACAACTGTACGGACCTGTGCCATTCTGGAGATTGCCCTCCTTGTATGGTCAATGTCACCCAAAGTTGTTGTTGTGGATCAACATCAAGAACTGTGGCCTGCTATAAAAAAAGTGATATCAATGAACAGTTCAAGTGTGACAAGCCTTGTGGACGGAAGAAGAATTGCGGGAGACATCGGTGTAGTGAACGTTGCTGCCCTCTTTCTAATAACTCAACTACTTCTTTCTCTGAAGACTGGAATCCGCACTTATGCCAAATGGCCTGTGGCAAGAAGTTGAGGTGTGGCCTGCATTCTTGTGAGTCAGTATGTCACAGTGGTCATTGCCCTCCTTGTCTCGAGACAATCTTTGTTGATCTGAGCTGTGCATGTGGAAGGACTTCAATCCCTCCCCCCTTGCCCTGTGGTACACCACTACCATCATGTCAACTCCCCTGTTCGGTTCCTCGGCTTTGTGGTCATGCAGCTTCTCATAACTGCCACCATGGAGACTGCCCGCCTTGTTCTGTCCCTATTGCAAAGGAGTGTGTTGGTGGACATGTGGTTCTCAAAAACATACCTTGCGGTTCGAAAAATATAAGGTGCAACAAGCTCTGTGGTAAAACTAGGCAGTGTGGTCTTCATGCATGTGGGCGGACATGTCATCCAGCACCGTGCGACTCTTCATCTTCCTCTGAAGTAGGAGCAGGGAGAGCTTCTTGTCGCCAGATATGTGGGGCCCCCAGAAGGGACTGCAGGCATACTTGTGCTGCACTTTGTCATCCTACTGCTCCTTGCCCCGATGCCAGATGTGAGTTTCCAGTCACAATTACTTGCTCATGTGGGAGGATAGCAGCCAGTGTTCCTTGTGATGCTGGAGGGACAAGTGGTGGTTTCAGTGCTGATACAGTTTTTGAAGCTTCAATAGCCCAGAAGCTACCAGCACCCCTTCAGCAAGTGGAATCAGCAACTGGTAGTAAGAAGATTCCACTTAGCCAAAGGAAGCTTACTTGTGATGAAGAATGTGCTAAATCAGAACGGAAGAAGGTTCTTGCTGATGCTTTTGACATTAATACCCCCAACTTGGATGCTCTTCATTTTGGCGAGAACTCGGCTGTTTCCGAGTTGCTTTCGGATTTATATAGGCGTGATCCAAAATGGGTTCTTGCTGTTGAAGAGAGGTGCAAGTGCCTTGTCCTTGGTAAGAACAGGGGGGGAACTGTGGGTGGTGGTCTTAAGGTTCATGTCTTCTGCCCGATCCTGAAGGACAAGAGAGATGCAATTAGGCTGATAGCAGAGAGGTGGAAGCTAGCAATCAATGTTGCTGGGTGGGAACCCAAGCGGTTTGTTGTTCTTCATGCAACTCCCAAGTCTAGACCACCACAACGAGTGATTTGTGTCAAAGGGGTAGCTACTGCCACGAGTCTGCACCCACCTGCTTTTGATGCCCTTGTTGACATGGATCCCAGGCTTGTTGTTTCTTTCCTTGATTTGCCTAGGGAGTCGGACATAAGCTCTTTGGTGCTTAGATTTGGTGGGGAGTGTGAGCTGATATGGCTGAATGATAAGAATGCATTGGCGGTTTTCAACGATCCTGCTCGCGCAGCAACTGCCCTTAGGAGGTTGGATCATGCATCTGCTTATCATGGTGTCGTTGTGATTCTTCAGAACAGTGGTGCAGCAGCTAATGCATGGAGTAACCCCAAAGATGGAGTGACTGCAGCATTGAAGGGAAATAATGCATGGAAAAAGGCTGTTGGTGAAGATGTTTGGGGTGGTGAAGAGCAGCCTAGTGGATCCAGTGATTCTTCTCCTTGGAAACAAAAGGAAGTAGCTTCTGCAATTACTGCTTCGGTTAATCGCTGGAGCATTCTAGACACTGTGACGGCTTCCAGCACTGCTGCTGCTGCTGCTTCATCGGTGGTTAGAAGTGAGGCCCGAGGTGGGGCTCTTCTTGATTCAGTAGTAATTAGGCCATCATCCGAGCAGTTGGAAGTGGCAGATGACTGGGAGAAAGCTTTTGACTTGGAGAACAATATGCAACAGGGGTAAACGCCCAATCTAGTTTGTGATTCATCGGGGATCTTGGTCCTTTAGAATCGACACAGGGGTTTACTGGTCATATCCTGCATGCTTACTTTCCGTTGATAATCTTGGTTCGCTAGCCTTGCCCATTCACTTAGTCGAGTTAAGTTTTGTATCAGAATGCTCAACGTTCTATTGAGAACGTAGAGAGAGGTAGACTTGAGTTCATTGGCTTCCAGCCATGTATGTAGTAACAGAAGGCCTTGGGAAGAGGCGAGGTTTCTGATTTCTGTATTCCACTAAAGCTTTAGGTGGAGATATTTTCTGCTTCCTTTTTCTGGAAGCAGCATTGTGAAATTGGGAAGCAAATGTGATAATGATCAAAGATGAAATATGACTCTTATTTGGCCTTTATTAAGGCAGATAGCAAAAATGTTTTCCCCATTCAACTCATGCTTACTAGTGTGATTGATGGGCCGCAGTAAGTATTTAATGTCATATGCTTCATATGGTTATTATGGGTCATCTAAAGCATGTGTTTGTTACTTCTTTAGGTTTCCTAGAGTCTCTTTGAGCTGATAAATATATTGAAGATCACTTTTGTACCGCTGGCACACAACATTATAACTGGAGCAGTTCGCTCTAGCATTTTGGACTAGCTGTCTCTTACTCTTATATTCTTGAGAGTGCTGCAGTTGAGGGGTCGGTTAGCATGCTAACCCCCTTAGGGGTTGGAAAAATGACACCCCCTAGTATATTAAATACAACTATAGAATTTAATACACACATTAAATACACATTAGGAATTAAATGTACCATATTAATTAGGAATTCTCTCACTATTAAATACACATTAGGAATTAAATACACACATTAAATACACATTAGGAATTCTCTCACTATATTTGATTTTTCCTCAGAATACCCAACGGACAAATATCTCAGAGAATAAACAAATGACTGTTGGCAAAAGCAAGGAAGAGACAAAAAAAGGTAAGGAGAAGGTGGGATTGGCGGGTCCACCGACCTCTAAAGGATTACTGGGCCCCGGCCCTTTTCTGTCCAACATCACCGGGCCTAAGGCCTCTCCCGGCCCGTCAGAGGCTTCCTCTTCACATGGCACTAGAGGGCCAGCCTCCACACCTGCTCCCCTTTCTCCAAAGACTGGGCCCGCTACCAACACCTCAAGCCAAATCATTCCAGCAGCGGATATGCCCATCCAACTCTTGACAGGGCCCAATGGCACTAACATGCAGATAATCTCGACCCAACAGCCCGCCTTCACACCTCTATCAGAGACAAATTCCAAGCGGCAGGAGCTGGGAGGGAAGCAGAAGCAGAATAAAACTTCAAAACCCAGATCGCGCAAGAGCTCCCCGATGAAGCAGAACCCTCTCAAGCCGCTGCGGATTTGGTCTCCGATGAAGGAGAAGAAGAGCAAAACGAAATCTCGGCTGGCCACCCTTACTCTTGAAGAGATAAATGACTGGACCAAGGGGGGGATGGAAGCAGTAGCGATGGATTTGAAGAAAGTAGATTCGCCGGTCAGAAATGCTCCGGTGACTACCCTTCCTGAGAATCAAGCGGCGACTCCCTCCACCTAATTGGTGAGCCCGCTCCTTTTGAACCTCCTTTTCCCTTTCCCTTTTCTCTTCTTCACTCTTAAATATTTTTCTATGTCAAGTACAACCTCTTTCAAAATCTTGTCCTGGAACGTAGGTGGAGCTGGGAGCCGAGCTTTTGCGCGGTCTCTGAAGATGGTCCTCGAAACCCACCGTCCAGACTTTGTGATTCTCCTGGAGCCCCAAATTAGTGGGTGTACTGCGAATGCTCTTTGTGACCGGCTGGGCTATTCAAACGTCTTTAGAGTGGAAGCAGACGGCAAGAAAGGAGGAATTTGGGTCTTTTGGGATAACAAGAAGTTCTCTGTGACTCTGGTTTCCGCCTGCAATCAGCATCTGTCTCTTCACATTTCCCAGGGGAATGAAGCTCCCTGGCTTCTCACTGCAGTCTATGCCTCTCCCCACCCGAGTCTGCAGTACACCCTTTGGAACAGCCTGGTAGAGCAAAGCAAGACAATTAATATGCCTTGGCTGCTCACGGGCGATTTTAATGCGATTCGGAGTCCTGAAGAGAAGAGTGGTGCCCCGTCGGCTTCTACCTTGAGAAGGTGTCGCCTCTTTAATGACCGGATCAACCTGGCGGAGCTGATTGACTTGGGGTTTTCGGGGCCACGGTTTACTTGGACTAGGGGGGAGCAGGGCAGTTCATACAAAGCAAGCAGAATTGACAGGAGCTTCTGCAACCCGATGTGGAACGTTACCTTCCCCAACTCGGCTGTTCGCCATCTTCCCCGGCTCCATTCGGATCACAATCCCATCCTAACTTCTGTTGCTTCCCAGGGGCACTCTCCTCCTGAGTCTCGTTCCTTTAGATGCGAAGCAGCATGGTTTACTCACGCCAATTTTTTGGATTTTGTTGTAGGAGCTTGGGATGTTAACGCCAACTTTCCGGAAGCTTTAGATGAGCTTACAGCTAAGCTTAAAGAGTGGAACCTCAATGTCTTTGGGAATATCCAGCAGAGGAAGCGTAGGCTCTATGCTCGGATTCGAGGAGTTGAGGTCCTCCTAGCTAATTCTTTCGATCCAGGCTTAGCCAAGTTTCATACCAGGCTAGCGGAAGAGCTGGATAAAGTTCTGGAGCAGGAGGAGCTGTTGTGGTTGCAACGTGCTAGAGAGAGATGGGTTCAGTTTGGCGAGCGCAACACTGCCTATTTTCACCAACAAGTCAGTATCAGGAGACGGCACAACAAGATTGGGGCCCTTAAAGATGCGAACGGGGTTTGGATTGACGACCCTGACGAGCTTGCCTCTCTTGTGTTTGATTATTTTGCTAACCTCTACCTGCAGGATGATTCAAACTATGAGGATAAACTCCCCAAGCAAGCCTTCCCTAGGCTTAGTCAGTCTGAGATGATGCTCTTACTGCGCCCTTTTACTATGTTGGACATTCATAGGGCAATCTTCGATATGAAGCCTTTCCAGGCTCCAGGCCCGGATGGTTTTCAGGCGGCTTTTTATCAACAGTCTTGGAGCACAACTGGCAGGGCTCTAGCGGATATGGCGACTCAGTTCTTCTCGACTGGGAACCTCCCAGCGGCGGTCTCAGATTCTACAGTGGTGCTCATCCCCAAGGTTGACAGTCCTGAGCTGGTTACTCAGCTGAGGTCGATTTCTCTGAACAACGTCAGCCTGAAGGCGATCACTAAGGCGATGACGAGCCGGCTTAAGCCGATCATGAGGAAGCTGATCTCCCCCAGGCAAAGCAGCTTCATCCCAGGAAGACAGACCTTAGATAATATTATAATTGTCCAGGAAGTCCTCCATACTTTGAATAAGAGAAGAGGAAGGAAAGGAGGGATGGTTTTTAAGATCGATCTTGAGAAGGCATATGATATGCTTAGATGGGATTTCCTGAGAGATACCTTGAAAGAGGTTGGCCTTCCTAGCTCCTGGATAAGCTGTATCATGCATTGTGTCGAGCAGAACCAGATGAAGATCTTATGGAATGGAAAGCTTTCTCAACCTATCACTCCTTCCCGTGGCGTTCGACAGGGAGATCCTCTTTCCCCCTATCTTTTTGTTCTTTGTATGGAGCGTCTTTCACACAGGATTGATGAGGCCGTTCTTAATAAGCAGTGGAAAGCCATCCGCCTTACTAAGGACGGCCCACCTCTGACTCATCTTTTCTTTGTAGATGATCTGCTTCTTTTTGCAGAAGCGAAATCTCGGCAGATTAAGGTGATTCAAGAATGCTTGGGGGACTTCTGCACTAGCTCTGGGCAGCGGGTTCACTACAACAAGTCAATCATGTACATCTCCCCCAACGTCAACCGGACTACAGCTAATCTCTTGAGCAGAAAGGCGGGCATTCCTCTTAAACAAGAGTTGGGGAAATACTTGGGCATTGAGACTATTCATGGCCGGATCACCAAAGGGAGATATCAAGGACTTCTCTTAAGGATTCAAAAGAAGCTCGCCCCTTGGAAAGCTCGTCGACTATCCTTAGCGGCAAGACTCACCGTGGCTCGTTCGGTAACTTCGTCTCTCCCTACCTATCACATGAATACTGAACTAATCCCTGTTGGTGTGTGCAAGAGTATCGATAAGTTGAACAGGGATTTCATTTGGGGAGAAGAGGAGAACAAAGCCAAGATGCATCTGGTAGCCTGGGAGAAGATGATACTCCCGAGGAGACAGGGTGGAGCTGGGCTGAGATCCATCAGATAGGCGAATCTGGCGATGCTCGCCAAAGGAGGTTGGAGACTTCTCAAGGAGACGGACATCTTATGGTGCAGAGTTCTGCGCGATAAATACAGCAGGGATCAAAGGGACTTAGGCATCATCCGCCCAATTCAGGGAAGTTCTTTTACTTGGAGAAGCATATCTAAGGCCGCTGATTTGCTTCATAGAGGTTGTGCGTGGAACATTAAGAATGGTAGACGCACTAAGTTCTGGTCCGATGTTTGGATTCTGCAGGTACCTCTCAAGGATGTAGCGGTTGGACAAATTCCGGGGGAAATGGAGGACGCCGTGGTGGCGGATTTTGTGACTCAGGAGGGAGCTTGGCGTACCGACCTTTACTCTGACCTTCTACCCCAGGAGGTCCAGATGAAGATCCTTAGCACAGCCGTGGACACTATCTCGACAGAGAATGACACTATTTTCTGGAATGCGGCCTCCGATGGAAGATTTTCGGCTAAAACAGCTTACAATCTTCTTAACCAGCACGATGCAGACCCAGACGAGAAATATTGGAAGATCATTTGGAGCTTACCGGTCCCGGAGCGCGTTAGGAGCTTCCTCTGGCTGACGTGTCTTGGTCGAATTGCAACTAATCAACTTCGTTTTTGCAGGAAATCAGCTCCTAACCCGGACTGTGTCCGCTGCCTGGGACAGCCTGAGAGCATTCTCCATGCGCTTCGTGATTGCCCCCCAGCTCTTTTCTTCTGGAGCAGGCATGTCCCTACTGCGAAACAGCATTCCTTCTTCAGTGCCGAGCAGAGCGATTGGCTGCGTGAGAATCTTAGCAACTCAGAAGCAGGTCCTTCCGGGATTCCGTGGGATGCTTTCTTTGGTGTCGCAACCTGGTGTCTCTGGAAAAGTAGATGTGAGGCTTGCTTCAAGGGCCTTGCGGCCGTCCTTTCTCCTCCTTCTTTGGCTCACTCCATCATTGCTAAAGCGAAACTTTGGCATGAGGCTTGGCATGCTCCGACGGTTTTGCCTGGCAGCAGATCTAAAGCGGCTACTAGGGTGGTGCAGAATATTGGCTGGAAGCCCCCTCCTCAAGGTTGGTATACTCTTAACGTTGATGGTGCCTCTTGTGGTAATCCAGGACCAGCTGGTACAGGGGGTTGCATTCGAGACAGCTCCGGACGCTGGGTCTCTGGTTTTGTGGGCAATATAGGAACGGCGTCTGCTGCTCTTGCGGAATTATGGACTGTCTTTCATGGTCTCGAAGTTGCTTGGAACACCGGCTGTCGAACTCTGAAGATTGAATCAGACTCGAGGCTAGCTATTGAGCTTATTAACAACCGTTTGGACCAGGTTCATCCCTACTCCACTCTACTCTCAGCTATTCGCAGGAAGCTAAGCCAAGATTGGCTGGTGAGCATTTCTCATACATACCGGGAAGGGAATAGAGTCGCGGACTGGCTCTCGAAGCACAGTCTCGTCTATCCCTACGGTATGCATGAGCTTGCGAACCCGCCCCAAGGCTTAGAAAGTATTCTGCAAGAGGACAACATGGGTATCACTTTTGAGCGACGTGTAGTCGCGGACTCCTCCTCTCCTCCCAACCTCTCGGCGCCCCACTTGTAATCTCTTTCTTCGGCCTTCGGCCTCCTGTAATGCAAAAAAAAAAAAAAATTTTTATTTTTCCTTTTTCAGCAGTCTCCGACCGCCACACTTCTCCGGTGAAAATCCCATCGGCAGACTCCCTCCGACCACCTCCAAAAAATATACCACTGCACTGATACGGTGTACCACTGTACTGGTAGATATACCACTGCACTGATACGTTGTACCACTGTACTGGTAGATATACCACTGCACTGGTAGCGATATCAGTGCACTGGTAGCAATGTCATATCTGAGTATCAGTGCAGTGGTACAAATACCAGTAAAGTGGTAATTAATGTGGTGTATTTAATGCTTATTTTGTATTTAATAACAGAACATTTATTATGTTTACTTTCATTAATACTTGTCAATAATTAATGAAAAATTGACCAATTAAAAGGGGGTGTCAAAAAACCAACCCCTTAAGGGGTTAGCATGCTAACCCGTCCCTGCAGTTGATGGTGAAGTTAGGTTTTGTTATCGACCATTTCAAAATAATAGCCTACCGTTTGTTTAGCCCACCATGTCAGATTTCACATAGAATCATGGGTTGAATGGCGCAAATGCTAGTTCTGGTTTCTTTGCTTCTAGTGCTGCAAAGTATGAGCTAGTAAGTGGAATGACATTGAGTTACTCGGGCTGATGCTATGAAAATTCTTTTACCTTTACAAGCTCCAAGAGACGAGGTCGATGTGTATTTTGCTCCAGTCCATTTTCGGCCATAGATTAATCAAAAAGTGCTCAAAGAGCATCAACTAAAGTCGCTGTCTTCTCCTGAACTAATAGTATACATTGTTTTCTTCTTCTTGATAAGAGAATACCTGCAGGCTGCAGGCCTTGAGTTGCCTGTCCTAGAAGATCTCTGAACACCTAACTTTAAGGAGCTTTAAATTCTTTGTACCAGGCAAATCTTCTTCTCTAATTGTCATATTTTTTGTATCAATAATGGGGCAGACATAGATTGACTTCTCTTTGCTTTTTTCTGGTTTCATTATTAATTTTCTCCCGTATTCTCTGCATGAGAGAATAGAAAGAAGGTATTCTTAATTGAGATATTCGTTATTAGATTGCATTCAAGCACTTTAAAGGCTGTTCAAACTCATCCTCCCCATATTCGTTATTAGATTGCCTTGAATGCCCGTAGAAGGCCGCCTTCATGTTTCAGAATCATAGTGATCCCCCTCCAAGTTTCAAGAGCAGACACCGCTAAATAAATTGGTGTTGCTGCCAGTGTACACGGTCACAAGGGGTTAAAAGTGACCAGGATGCTTACGTTAACATGGATTGCAGCTGGTGCAACTAGTTAAGCTGCTAGCTCTTGCTTTATTGCCAGAAGGTCACTAGTTTGATTCCAACAAAAAGCAAATTTATTTTTGCTTCGATTTTTAATGGTTGGAGAGTTTCCGATTGGTTTAAAGGATCCTACCTCGTATGACATAACTTCAAGATTTTTTTTTCAGCCTTGAGTCGTACAACGAACGTCCGCCATTTGAAAAAAAAAATATTCGCGTTTCGGGATGTTACATTTAGCCTCAGAAATTGAAAGAAAATTTCATTTAAAAAAAATCGGTCGAAATCGGTGATGGTACCCTTTTCGTATCTACAAAAGATGCACCCAGAATAAATCCGCCCAAATCGGTGTTTAATGGACTTAATCATCGTTGAAGAATAACCTCCAGCCGAAACTGTGATCTGTACCCTTCAAAATTAAAGGAAAATGGACTTTCGAAAAAAAATCTCCCAAAAAATTACGAAAATGCTATCACAAACAAAATTGGCCCAATTCGGTGCTTAATGAACTTAATTGTCGGTGGAGAATACGATCAATATACTTCATTATTAGTGGAGAATCCGTGATCTGTAGCCTCCAAAATCGAAAGAAAATGACATTTCGGAAAAATCGCCCGAAATCGGTGCGGTACCCCTTTCGAATCTGCCAAAAATGGACCCGAAAGAAATTCGCCCAAATAGGTGCTTAATGGACTTAATTATCGTTAAAAAATAGCCTCAGGCCGAATCCGTGATTCAAAATCCAAAGAAAATGGCATTTTGGAAATCTCCCCCTAAATTTGTGATGGTACCCCTTTGGGATCTGCCAAAAAATGACCCGGAATAAATCCGCCCAAATCGGTGCTTAATGGACTTAATTATTGTTGAAGAATAGCCTCAGGCCGAATCCGTGATCTATAGCCTTCAAAATCCAAAGAAAATGGCCTTTCGGCACACACAAAATTACAAAAATGGCATCCCAAAATAAATTGGCCCAAATCGGTGCTTAATGGACATATCATCCGTGGAGAATAGGATCAATAGACTTCATTATCGGTGGTGAATAGCCTCGGCATGATTCTGTGATCTGTAGCCTCAAAATTGAAAGAAAATGACCTTTCGGAAATCTCGCCCAAAATATGTGATGGTACTCAGTAGAAATCTGCCAAAAATTGACCCAAAATAAATCCGCCCAAATCGGTTCTTAATGGACTTAATCATCGTTGAAGAATAGCCTCAGGCCGAATCCGTGATCTGTAGCCTTCAAAATCCAAAGAAAATGGCCTTTCGACGCCCACAAAATTACGAAAATGCCATCCAAAAATAAATTGGCCCAAATTGGTGCTTAATGGACTTATCATCCATAGAGAATAGGATCAATAGACTTCATTATCGGTGGAGAATAGCCTCGGCCTTATTTCGTGATCTGTAACCTCCAGAATCGAAAGAAAATTGCATTTCGGAAAAGTCGCCCAAAATCTTTTATGGTACCACTTTGCAATCTGCCAAAAATTGACTCGGAATAGATCCGGCCAAATCAGTGCTTATTGACTTAAGCATCGGTTAAGAATAGCCTCATGCCTAATCCGTGATCTGTAGCCTTCAAATCCAAAGAAAATGGCCTTTCGACGCCCACAAAATTACGAAAATGCCATCCAAAAATAAATTGGCCCAAATCGGTGCTTAATGGAGTTATCATCCCTTCATCCGTGGAGAATAGGATCAATAGACTTCATTATCGGTGGAGAATAGCCTCGTCCTGATTCCGTGATCGGTAGCCTCTAGAATCGAAAGAAAATGACATTTTGGAAAAATCGCCCAAAATCTGTGATGGTACCCCTTTGCAATCTGCCAAAAATTGACCCGGAATAAATCCGCCCAAATCGGTGCCTAATGGACTTAATCATCGTAAAGAATAGCCTTAGGCCAAATCCGTGATCTGTATCCTTCAAAATCCAAAGAAAATGGCCTTTTGACGCCCACAAAATTACAAAAATGCCATCCGAAAATAAATTGGCCCAAATTGGTGCTTATTGGACTTATCATCCGTGGAGAATAGGATCATTAGACTTCATTATAGGTGGAGAATAGCCTCGCCCTAATTTCATGATCTGTAGCCTCCAGAATCGAAAGAAAATGACATTTGGGAAATCTCACCCAAATTCTGTGATGGTACCCCTTTGCAATCTGCCAAAAATTGACCTGGAATAAATCCGCCCAAATTGATGCTTAATGGACTTAATCATCGTTGAAGAATAGCATCAGGCCGAATCCCAGATCTGTAGCCTTTAAAATTCAAAGAAAATGGTCTTTCGACGGCCAGAAAATTAGGAAAATGCCATCCGAAAATAAATTGGCCCAAATTGGTGCTTAATGGACTTATCATCTGTGGAGAATAGGATCAATAGACTTCATTATCGGTGGAGAATAGCCTCGAGCTAATTCTGTGATTTGTAGCCTCCAGAATAGAAAGAAAAGGCATTTCGGAAAAATCGCCCAAAATCTGTGATGGTACCCCTTTGCAATCTGCCAAAAATTGACCAGGAATAAATCCGCACTAATCGGTGCTTAATGGACTTAATAATCGTTGAAGAATAGCCTCGGGCCGAATCCGTGATCTATAGCCTTCAAAAATCCAAAGAAAATGGCCATTCGAAGACCACAAAATTATGAAAATGCCATCCGACAATAAATTGACCCAAATCGGTGCTTAATGGACTTATCATCCCTGGAGAATAGGATCATTAGACTTCATCATCGGTGGAGAATAGCCACGGCCTAATTCCGTGATGTGTAGCCTCCAAAATTGAAAGAAAATGGCATTTCGTAAAAATCACCAAAATCTGTGAATGTACCCCTTTGCAATCTGCCAAAAATTGACTTGGAATAAATCCGCCCAAATCGGTGCTTAATGGACTTAATCATCGTTGAATAATAGCATCAGACCGAATCCCGAATATGTAGCCTTCAAAATCCAAAGAAAGTGGCCTTTCGAAGCCCACAAAATTAGGAAAATGCCATCCGAAAATAAATTGGCCCAAATCTGTGCTTAATGGACTTATCATCCGTGGAGAATTTGATCAATAGTCTTCATTATAGGTGGAGAATAGTCTCAGCCTGATTCCGTAATCTGTAGCCTCCAGAATTGAAAGAAAATGGCATTTTGGAAAAATCGCGCCAGAATCTGTAATGGTACGTACCCCTTTGCAATCTGCCAAAAATTTACCCAGAATAAATCCGCCCTAATCAGTGCTTAATGGACTTAATCATCATTGAAGAATAGACTCAGGCCGAATGCGTGATCGTAGTCTTCAAAATCCAAAAAAAATGGACTTTCGACGCCCACAAAATTACCAAAATGCCATCCGAAAATAAATTGGCCCAAATCGGTGCTTAATGGACTTATCATCTGTGGAGAATATGATCAATAGACTTCATTATCGGTGGAGAATAGCCTCGGCCTAATTCCGTGATCTGTAGCCTCCAGAATCGAAAGAAAATGGCATTTCGATAAAATCACCCAAATCTGTGATGGGACCACTTTGCAATCTGCCAAAAATTGACCCCGAATAAATCTGCACAAATCGGTGCCTAATGGACTTAATCATCGTTGAAGAATAGCCTTAGATCGAATCCGTGATTTGTAGCCTTCAAAATCCAAAAAAACGGCCTTTCGACGCCCACAAAATTACAAAAATGTCATCAGAAAATAAATTGGCCCAAATTGGTGCTTAATGGACTTATCATCCGTGGAGAATAGAATCAATAGAATTCCTTATAGGTGGAGAATAGCCTCGCCCTGATTCCGTGATCTGTAGCCTCCATAATCGAAAGAAAATGGCATTACGGAAAAATTGCCCAAAATCTTTGATGGTACCTCTTTGAAATCAACCAAAAATTGACCCGGAACAAATCCTCCCAAATTGATGCTTACTGGACTTAATCATAGTTGAAGAATAGCATCAGGCCGAATCCCGGATCCGTAGCTTTTAAAATCCAAAGAAAATGGCCTTTCGACGCCCAGAAAATTAGGAAAATGCCATCCGAAAATAAATTGGCACAAATCGTTGCTTAATGGACTTATCATCCGTGGAGAATAGGATCAATAGACTTCATTATCGGTGGAGAATAGTCTCGGCCTAATTTTGGGATCTGTAGCCTCCAAAATCTAAAGAAAAAAGCATTTCGTAAAAATCACCCAAATCTGTAATGGTACCCCTTTGCAATATGCCAAAAATTAACCTGGAATAAATCCGCCCAAATCAGTGATTAATGGACTTAATCATCAGGTAAGAATAGCATAATGCTGAATCCCGAATCTGTAGCCTTCAAAATCCAAAGAAAATGGCCTATCGACGCCCACAAAATTACAAAAATGCAATCCGAAAATAAATTGGCCCAAATTGGTGCTTAATGGACATATCATCCATGGAGAATAAGATCAATAGACTTCATTATAGGTGGAGAATAGCCTCGCCCTGATTCCGTGATTTGTAGCATCCAGAATCGAAAGAAAATGACATTAGAGAAATCTCGCCCAAAATCTGTGATGGTACCCCTTTGCAATCAGCCAAAAATTGACACATAATAAATGTGACCAAATCGGTGCTTAATGGACTTAATCATCGTTGAAGAATAGGTTCGGGCCGAAGTGATCTGTAGCCTTCAAATCCAAAAAAAATTGCCTTTCGACAACCACAAAATTACGAAAATGCCATCCGAAAATAAATTGGCCCAAATCGGTGCTTAATGGACTTATCATCCATGGAGAATAGGATCAATAGACTTAATTATCGGTGGAGAATAGTTTCGGTCTAATTCCGTGATCTGTAGCCTCCAGAAACGAAAGAAAATGGAATTTCGAAAAAATCGCGCAAAATCTGTGATGCTACCCCTTTGCAATCTGCAAAAAATTGACCCGGAATAAATCCGTCCAAATCGGTGCTTAGTGGACTTAATAATTGTTGATGAATAGCCTCAGGGCGAATCCGTGATCTGTAGTCTTCAAAATCCAAAGAAAATGGCCTTTCGAAGCCCACAAAATTACGAAAATGTCATCCGAAAATAAATTGGCCCAAATCGGTGCTTAATGGACTTATCATCCGTGGAGAATAGGATCATTAGACTTCATTATCGGTGGAGAATAGCCTCGGCCTAATTCCGTGAACCCCTTTGCAAGCTGCCAAAAATTGACCCGGAATAAATCCGCCCAAATCAATGCTTAATGGACTTAATAATCGTTGAAGAATAGCCTCAGGCCGAATCCGTGATCTGTAGGCTTCAAAATCCAAAGAAAATGGCCTATCGACGCCAACAAAATTACGAAAATGCCATCCGAAAATAAATTGGCCCAAATCGGGGCTTAATGGACTTATCATTCATGGAGAATAGGATCAATATACTTCATTATAGGTGGAGAAAAGCCTTGGCCTGATTCCGTGATCTGTAGCCTCCAGAATCGAAAGAAAATGACATTTCGGAAAAATCGCCCAAAATCGATGATGGTACACCTTTGCAATATGCCAAAAATTTACCTTGAATAAATCTGCCCAAATCGGTGCTTAATGGACGTAATAATCGTTGAAGAATAGCATCAGGCCGAATCCGTGATATGTAGCCTTCAAAATCCAAAGAAAATGGCCTTTCAAAGCCCACAAAATTACGAAAATGCCATCCAAAAATAAATTGGACCAAATCGGTGCTTAATAGACTTATCATCCGTGGAGAATATGATCAATAGGATTCATTATAGGTGGAGAATAGCCTCGGCCTGATTCCGTGATCTGTAGCCTCCAGAATCGAAAGAAAGTGGCATTTGGGAAAAATCGCGCAAAATCTTTGATGGTACCCCTTTGTAATCAACCAAAAATTGACCCGGAACAAATCCTCCCAAATTGATGCTTACTGGACTTAATCATCGTTGAAGAATAGCATTAGGCCGAATCCCGGATCCGTATCCTTTAAAATCCAAAGAAAATGTCCTTTCGACGCCCAAAATATTAGGAAAATGCCATCTATAAATAAATTGGCCCAAATCGGTGCTTAATTATCCGTGGAGAATAGGATCAATAGACTTCATTATCGGTGGAGAATAGCCTCGGCCTAATTCTGTGATCTGTATCATCCAGAATCGAAAGAAAAAGGCATTTCGTAAAAATCGCCCAAAATTTGTGATGGTAGCCCTTTGCAATCTGCCAAAAATTTACCCAGAATAAATCCGCCCAAATTGGTGCTTAATGGACTTAATCATCATTGAAGAATAGACTGAGGCGGAATCCGTGATTTGTAGGCTTCAAAATCTAAAGAAAATGGCCTTTCAACGCCCACAAAATTAGGAAAATGTCATCCGAAAACAAATTGGCCAAAATTGGTGCTTAATGGACTTATCATCCGTGGAGAATATGATCACTAGACTTCATTATCGGTGGAGAATAGCCTCGGCCTGATTCTGTGATCTGTAGCCTCCAGAATCGAAAGAAAATGGCATTTCAGAAAAATCGGTCAAATTTGTGACGGTACAACTTTGCAATCTGCCAAAAATTTACCCAGAATAAATCCGCCCAAATCGGTGCTTAATGGACTCAATCATAGAAGAAGAATAGCCTCAGGACAAATCCGTGATCTGTAGCCTTCAAAATGCAATGAAAATGGCCATTCGACGCCCACAAAATTAAGAAAATGCCATCCGTGATCTGTGCTTAATAGACTTATCATCCATGGGGAATAGGATCAATAGACTTCATTATAGGTGGAGAATAGCCTCGGCCTGATTTCGTGATCTATAGCCTCCAGAATCAAAAGAAAATGACATTTCGGAAAAATCGCACAAAATCTGTGATGGTACCCCTTTGCAATCTGCCAAAAATTGACCCGGAATAAATCCGCCCAAATCAATGCTTAATGGACTTAATAATCGTTGAAGAATAGCCTCAGGCCGAATCCGTGATCTGTAGCTTTCAAAATCCAAAGAAAATTGCCTTTCGAAGCACACAAAATTACGAAAATGCTATCCGAAAATAAATTGGCCCAAATCGGTGCTTAATGGACTTATCATCAGTGGAGAATAGGATCATTAGACTTCATTATCAGTGGAGAATAGCCTTGGCCTGATTCCATGATCTGTAGACTTTAGAATCAAAAGAAAATGGCATTTCGGAAAAATCGCCCAAAATCTGTGATGGTACCCGTTTGCAAGCTGCCAAAAATTGACCTGGAATAAATCCGCCCAAATCAATGCTTAATGGACTTAATAATCGTTGAAGAATAGACTCAGGCCGAATCCGCGATCTGTAGCCTTCAAAATAAAAAAAAATGGTCTTCCGAAGCCCACAAAATTACGAAAATGCCATCCGAAAATAAATTGCCCAAATCGGTGCTTAATAGACTTATCATCCATGGAGAATAGGATCAATAGACTTCATTATAGGTGGAGAATTGCCTTGGTCTGATTCCGTGATCTGTAGCCTCCAGAATCTAAAGAAAATGTCATTTCGGAAAAATCGCCCTGAATCTGTGATGGTGCCACTTTGCAATCAGCCAAAAATTGACCCGGAATAAATCCGCCCGAATTGGTTCTTAATGGACATAATCATAGTTCAAGAATATCCTCAGGCCAAGTCCGTGATCTGTAGCCTTCAAAATCCAATGAAAACGGCCTTTCGACACCCACAAAATTACGAAAATGCCATCCAAAAATAAATTGGCCCAAATCGGTGCTTAATGGACTTATCATCCATGGAGAATAGGATCAATAGACTTCATTATAGGTGGAGAATAGCATTGGCGTGATTCCATGATCTGTAGCCTCTAGAATCAAAAGAAAATGGCATTTCGGAAAAATCGCCGAAAATCTGTGATGGTACTGCTTTGCAAGCTGCCAAAAATTGACCCGGAATAAATCCGCCCAAATCAATGCTTAATGGACTTAATAATCGTTGAAGAATAGCCACAGCCGAATCCGTGATCTGTAGCCTTCAAAATCCAAAGAAAATTGTCTTTCCAAGACCACAAAATTACGAAAATTGCATGCGCAAATAAATTGGCACAAATCGGTGCTTAATAGACTTATCATCCATGAAGAATAGGATCAATAGACTTCATTATAGGTCGAGAATAGCCTTGGTCTGATTTCGTGAACTGTAGCTTCCAGAATCGAAAGAAAATGGCATTTCGAAAAATCGCCCAGAATCTGTGATGGTACCCCTTTGCAATCTGTCAAAAATTTACCAAGAATAAATTCGCCCTACTCGGTGCTAATGGACTTAATCATCATTGGAGAATAGAATCATGCCGAATACGTCATCTGTAGGATTCAAAATCCAAAGAAAATGGCCTTTCGACGCCCACAAAATTACGAAAATGCCATCCGAAAACAAATTGGCCAAAATCGGTGCTTAATGGACTTATCATCCATGGAGAATAGGATCAATAGACTTAATTATCAGTGGAAAATAGCCTCGGCGTAATTCCGTGATCTGTAGCCTTTAGAATCGAAAGAAAATGGCATTTCGGAAAAATCGCCAAAAAATTGACTAGAAATAAATCCGCCCAAATCGGTGCTTAATGGACTTAATCATCATTGAAGAATAGCCTCAGGGCGAATCCGTGATCTGTAGCCTTCAAAATCCAAAGAAAACGGCCTTTCGCTTCCTACAAAATTACGAAAATGCCATCCGAAAATAAATTAGCTCAAAATCGGTGCTTAGTGGACTTATCATCCGTGGAGAATAGCATCAATAGACTTCATTATAGGTGGAGAATAGCCTCTACCTGATTCCGTGATCTGTAGCTTCCAGAATGGAAAGAAAATGACATTTCGGAAAAATCAACCAAAATCTTTGATGGTACCCCTTTGCAATCAGCCAATAATTGACCCGGAATTGATTCGCCCAAATCGAGCTTAATGAACTCAATCATCGTTGAAGAATAGCCTCTGGTCAAATCCGTGATCTGTAGCCTTCAAAATCCAAAGAAAATTGCCTTTCGACACCCACAAAATTATGAAAATGCCATCCGAAAATAAATTAGCTCAAATCGGTGCTTAGTGGACTTATCATCCGTGGAGAATAGCATCAATAGAATTCATTATAGATGGAGAATAGCCTTTGTCTGATTTCGTGATCTGTAGCCTCCAGAATCGAAAGAAAATGGCATTTTGGAAAATTGCGCAAAATCTGTGATGGTAACCCTTTGCAATATGCCTAAAATTGACCCGGAATAAATCCGCCCAAATCAGTGCTTAATGGAATTAATCGTCGTTGAAGAATAGCCTCAGACCGAACCCATGATTTGTAGCCTTCAAAATACAAAGAAAATGGCCTTCCGACGCCCACAAAATTAGGAAAATCTCATCCGAAAATAGCCTCGGCCTGATTCCATGATCTGTAGACTCCAGAATCGAAAGAAAATCGCATTTCGGAAAAATCACCCAAAATCTTTGATGGTACCCCTTTGCAATCAGCCAATAATTGACCCGGAATAGATCCGCACAAATCGAGCTTAATGGATTCAATCATCGTTGAAGAATAGCCTCAGGCCAAAGACGTATCTGTAGCATTCATAATCCAAAGAAAATTGCCGTTCGACACCCACAAAATTACGAAAATGCGATCCGTAAATAAATTGGCCCAAATCGGTGCTTAACGGACTTATCATCCATGGAGAATAGGATCAATAGACTTCATTATCAATGGAGAATAGCCTCGGCCTGATTCCGTGATCTGTAGCCTCCAGAATCGAAAGAAAATGTCATTTCAGAAAAATCGCCCAAAATCTGTGATGGTACCCCTTTGCAATCTGTCAAAAACTGACCCGGAATAAATCCGTCCAAATCGGCGCTTAATGGACTTAATCATCATTGAAGAATAGACTCAGGCCGAATCCGTTATCTGTAGCCTTCAAAATCCAAAGAAAATGGCCTTTCGACGCACACAAAAGTACGAAAATGCCATCCAAAAATAATTTGGCCCGAATCGGTGCTTAACGGACTTATCATCCGTGGAGAATAGGATCAATATACTTTATTATTGGTGGAGAATAGTCTCGGCCTGATTCCGTGATCTGTAGCCTCCAGAATCAAAAGAAAATGGCATTTCGAAAAAATCGCCCAAAATCTTTGAAGGTAACCCTATGCAATCAGCCAAAAAGTGACCAGGAATAAATCCGCCCAAATCGGTGCTTAATGGACTTAATCATTGTTAAAGAATAGACTTGGGCCGAATCCGTGATATGTAACCTTCAAAATTCAAAGAAAATTGCCTTTCGACACCCAGAAAATTACGAAAATGCCATCCAAAAATAATTGGCCCAAATTGGTGGATAATGGACTTATCATTCGTGGAGAATAGGATCAATAGACTTCATTATCGGTGGACAATAGTTTCGGCCTGTTTCCATGAAATGTAGACTTCAGAATCGAAAAAAATGACATTTAGGAAATCTCGCCCAAAATCTGTAATGGTACCCCTTTGTAATCTGCCCAAAATTGACCCAGAATAAATCCTCCCAAATTGGTGCTTAATGGACTTAATCATTGAAGAATTGCCTCAGCCCGAATTTGTGATTTGTAGCCTTCAAAATCAAAAGAAAATGGCCTTTGCAATCTGCCAAAAATTGCCCTGGAATAAATTCTCTCAAATCGCTGCTTAATGGACTTAATCATCCTTGAAGAATAGGCTCGGGCCAAATCCGTGATCTGTAGCCTTCAAAATCCAAAGAAAAAGGGCTTTTGAAGCCCACAAAATTAAAAAAATGACATCCGGAAATAAATTAACCCAAATTGGTGCTTAATGGGCTTATCATCCGTGGAGAATAGGATCAATAGACTTCATTATAGGTGGAGAATAGCCTCACCCTGATTCCGTGATTTGTAGCCTCCAAAATCGAAAGAAAATGACATTTGGGAAATCTCGCCCAAAATCTGTAATGGTACCCCTTTGTAATCTGCCCAAAATTGACCCAGAATAAATCCGCCCAAATTGGTGCTTAATGGACTTACTCATCAATGAAGAATTGCCTCAGGCCGAATCTGTGATATCTAGCCTTCAAAATCCAAAGAAAATGGCCTTTCGACGCCCACAAAATTAAAAAAAAAAAGACATCCGGAAATAAATTAGCCCAAATTGGTGCTTAATGGGCTTATCATCCGTGGAGAATAGGATCAATAGACTTCATTATAGGTGGAGAATAGCCTCACCTTGATTTCGTGATTTGTAGCCTCCAAAATCGAAAGAAAATGACATTTGGGAAATCTCGCCCAAAATCTGTAATGGTACCCCTTTGCAATCTGCCCAAAATTGACCCAGAATAAATCCGCCCAAATTGGTGCTTAATGGACTTAATCATCATTGAAGAATTGCCTCAGGCCGTATTTGTGATATGTAGCCTTCAAAATCCAAAGAAAATGGCGTTTCGACGCCCACAAAATTACGAAAATGCCATCCGAAAATAAATTGGCCCGAATCGGTGCTTAACGGATTTATCATCCGTGGAGAATAGGATCAATATACTTCATTATCGGTGGAGAATAGTCTCGGCCTGATTCCGTGATCTGTAGCCTCCAGAATAGAAAGAAAATGGCATTTTAGAAAATCGCGCAAAATCTGTGATGGTACCCCTTTGCAATCTGCCTAAAATTGAACTGGAATAAATCCGCCCAAATCAGTGCTTAATAGAATTAATCATCGTTGAAGAATAGCCTCAGGACGAACCCATGATCTGTAGCCTTCAAAATCCAAAGAAAATGGCCT